CTTGGGCCAGTCACCATCTCTCAGACTAACCTACCTCACAGGGTAGTTGTGACGATGAAATGGGGAGGAGGAGACCCATATACACCACCTTGAGATCCTTGGAAGATAAAGGTGGTATATAAATGAAATTAATAAAGTGGATCTTTTTTTGTTTTACACATACATAATGCAAGAAACCTATTCGGGTGTTCACCCCTCCCATCATTATTAAAATCTAAGTCATGTTCTAAATCACGTGGGGAGCCTAAATGTAAAAAGCAGACTTCCCCTTTCAGATTTTTCTCCAACTCACTGGAATCAGAAGCAGTATACCTTTGAGCACCACTTGCTCAAGTGTGGGAAGTGAAGCAACCCACGGAAACTATTAATGCTGGAAGAAAACAATGAATTGCCCAGAGCATTAGCCATTTATACTTCTTTGATCACCCCACTCAATAAATTGTTGGGGTTGTCAGTTGCTGGTCTTTGATTCTGAGATGCTGCCATGGTTCGTCATTGGTATGCATTTCACTGTAACCCAGTTCATCAAAAGCACATGTAGTGATTAGCATCCCTTTTTCAAGAATTTAAGAAGGGAATGGTGCATCCATGCTAAAAAGCCATTTGGTCTTTATTAGGGATTAACTCTCAGTATAAAATGAAGATTGCTTAAAGGATCTTGCAGAAATGAGTTTGAGGCCAACACTAAAGACTAACATTCAATCCAATCTAAGCAATACATGGCAAAACAACATGGAACTGCAATTCTTGTTACAGCTCTTAAAAACAACCATTATTGCAGGCTTTATACTCAGTGTACATGGAGGGACAATTCACCAATAAAATATCCTTAGAGAACATTTGCTAGGATACTGTTCTGTGATCTGCCTGCTATCTTTTCAGGCTATGGCTCATGAACTTCACCATTAAACCACTTGATTTTTCTGTCAGTCCTCGTTTCCTAAAAGGCACATCCCTAGCATCATTCAAAGCAAGCTTATTAACATGCCACATTTCATGGAAGCTGTCAAAGTGGCACACATCATAAAGAATGCAAGGACCAGTAGAAGGAGTCTCCGATGATTTGTCTTGGCAGATCTATCGATTTGATCAAACTGTAAGCTGCACATTATGCTGGTTTCACTTTGCTGCTAACGCAGTTTCTACAGTCCCACTTTAGGATTGCCTTTGTAGCTAGAATTGCATCTGTAATACAGTCTCCAGCAGCTTCTTCTTTGTATTTGCATGCTGGGGCAACATTGTGGAACACAGGGACTCTTAGTTATTTGATGGCCACATGTGAGGACCTAGTTAATTGGGAAATACATTAGCTATCCAGCAAACCGGCGCAGCATCTGGTGGGAGTCTCCAGAAACTAATTACTATGCCAGGACTGTTGCTGGTGGGTAGTAAGTGAAAAGTTAACAATCACAAGTTTGAAGAGGAAGCAGAAGCAGCCAGCAGCTACAGTGGGGATGGAAGCCAGAGGGAGAGGCAGTGACTCTGGCTCCTCCTCATCACTACTGTCCTGTCCACTCATCACCCACCAACAGTGGGTTGCTTCATAGAGCAGAGGTAAACTAAATAAAACCAAGAGGATGAAGGTAAAGGCCAAAGACATAAAGCTGTTTGGGTATGAGGTCAAAGAGGATGTAGAGACTGTCGTTCCCCAGTGAACAGCAGCTGCTTGTGGGTTTCTCCTAGGCACCTCTGGCCACTGTGAAAAAGGCCAGGGGATGCTGAAGTAGGTAGGTCTTTGCTCTGATCCAGAAGGGTTCTTATCTTCACAAAAACACCACAGTTCACATTATTATCAGCTAGAATGAGAAGGAAATGTGTAGAGAATTGCTCCATGTTTAGTCAAGAGCTTGTTGCCAGGAGATAGAAGAATAACCTGAAAATATCCAGCTTTCTCTTGAAGATGAGAAAAGTTTGTGATCAGAGACTCAGGACTGTTGATTCAGAAGGATAAAGATGTGTAACCAGAACAAAATTCACAAAGTAGTTTGTGTGGAGCTGTCCCACCATACAGTGACATTTAGGCTGCAACCTCAACCCAAACGGATGAAACAAATGAGACTTCCTTTCAAGTGAGCAGTATAGACCCATAGTATAAAGGTATTTCAGCCTACTCCCTCTAATCTTTATAATGGAGATGTGGGCTTGATTGCACAACTTAGGCATGCCATTACTCTAGAAAGTGTTGCTCAACTCAATGGTCTAAGAGAAACCGTGAGTTGCCGTGTGTGGTCTCCAAGGGAATGCAACACATAGAATCATAGAATCATAGAGTTGGAAGAGACCACAAGGGAGTCAACCTGCCGAAACACCATGCCTGCATGGTTGCGCCCTGAAGAAAGGAGACCATAGCAAAACTAACAGCTACTGTCAGAGTCTGTTGATTCTTTTGGTTTGGATACATTGCCCGTCGGGCAGAAACAACCCCTCCACATCTTTAGACAGGCTATCATATCACCTACTCCTTTCAGGCAAACATGCCACTAGCCTTATTCAGCTGACATTTGTTGCCGACACGTCATTTGTCATGTCCGACGGTGCCCAGACTGGACAAGTACCGTATCCAGAATACAGTCTCTGCGATCTATGATACCAGATATTGGCTTTAGCTGCCACTGTTGGCTCAAGTTGTCACAGCTGATCCTTACATCCCAGTGTCCCCATCTTGTTATACTTCCGTTATCATCTGTTTGTTTGCCAGTTAATCTGTCAAGGTCGTTTTGAAGTGTGATCCTGTCCTCTGGGGTGTTAGCCACCCCTCCCAGTTTGGTGTCATCTGCAAATTTGATCAGGGTGCCCTTGAGTCCATCATCCAAGTCGTTGATAAAGATGTTGAATAAGACCGGGCCCAAGACAGAACCCTGTGGCACCCCACTAGTCACTCTTCTAGTCACATCATGAGGCAGAATAAGACCCAGTTCCCAGGAAGGAGTGCCCAGCTTCAGGATAGGAGCTCTCCACAGGATAGGTATTCTCATGAGCAGCTGGACTTTCCCCACCTTTGTTTAAATTTGTAATGGGTAGGCAGGACTGATTGTGGGGAAGCCTTCATAGTCCTGTGCAGTCTGAGATGGCAGCTGCTGATGCTGGAATCCTGACCCCTGGCTGCCTCCTTGAATTGTGTTAGGGAAGCTTGAAACTCCTCTCCTAAGTTGGTTTGATGCTTGCTGCATCGCTGGTGCCTAAGTGCATCCGGACTGATTCCTGGCCTTCTACTGTTGGTGAGATAGTACTGTCAAACTGCTCAAATAAAGCTTGGTTCCTTTACTTACAAGGAAGTGCACCTGCTGTTGGTCTTGGGCAGGAGCCAGGGCAATGTGGGGCCTTTTGTTCTTTTCTTCACATACGTCTTGACTCTATCCTGACATATGGAAGGAAGTTTAAGTCACACAGCTGGTATTCCTCAAGATGAAGATAGTACTCATGTTTGCCCCAACTAACCTCAAGGCCTTGGGGCTACCAAAATAGAAGTGAATAGGCGTGTTACAAATAAGATCATTATTTGGGATCCAAAATCAATCTAGTTGTGTTGATGGTAGCAACTTACACAGTTTACTAAACAAAAGGCAGAGGAGGAGGCCTCTGCCAAGTGTGGCTCTCCCATGTTACAAAGAATATTTATTTATTTTTATTTAATGCAACAATTTATATACCACTTAATTACGATCATTTCTAAACGGTGTACTCAGTAAAATGAGAATGAAAATCAGTTAAAATTATAAAATCAGAATTCAGCAAAAAAGCCTGCTGGAAAGAAAGAAAGAAAGAAAGAAAGAAAGAAAGAAAGGAAGGAAGGAAGGAAGGAAGGAAGGAAGGAAGAAATTAGATGCCAGAAGTTCAAGAAGGAGAGGGCCTGTCTGACCTCAACTGGGAGTTCCATAAAATTATGAATGTGTGCAAGACCGAGTCACTTGCACATATCCACTAGCCACTGAAACTTTTGATAGATACTACTTTTTATAGTTTTTCTGTTTTTCTTACTCTAGACTATATTATTGCATTCTGCCCTAAGAATTTATGGTGAAAGGCAGGTAATAAATCTTATGAATGCGTAACTAAATACTATTTAGTGCTCTCAATGGAGCCCTAAGCACTCCCATGGCCATATACTGTGATCAGTACTGCCTAAAGTTGCCAACGTTTGAACCTTCCCTTGTCCCTTTGCCAGCCATTTGACTGGCAGCAGTTAGCAGGTGAACGTGTTTAGTTCACTGCCAAGAAAGCCTCACCTGCTGATTTCTGAAGATCAAATCTATGTTGGAGAGACAAAAGCAAAGTCAGGCTAGTTCCCCCAGCCCTGGCCCTCAGCCTAGTTGGCAACCTCAGCTGCTATAGTGTCAGGTGTTTCCAAGTCCTCCATGTCACATACAAAATGACCACAAATGTACTTATTTCAGTATGTGCAATGTAAGATATTGGCCAAGTCTGGTTCAGCACGCAATGAAATGAGCGTTTCACCTGGAAACGATTCCAACCCTAAAACCATCTACTACTGATGCTTGATTGATTTAATACTACTTGGATGCAGCAAATCGTGACAGAAGGGGTTCTGCTGCGAGCCAGCACACCATGCAGAAGCATTAAAATACACCAGGATCAGGAGAAACAAAGTGTGCATCCAGGCTGAAAAGCCCATGGCCTGAAATGACATCGAGAGGAATTTATGCATGCAAAGCTAGACATATGTTTCGTTCGTAAGGCATGGCTGGGCCCTCTCATTGCTTTGACACAGTACACTGTGCGATGGAAATCACAGAAAGAAGATTCACTCTCTGGACATTGAATGCTGAGTATGCAAGATCAACAAGCTATTGGCTCAATACGGAATAAGTGATCCAAGAACCATGTGGACATGGATGCCGTAGTTCTGTAGTGTATATGTTATTTAAATATATAGAACAGGTATAGTCAGAGGAGTAGAGGATTTCTGCAGAATGAATGAACCCATTTTGCCCATCCAAAAAGTCTACACTGGATTTTTAAATTCATTTCACTTTTCTTCACTTAAATTCATTTCACCTTTCTTCTATCATTGAACTCGAGGCAGTGCACAGATGGTTCTCAGGCAGTTCCTCATCCAGTCAGTCACCGAGCAGACCTACATCTATTTAACTCAACATATGATGCTTTCAGAGCATGCCTTCATGCCGTTTTACTAAGTGCTGTTGGAGTTATGCACATTAATTTGATTTGCATCCATAGTTTGAGATAGACACCTGTACTTTTAAGCAGGATACAAATAAGAAGATAATAGCGGAGAATAAATGGCAGAGGCAGTGCTATTTTTTTTTTAGTAAAAAATGAAGTGCTGGTATTGTACATGTATCAAAGTGCTGTGAGTGCTGGCTCAAGATAGCTGCCACGGGAAACAAAAAGGAGGTGATGGTACTCTAGATTGGTGAGTACCATCACACACAAAAACAACTGGGAAGAGGTATCCACTATTTAACTCTAGTCTGCACTCATGTTTGAAGATGTGCATCCTTCGTTTCACTGCCTTAATTGCCCAGTTCTGTCACTTGGATGTTACTTTACCCACATACTTTTAGACACTTTCCCTTCCCTCTCTACGCAGGTATAATATTTGGATCTAGCATGAAGCACATAATTCTTACATTTTGTATAAAAGTGTTCTTTCCCTGCCCTAGCATGTGCAAGATCTTCCTTGCAGATGGGAGACTAAATGCCTTATACCAAGTCAGACTATTAGCATTTCTAGCTGAGTATTGTCAAGACTAGCTGGCAGTTGCTCTCCATGGTTTCAGGCAGGAATAGTTCCCAGTCCTACCTGGATTGAACTGGTTGTCCAGAATGTAGCAGCATGTTTTTTTTGACTGGGGCCAATTGCACATAGCATATAACACTGACCTTATGAGAACACACTGAATGCTAGTTAGTTTCCATGCTAAATTAATGATTTATAGATCTAAATGGGGCCTGGTCTAGGACATACCTTTTCCCATATGTGCCCTGACCTGTGTTTCTGTGTGCTCTGGCTTCCATCACAGTGTTCTGATGTGCCAGAAGCAGTTTAGTTATGCTGATCGCAGAAAGCTGTCTGTGGACAAACACCGGCTCTCTTGGCCTGAAGCGAGATGAGCACCACACCCCATAGGCACTGGATTTAACCATCCAGGGGTCCGTTACCTTTTTACCTACCTGCCCTGCATGAGTTAAGATCACTGAATAGTATATGACATGAGGTGAGTCCATCTAGCAGCAGGACCAGAATGTGTGTTTGATGGTGGGCACCCATATTGTGGAATTTTGGCTCCAACTAACAGATGCTCTCATACATCAAAAATGAACAAGAGCTGTTGGATCATTTGCAGCACCTCTATCCATGCAAGATCACCAGCAAGAAAGATCATCCTGGCCCCAGCTGGATAAAATAGCCAGTTTACAACTCACTACTTGGTTCTATCAGTGTTAAACTGATCTCATTTCTCTTGACTTCACTTCTTTTCCTTGGGTATCTTGTTTTTTAGTTTATAAACCCGAGGACAGGGTGTGTTCACCATTAAAAACAAAAAATCAATGTGAACCACTCGGGAGATACTCAATATTCATGTGAAAAGCAGGGTAGAACTATAATTAATTAATCCATTAATTTTGCTCACTTGCAATCTTGCTCGCTTGCTTACTGGCAACACTGCAGATTGGCACCCTACACAAAAGTGGAATATACCACAAAAAGGCATACCTGACACTTGAACAAAGTGTGTTTTAATGGTTATGTGAAGTTTATTTAATTTATGGCAACAACAAAAGACCAAGGCAGAGAAGAAGTTGATTGTTGAATGTAATCACCACTGAATTGTGGCAATGTGCACCGTTTAGTTCTGAAGGCTGGTGTAGTGCAATGACTATAGCTGGTCTGGGGAACCTGTGGCCCTCCAAATGCGTTTGGATTCCAGCTTCCATCAGCCACAACCAGTACAGGCAAATGGTCAGGGATGATAGTTGTCATCCAACAACATCAGAGGGCAAGAGGTTCCTTGTCCCTGGACTAGAGTATTGGGCTTATATGTGGAAAACTGTAATGGACTGGCTGGATGCAGAGAAGTGGTGAGAGGCACCAGCTGGGGAACCCCCCCCCCCAGAAAAAACCCAGGGGAAGAAGGCTCAGAGCCAGGGGATTGTTGATGGGATGACAGTGAGTGGTCAGAGGGAGAAGAGAGAGCAGACTGGGAGGGGGAGGTGTCAGAAGCTGAAGAGGTAACAGGGTTTAGTGAGCAGGAAGAGTCTGTGGCAGAGAGCAGTCCAAAATCAGAGGCAGAAGCAGAGGCTGGAAAGGAGGGGAGGCCAAGAGGCAGAGATGGGTCAGGCTGGTAAAGAAACCAGGGTGTCTTCCCCTCCTGCTGTGACCAGTTCCTCTCCCCTTTGGTCTCCCAGAACCAGAAGAGGTATGAAGGAGCAGAGACAGACAAGGTAACAGAGTCTCAGGTTGCTTGGGAAGGACGCAGGGGAGGAGGAGACAACTGTGGGAAGGCGAGAACCTTCAGTCCTCACAATTGCAAGATCTACTGGGACAACTTGCTGTGCTCACTAGGCCTGGCCTCCTGAGCCAACATAAGTCTTCTTGAATAAAGAGCTAACTGCACTGATACTGTGGGTTTGTTTTGTTTTGTTTTGTTTTGTTTTGTTTTGTTTTGTTTTGTTTGTTTGCTGATCTACTCCTAACCCCCACTCCTGACAGAAACTCAGATGCAATCCCCACTTGGCCATGAAGCCCACCAAATGGCATTCCCTCTCTCTCAGTCTCACTTCTCTCACATGACTCTTGTGAAGGTTAAAATCTTGCTTCAAACTTCACGGGGAAAATGAGTAATTTAATAATTATCTTCAAAGGAAGTTTTATTTGTATTTTTGCATTCAAAAATCAAAGCTCCCCCCCCATCATTCTTAGTGTAATTTAAAGGAGAATGTTTGATAAGAATAACTAGGCAGAGACCGTAACTCAATGAACAGAGCAAATGCTTTGCATTTTAAAGATCCCCAGTTCAATCCATGACATCTCTGGTTTAAAAAAACAAAAAACGAGCTGAGGCAGGAAGGGATGTGGAAGACCTGGAGGGCCACAGCCAATTATAGAGCAACAATCCCAGGCTAGATAGGCCACAAGACTGATTCATTTAACAAAGCTTCATATTTCCCAGTCAGGGGTTTCACAACAACCTAGCAGCTTAGTGCCTCTGGAATCGGAGAACTGACTATATAATGCACATTTATTATCTGTATAATTTATTGAAGGATGAAAACATTTCTGAACAGTAATCTTTGGGATTTTGAAATAGTGGTACCCATGACAACTGGAGCACTTTTCCATTTGTGTTATTATGCATTGCTACATACATTGGTAAGAGTCATGCCTTAGTACAGTAATTCTCAAATTGTTCCATGCTACAATACTATGAGGGAGTTACTGGGAAACACCTGCACTCTGTGCTCGTGGGGAAGGAAAATTTATTAACAATCCTATACCGATGGCCCTGTAACTCAATCTGGGTTTTTAGGGTGAGGAAGGAGGCTCATAATTGTATTAGAGAGGGTGCCATATGTGGTGGAACTGTCCAGTGGTGGAGGAGTTTTGGAACACTATCTTAAATGAAGTTTCATTGATAATAAATGCACAAAAGACTGCTTATTTTTGTGGTTTAAGGACACAAGTGCCCTATAGTTACTGGAGCATTAAAAAACTGGGTCTGACAACTGGTGGGTGGATTGCTGGTCAGAAAGCAGTTCTCTTGTCTTATTGGACATATAGAAATTCTGACTTCTAAATTTTGCAGGACATTTTGCACTCCTGTCGCAATATGGAGGGGAAGTTGTAAGCAAGCACAATTTGTGGCATTGCACATTATCATCCCTGACCACAAGGTACAATATCCCAGGTGTGTGGAGCTTGAGTCAATATGAGATAGCTTTAATTCTGATCCTAAAATGGCATATCATTCTCTAATTGCATCTTGCAACTGCTTGCAAACATTTTTATGCAGTTGTTGTCAACCATCCAGATCTAAAATCCTTCCTGTTTCCTCTGAGTAGAGTGGGGCTGGTTTCTAAGCAGCTGTTTGCCATAGCTGTTGCAGAGAAATGTGATTCCCAGGAGTCAAAATTATAAGGCATGTTTTTGAGACACCATCAGTACACATGCACCAATATTATGAGTCAGGAGAGAAGTCTTATGAAAGTCTTCTTTCTGTATATTCACTGAAAACTTGTTCAAACATAGTGGCAGAAGAGAACTGGTTATAATTCTACAGCATCCCAAAACAAATGTAAGATAATTTATTCAGTACTCATGTTCCCTCTTGAAAATGGCTATGTGTGGACCAATGAATGAGGACATAGCACTTCAAGAGTGGAAACAAATCAAAATCATTACTGAGTGGGCCAGTTCACCTTCATAAATATGAAAGAATACACATATTTTCTCCCAAGAATAAGAAAGGAGCTGCCATGTGAAAAAGCAGGTCCCACTGCAATTATTTATTTTTGTATATTCTTTGATACTGAGGCCTACTTCCTACTAGTGAGGTAAATCTGTGTCTTGGCTGTACTGCTTTAGACTTCGAGGAAAAGTAAAAGAATGCTGCATATAAATAAATACCAAACTTTTAAAGCAAACTTTCACAAATAAAACTTATTATCAGGGATAAGGGTTCTAGATTAGCTTTCTCCTTGGCACGTTACGTTTTCTATGTATTCGGATATTTATTTATTTACATGAAGGAGCATTTAGTCATGTGACATTCCTCCACGCCTACACTATGTAGTGATACATCTCAGACACGTAGTACCTGATGACTGCCAAAAGTACCTATATTTTAAGATATATGTCATGGGGTTGAACAATGCAAATACTGTTCATTTGACCTTTGTCAAATGATGTTTGGGCCATGATTTGTCCATCCATGTTTACAATTCAACCTGTTTTGCACATAATCACTCTGCCCTCTTCCAACTTGGCAGCTGAGAGCTTTGTTTAATGAGGGGTTTTACTTCTGCACTGTTCACAAAACACACACTTAATTCTCCATGGCAACCATCCAGTCATCCGATACAGGCACCATCCCACACAAGTGTTTACTAGAAATATGAAACGCTTTGATGACAATTACCTTGGGTAGCAGAGAACCAGCAGGAAGCCACCAGTGAGAGGAGGACTCTTCATAGCTTTTCATTATGATCCTCGGTTCACACAACGCTGGTCTGTCCTTGGATTGGTTTTGAAGCAGTGCACTGTGAATTGGAAAAATGAGGACACAACTTTCCAGGCAGAACCAGAAATCTCATTGCCTGAGGCTGGCATCTAGCCCAGGAAGAGATGGGAAAGCTCAGTGGTAGAAAGCACATGCTTTGCATGCAGAAAGTGCAAGTCCAATCACTAGTTTAAAAATGCGCAAAAACAAGTAGCCGGTTATGGGAAGTGCTCAATCCTGACCATTGGCCATGCTGACTGGAGCTGACAGGAGTTGTCATTTTTTAATGTCTTTTAGATGCTCTGTTTTTAAAGTTTTTATTTTTCATAGCACTGCTTTGCTACTTTGTTGCTTGATGGCCTGGGTTGCTTTGGGAGGAAGGGTGGGATAAAGAAATAATGGCCACAAAAACTGAAAGGCACCATGTTGGATACCGCTGGAGTAGGTAATGTTGGACTTAATGGACAAAGAGTCTCCTGCAGTATAAGGCAGCTTCCCCTGTGTGCTTTCAGGTGCAATTGCTAATTACGTATCCAAAAATGACAGTGAAGTGTTCTGAGGCTGAAAATGCAGGGGCAAGAGGTAGCAAGACAGAATGCATAAAGCCAATATTCAGGGACAAGCTACCAAATGGACACAAAGGCACATAGCACAACCCTGATGACCAGTTTTTCCGAAGCATCTTTGTGGGAGAGAAGCAACAGAGAAGCAACAGATAAGGATAAAGTGTGCTTATCCCTTTTTCCACCGGCCTCTTTTCCTCCACTACCATCACCTCCAAAGCTGTTTTTCCCTGCACAGTTTGGAACTCTGGCAAAAGTGCTTTAAATTCCACTGAATTTTAACATGCAGTTTTCAAGTCAGGAAGCTGCTAATAGCAACAGAGGTCCTGTGGCATGTATAATTATAATTATTTATAGTTATTTCAGAATGCCAAGAGTCTGTAGTACAATCCTTGATTGTCCACTTGAGACTGCAGGTTTACAGGTTTGAACGCTCCCTGCGTGTTTTTGTGCCTGTGAATGCACAAGTATGCAATTTCTATCTGCAGTTTGAAGAGACCCTGTCTGGGAAAGACTGACTTATGAATTATTTCTGCACATTTGAATCTGACTTCACACAGACTGAATCCTCTACACCAATGGCAAACTCCTCCTATGAGGTTGGGCCCATGTGTATCCAAAATGGCACCAGCCATTGGCAAGAAGGTTATTAACAGGCTCAGGGATATCCCAAGTTTTGCAGAATTGCAGCAATTTTTAGAAAATAAACTGTAAGAGAGGTGAAACCTCAGAAACAGCCAAATGAGAACTGAACCATGTTTAGGGGACACAGAATGCCGATGGTTGAGGGTGGGACAGTAAACAGGGGTGGGCAGGTGGAATGGAGACTAGCTGGAACACCAGATACAGGCAGTCAACGCTGCAACATTTTGTTATTGCAGGTCTCGCTTGTTCAACCAGAATTGATTATAGAATGCCCTGAAATTAGAAGCTTGGAGCTGGGCTCATTTCCTCACAGAGCTTCATTTTTAAAAATTTTCATGTTCATCTTCCACAGTGCAAGAAATTTGTAATGATTTTTTTTTAAAAAAAATTGAAGTTAAATGTCTATCAGAACTTTTGAATTGCTGAAGACATGTAATGCTTGTTACCAAAAATAAAATGTATTATCCAGAATATGACTGGGAAGAGGAGAGGGACTGTTATAAGAGGATACAGTGGTGCCCCGCAAGACGAATGCCTCGCAAGACGGAAAACCCGCTAGACGAAAGGGTTTTCCGTTTTGGAGGTGCTTCGCAAAACGAATTTCCTATGTGCTTGCTTCGCAAGACGAAAATGTCTTGCGAGTTCCTGCGGGGTTTTTTTCCTCCCCCCCCCTTTTTCCCAAGCCGCTAAACTGCTTATCAGCTGATGGCTAAGCCGCTTAACAGCTGATGCTAAGCCGCTTATCAGCTGATCGTCAAGCCGCTTATCAGCTTATCGTTAAGCCGCTTATCAGCTGATCCACTAAGCCCGCTAAGCCGCTAATACTGTAGCACTAATCCGCTAAACCGCTAATGGGCTTGCTTCGCAAGACGAAAAAACCCACAAGACGAAGAGACTCGCGGAACGGATTCTTTTCGTCTTGCGAGGCACCACTGTAATTCCAGTTTATTATTCCTGTAGTATTCTCTCATCTGTAGATACCTTTTAGGGCTCCCCCCACCCCCCTCAGCAGGGGTCTAATTGTTGTTTGGATGTGAATGTACGTTTTAGCTTCTCCAAAATTAGTTTCCATTCAGTACAAATGTTCTCATTAAGAAGACATTTAACATGAGAAGAATATAAATGAAGAGATTTCTGCTCACTAAGAAGGGTTTTTGTACTGATCAAAGGAACTGTGAAGCAGTACACACTATAACACTTAATCTTTAGCATTTCCAGAGCTCAGAGCTTTAGTTCTTTAGTCTTTCTGCAATAATTAGATGACCTAATGTCTTTTTATAACAACCCCCATATGAAACAGTGATCACTGTGGTATTTCATGAAATGTTAGTGTCTGTATGATGCACCCTGCCTTCTAGAAACCAAAGGACAACTTGGTTGTGAAGTGAAAGGCTTAATATAATATAATCTCATTCAAATATATAATATAATCTCAAATAATATAATATAATCTCATTCAGAGTATGCTTCTTCTTCTTCTTCTAAAAAAATAGCACCTAAGTGTTCACCTTTGTGCATGTCTCAGGAAGCTTCTTTCTTCTTCCAATAGTTGTGTGCATAGTTCTACTCCAGCATCTCAGGACCTGAAACTGACTAAAACAGGATGTTGCGGTTAAGGTTTTCTGACCAGTTCTGCCTACAACAAGGTGGTCCGGTTGAAATTTTAGTTAATACAGAACACTCCTAAGCTGTGGTGTCTGTTCTACAGAGAATTATGGAGCAGGATGTTACGGCATCAGAGGTGTCAATCAGGTTGTATGGACAAGCAACACTTTTTAAAACAATGCACCTTACCACTCAGCCTTGTCACTTCCTGTTATCATTATCCAAGAAAAGCAGGGCATGCAACGAATTGTTTTTATTTTCAGTGTTTAAAAATATTTGGGTCTGGGCTGCAACAGTATAAAATAATGGCTACGCTACAACTGCTCTGATTTGCAACTGGGCCTAGGGTGCCGCCTTACACTGGTTCAGACCATTGGGCATCTAGCTCAGTATTGCCTACACAGGTTATCAGTAGCTCTCCGGGATTTCAGATGGAGTCTCTCCCAGTTGTACCTGGAGCTGTGGGGGATTGAATCAAGGACCTTCTGCATGTGAATGAGATGCTCCACTACTGAGCTACAGCCTTTCCAACTTCCCTGTTATGGCCTGGAAAAGAAGCCTTGGCAGTGGCTGCCATAATTTCCAAAGTGGTTCCCATATTAGCTTTCCATCTGCCTTGTTGTTGGTGCCTTTTAGTGGCACAGTGGTGGAGGCAAGCCCTCTGCTCACTAAAATAGACGCATGGAGGTCTATGCAACTGGCGGTATTGTGCAACTGAAGCTACCAACCCATGTTACAAGCATCCAACTTGAAACTATTACCATGCAAATGATTGTAATGGGAGGGGCACCTGGTGCCGACTTTGCTGACATTTTTGCGCTAGATTAAGACTGCTTAGGGACGCGAGTGGCGCTGTGGTCTAAACCACTGAGCCTAGGGCTTGCTGATCGGAAGATCGGCGGTTTGAATCCCTGCAACAGGGTGAGCTCCCGTTGCTCGGTCCCAGCTGCTACCAACCTAGCAGTTCAAAAGCACGTCACAAGTGCAAGTAGATAAATAGGCACCACTCCGGCAGGAAGGTAAACGGTGTTTCCGTGCGCTGCTCTGGTTTCAACAGAAGTGGCTTAAGTCATGCTGGCCACATGACCTGGAAAGCTGTCTGTGGACAAACGCCAGCTCCCTTGGCCAGTAAAGCGAGATGAGCGCCGCAACCCCAGAGTCATTCATGACTGGACTTAACTGTCAGGGGTCCTTTACCTTTTTAAGACCTGCTTGTCAAGGCTTTTTTTGAACTGATAATGCAACTTTCTATTTTTGTAAGCAGCTGGACTGGCTCAAAATGTTTTTTATGTTTGATTTTCAATTTTTATGTATAAACATTTCATCTGGTCCTTTTCTTAGGTTACTTGTTAATTTATTTTAAACCCACACTGAGATATTAAGATGAAGACATACTTGCTTAATTGCCAAATAAAGATCCCAATGGAAATCCTATTTATATACATGGGTTTGACCGTAGTCATTGCATACCCTTGGCTACGGTATTCCCAACCTATGGAAAGTATTTTTCCTCTGATATGTGAAAATGACCCAACTAAGCATTTGCATTATCTACAGGGTGCCATCTATATAACACTAAGAGTCACAATCATTGCTGTGTTGTGATCTAGTGTGGAAAGATAGAGCAATTCACAGAGGCAGGGTGGGGGGAAGGTGGTTAGGCAAAATGCTGTTAGCATGGGAAAGCTGCTGTTTATTCTGGTGTGCACTGAGGTTTTCAAGGCTGCATAGCATGAAATAAAGGGTTCCTTATTTGTGTGTGAGTTTACACTTGGTTATGCTTGTCACCAACTCACAGCATGAGTACAATAGAAGCATGCATTACTTTGGCAACCAATCTCTTTGTCTTGACACCTGACCTTGGTACTGTGCCAAAACCAGAATAGTTAAATGTTGCTAGATTGATTGATTGATTTACTCACCCACTCACACTCAAACAGCTTTTTTTCTCTTTAAAATCTTGGCTATTGAATGTTGTGATGTTGCATGTTAAGAAATAAATGTAGGGTTTTTTTTTCCTCATTCCCCAGAGAATTCTACACAATTACATTTTTCCAATTTATCTGAAGCACGCTCACCATCTGTCCCCACTAAACTAGTTTTGCTGTAGTAACATCCTGTCATATTCTCTCACTAACCTCTAGTTTACTGTCTTTAGTTGCTGTTGGAGACAGGCTTGCTGCAGGTACCCAGGGATAAACTTAGCATTTCCATTTTAGTACAGCAACGCAGATGGAATATACTGGATGTTGAAGTCTTAAAGGTATCAAGATATGATACACCCTGGTTTCACAGGCTTGTGGGTTTTCATTCTGGATAACCTTAGGCAGTATTCTTCTATCGTTTGGACAATGAAACTTTTATCATTTGTTTGGGGTTTTTTGTATGTATGCAGCTGGACAGAAATCACAGGAAATGTCGTGTAACCAGGCATCTCTCTGCATCAAGGATGGCATGAAGATTCTGAGATGGCTGCAGCTTGCTCAGAAGCCATCAGAATGCAAAGCAAAGTCAACAGACTGCCACACACCCAGTGTAAATCCCAGTCACCTGGTCAGTCTGGACCCTAAATCTGTTGCCCCAAACTTCCCTAATTTCATTGTGAAATAGATTGTGCCTTGAATAACAATATTTAGAAGATGCAAGGATGAGCAACCAGCAACCAGAATGCACATTCAAAGTTTGAATGACAAGAACAAAAGAAACATTATCTAAAGAGCTCTGCTTCCTTCCTTGACTGCTTGGTTATGGAAGTGAGAGGAAGTGAGTTAGAGGGTCACTGGCTGTGGGCAGATAGTATTATTTAGCATGTATATATGGATCTTTTCCAGAAGTATAATAATCAGAACAGATTTTCTTTGTCAACTATGGTAATTAGAATTAAAGATCGGTGTAGGTTGCTGAATCTTGTTAAGAGCACAAACTTGCCAGTGTTCAGAGTTGATAAAAATAATATTCAGATGTATCTAATTAATAAAACTATGAAGCTTAACACAGGACTTTTTAACACCTTCTCAAACTTAAGAGAACTGATTTGTACAGAAAAGCAGTCATTTTGTTCTTTGGGGGGGAAATTAAGCATACTTCATGAAGTGATTAGATAAAAGATCATTCTGTTTTGTGGCTTCACAATAAATATTGAGACTGTTTAAACAATCTTGTTTTGCATGTAAACAACAACAGAAATTATATTTCAATATCTATACATATGATTTCAAATTCTGGCTTGTTAAAAAAGTAGACATTGCCAAAACAAATTGCCAGAACACATACATAAAAGGCAGTATAATATAAAATGATTTCCTTAGACAATTTAAAATCATTTTTAAAAATCTGTTGGTTTGGTTTAAAATGTGACTTTATGGCTATTGAAATGATCTATTAAAGAACAAGGAATAATGGGCTTAAACCCAAAGACATATATGGAGAGGTGGCATAAGATGCTAAGTACTTTTGAATCTTACTCATTTCTACAGAAGAACATATTTAACTGGTGATGACAATCTCTGGAACATTAAAGTAATTAATTTTGGCTGGGATATATCCTTTTTTCTTTCTTTTAGACCTCTGACATGCTGATTCCAGGTATCTGATAGATGCAAATTGCATAGCATTGTCTATGCAGAACCAACACACAAGACGAGCCTAAGTCAATAAATAATAATAATAATAATGTTTTAGCTGTTTCTATTTTAGTTGTAAGCTACCTTAAGTTCAATCAGAGTAAAAGAAGGGATATAATAATCAATCCATGTGGGACCTTCTTTTTTGCTCCTCTCTCGTTTCTTTCCTGCAATAGCAATAATCCAGGTACTACTTCCCGCACTTCCAAATTTGTACTAAAACGCTGAAGCATGGCTAGTGCAAGAAGTTGCCACATATGCATATGCACTCACCCACTGACTTGCTGTGCCAGCAGTAGGTGGGTAAGGATGGGCCTAAACATGTCACAAACCATGACATTGCCCAAGCAATGCTGGGACATTGTGCTGGATTTCCATTCACTTGTAAATATGCCAGAACAAATTGTAAAAATTAGGATGTCAGTTATGTACACTGTTACTGAAGAAAAACAATGCTTAGAATAGATTCCCCCTCCTCTTGGGATCACATAAAATGTAGGATCACTTAGAATTTCTCTCTCACACTGAAATATATGTATTCTAAAAACACGTGTTGCTGCAGCATATACTCTTTTTGATATAGTTTCATACAGACTGCTGCCCCACCTCTCAAACAAAACAACACAAATTTGGTAAACAAATGCCATTCATTTAAAAAATGAAGTTGTAGGGTTTCACAAAACAGTAATTTATAGTTAAGAGACTGAAGGTGCAGGATTGGTGAAACTGTCCCAGACGCTGCCACTGACAAGTCCTTTTCCAAGCAGTTCCTTGCGCATTTTCATACGAATCTCTGGACTTGACAAAAGCGCCTTTATCTGATTCAGTTTGGACAACAGGGGCAACAGTTCTCTGTGCAAGGCTTCCTTTATTACATCTGCTTCATGGCTCTTCCCTAGAGAGGAGGAAAATGATACATTTTTGCATATGAGTAATTGTTGCCTAAAATGTTATGGAACGAATAAAAAGAGATGCCATCGATTGAAAAAAAAGCACAAGATGCCCTTATGCATCTTTTAAATATATATAAAATGTTATGCTTAGTCAAAAATATAATTTAAGGGTGCAAATGTTACTTAGAAATGAAGCATAGTGATACAATATTCATGAACAATTCCCATTCTATTGGGTAACAGTAGCTATGATTAATATTAGTAGTGACAATTCCATTCAACAAAAAGTCTTCTTTTGTACTTCAAGTAAACAGTTGTCCAGTTCTGCAAAACAAAAATTAATGGCATTGTTTCCAGTTTGGCTAGCTCATCTTCCATTGGCCATTTGTTTTGTATCCACTGGGCGCACAAAGAAAGCAGTGGAGATTCATATATTTTTTCTGCAGCTGAGAACACAACGAAGCTGGCACTTTAGTAGTCAGATCTCTTCATCCTTCTGGCCCTCTCTGTCTTGCCGTCTTTCCCATCATTCAGTAGTTTGTTTTTTATTCTTATCAGCCTTGATATTTGTTATCACGAAGCTCTGTAAATTAGCATCCCTCTGTTCAGATGAGGTGCCTGATAACAGACAATCACAAATCCCAACTCAAGTCAGCCAGGATAGCTCGGCAGAGCTGATCCAGGGAGCAGAGTCGTGGGTATTTGTAGCTGGATCATGCCTTCTTGGCCTCCTCCAAAGCACTCATTTTTTATTGTCATTCTCACTTTCCTTGCAATTGCCAATGGCTGCTTCCTCAGTTTTCACTGGGCTTTCAAAATCAGTCAGTCTGTTTTTGTTTTGGGTTTCTTCTAGGTACTGCTGCACTGCCTTGAGGACTGCATTCTCCACCAGCCTTTTGCTGAGGCTCAGCAATTCTGCATCATCTGGCTCTGCCCCTTTCTTTTCACCTACACACCACAACAGACAAAAATCAGTAAACCTGTGCAAGTGGGGAAATGGCATGCAGTACACATCTATTGGGACTAGCTGCTCAGCCTCACCTAGTTGTGATGTGCAAGCTCTCCCAAAGCCACCTGAATGTCTCTGTTTAGTTTCAACTCCAGGAAGTCCCTCTAAATGGAAGCATAAAGAGGCTGCTTTCTCTCCTTTGTTTTTCTGTGCCCTGACCTTTCATGAATCTTAGTTGTTTTGTTGGCCTGTTTTGCTCTTAGATTCCTCCCAGTTCCAAATGCTATCCAAATCCCAGTTTACTCCTTGACAATCACTTTGAAACAGCAGCACATAAAACTATAAATCTTGTCGTGGTGAATAATCTGGGAACAGTTGATGCTGCACTATTGCTGAAGGTAAGTGGGTGTGGCCCTGATCAGGACCCCATAAAGAAACTATAATAAATACTTTTAAAAACCCACAGCCAGCAAAATCTGCTAATGTTCTAGTGTGAATACATTTCTACAAATAATATATAAACTGAACTGGCAACTAAAAATCCCAGAGCTCTTATCAGATATTTATATTTCTTTCATATTAAATCCATAAATCAATGACATAATACATAAAACACCCTATTAGCTACTTTCCAATATTTATTTTCTCACCAAACTGTATCTTACACATTAAAAAATTGAGAAGTCTGTTGAGCACGGTGAATTCAAACTTGGCTATGAAACTAACAATACCGTCTGTGTATTTATGTTTTTCATTTTAAAAGGGGACATTTGTTTTGCTTTTTGATTGCTGTATTGCTAATGGGTTCAAAATCTCAGTTAAATGCATCTATTGTGGAGGACCACTGACTGCCTCTCTAAACCCTGGAGTGAGAGACAGAGGAAACAGAGTGTAATATGGCAACTGCAAGGTATAAAAGGATGCTACAAAAGACTAAAGGACAGAACAAACTTTGCTTCCATTGTGCATTTCTTATTACAACAATCTGAACTCAAAATGACTGCTTCCCTAGGTTTCAATTCTCTAGCATTCCCGAAAACAGATTTCTTGTGTCACCTACACTTTGGTTTCTACTGTTCTTACAAGGGCTTATAGCCAATGCTATCCTTCCATTCATGAAAGGCTCCTGGATCCTGCAGAGGCTTCCATGATCAGAACAGGAATAGAGCCAATTTTCACACATTCCCCCTTTTCTCCTTTGTGCAGCCTCACATGCTGCCTGCTATGCTGTTCTACAGGGTCCCTCTACCCTCTGGAGCAGAGCTGAGATATATGAGTTCCAAGAACTGTTGGAGAAAGGGGAATCAATGAAATAGCTCTCCTCTTTCCTATTATTACACCTGGAGCTGGATCAGAGGCCCTTCTGTGAATACAAGGACATTGTTAAAATACACCCCAAGAAGTTCATGTACAGCCACTGGAGAGTGTGCTATATTCCTCTGATTAGACAGAGCAACTATCAATAGTAAAGTGATGCCGCAGCAAGAGAAATGGGTACTGGTAGAGCAAGATGAGGACAGTACAGCACGAGTTTGTGAAGAACAGTTAATTTTGCCAGAGCTGGCACTTGCCCCACATGAATTGTTGAATGCCAGATTCCATGGTTAATACATGGAAGGGTTATCAACTGTAAATATAAGTTTTAATGTATGAACAAGGCTTTAAGGGTACTGGCTTTCTGGTATATCATTAGCTTTGGAGTGTTTGCCACAGTTCTTTAAAACTACGGCAATATAAGCTAAGTTAGTAGCAAGCAGGTCCCAACTTAATATGCATTTACTCAATTCCAACATTATGCTTCTGGTTGGTAAACATAATATGCATGTTTTTACCACAAAAATCAAGATGCTTATTATTAGGCAAAATAGAAAAATAATATTGTTTGAAAGGCAACAAGACGGATGCCTTTTAGCTGGACAGATTTAAAGAGATGCATATTATTATTATTATTATTATTATTATTATTATTATTATTAATTACTTAGCTTTTAGCATAATTTCTTGGGATTATTCAAAAACATGAATTGTTTTCTGGCTTGTTTTGTTTATGTATTCATTTAGCAGCCTTTTAATGTGTTAAGTATGCATACAGGTGCACACAGACAATTAGCAGCAAATAATAATACATAAAAAGCCATGCAGCTGCTTCATACATTTATTCAAAGAACTCATATCAAATATCTAATGTATACACTCTCTTTATTACAAAAACAGTTTCTTAAAAGTGAAGCTCTTGGACAAAGCCAGAAAATTCGCTCAATTTTTTCCAGCAAGCTTTATAATGGCTTGATCATTTATTCATTATTATTAAATTTCTATACTGCCCTAACTAGATAATATAATCACAAAAACAATACCGCTCTCAGTTTAAAAGGCCATAGATTGCTTAATCAGACAAAGGCCTGTATATAGAGGAACATTTTCCCCTGGTGCCTATTAAGATCTGACAATCCATCCTGCCCCATAGAACAGTAGAATCTAAAACTTTGCTCAAGTTTGAAACTTTACTCCAGTTCAAAATAAGCATGGCAAGCCAGGCTGACCTTTGCAACAGCATCTTCTCCTAGTCATTGTGTGTTCTCTGTGTCTTTGTGTGCAAAAGCCACATAAAGTTATTTCATTATGATACAACAATATATACCCCAGGGCACATGATACCACAGAATTGTAAAGTTCAAAACAAGAAAGGACAAGACATATGTAGCCTGTAGTCTGTCAACATTTTGAAGAAGAGTCTTGCTGTTAAAACATTGCTATGACTCATCCTAGAGCAGTAAGCTCAGCTATGCTGTTTTGTGAAACATCAAAAAGTCAGCTTAATTTACTATCATTCTCCCCTCCCATTTTTTCCTTCATTAGGAGCATGTCTGCACCAGCAAATTTTCATCTTATTTTACTAGAATATATATTAAAGTGGCATATGCACTCTAGTCCTGCATCCTGTCATTGCTAGGTTTTGTTGTAGTGAAGTTAGAAATTTAAAAAGGTACATTCACAAGCAATTCTAAAATTCTATGATAGTTTTTTGTTTATTTGTTCATTTTAAATCTGATCAGACAGGAACAGTAGTAGTCTATGTCCACGATGGGTGTGCAGTAATTATATGAATTGCTCTACACAATGAAACAGGTAAGAAAACAATGGGAAATTTAACAATTGTCACAGAAGACATAGCATTTGTGAGCCCACAGTCCACTAGATACACATTCTGCCAATGCAATCTATCCCTTTTTTAGAGGAAGCTGGCCATGTTGACAGGAACATCATACAAAGCCTTCCGTGTGCAGTAAGCGAGGCATGCAGCCTCCTGTACTCAACTTTATGTGGTTGAAATAAAAAAATTAAAATTTAAAAATTGTCCAGTAGCACCTTAAAGGTAAAGGGACCCCTGACCATTAGGTCCAGTCGTGACCGACTCTGGGGTTGCGGCGCTCATCTCACTTTATTGGCCGAGGGAGCTGGCATACAGCTTCCGGGTCATGTGGCCAGCATGACGAAGCCACTTCTGGCGAACCAGAGCAGCGCACGGAAACACTGTTTACCTTCCTGCCAGAGCGGTACCTATTTATCTACTTGCACTTTGATGTGCTTTCGAACTGCTAGGTTGGCAGGAAGTAGCACCTTAGAGACCAACTAAGTTTGTTCTGGGTATAAGCATTTGTGTGCATGCACACTTCTTCTCAAAAGCTTATATCCAGAACAAACTTAGTTGGTCTCTAAGGTGCTGCTGGACAATTTTTTTCATTTATTTTGACTGCGTCAGACCAACACGGCTACCTACCTGAGCCAACTTTATGTAGTAGAGCATGTAATTTGTGTGTAAATTGACCCCAAGGTAAGAAAAACAACATGAGTTTTCTTGATATTTTACTGTATATCAGCATATTGTTCTATTCACCATGTGTTAGCCAAAGGTTCAAAATGGGTTTCCTACAATCCAAACAAACATACACAGTACATGTGACCATCTGAAAAGAAAAGAAAAAAAGAGTACTATGATCTGATGAAGACTATCTCCCCATGGAAAGATTATGGCAGCTGGACTTAGGAGAAAGCATACCACAAAAACTCAATCATGATTTGATTAATAAAACTCAAAATTTCCTGTTTGTTTGAGCCCTCTAATGCCTTTTCACCAAGTTGGCTTGAATCTACATCCTTTGCAGAGGAGTTCAGCACAATATGAGGAAGCAAATATAATAAAACTCCTAGCGAGGAATGAATTACAGCGAACTGGAGAAATGAGCTTGGTGATCGTTCTTTCTTTGACTTGCAACTCTGCTGATATTTAAGCAAAGCAAATAGCCACACTGACAGAAGAGTCTCCCTATTTAAATTTGTAAATGCAACAAAAGTAATTGGTAATGTAGTACCAAGAACATGCGTTTAGAGCCCAGCTGATCCAGAATTCTCTGCATTATCAGATGAAAATAGCAGCCTGAACCTAAAATGAGTATGGCAAGCATCTTTTGTTAGTGATTGGTCAGAATGATACCCCCCCCCAGGTGCTAACTAATAATACAAACAGCGTATTGGAGAGACTATGGCATTAAAATGCAGAGGATCCACATGATCAGTCACTGTGCAGGAGGTGGGATGACAATGTGCCATGCTCTTGGCTGTGCTGGTGCTGCTGTTTGCTAGAATTGGGATGGAGTGGGGCAGTGTGACAGTGCAGGTAGGGGAAGCCCTGGGTTGAGGTAGTGATGAGCTCAGATGCACTGGGTAGGAGGACAGCGCAGCAGCAGTGCCCCGCCTCATGTGCCACAACTGTGTGCGCGTGTGTATTCTTTTTAATTTGTGAAGGAACTAAAAAAACCTTCTCCCAATAAACATCAACGATTTGCCAGCTCCAGCCATGGAGGAAGGAGTCATATGAATAACAGTGCAGTTGATGAAGCAAAAGTGAAACTTCTCGCTGCATCAGAAGGGAAGAAACATCCATTAAAACATTGTTTTTACTTCCTGGCCAGAATTTTACTTGATTTCAACATCAGTGTTTAGTCTTGATAACCAGGAACAAAAGAGAGAGGGCTCCTTCCTGTATAGCAATGTGGTAAAGGGAATTTCAATGGACACAAGCTTTTCCTAGGGCAGAGGTTGCTGCACTACAACTGCCATCATCCCTGGCCACTGGCCATGCTGGCTGGGGCTGATGGGAATTGGAGTCTTGCAACATCTGAAGGGCGACAGGTCAACCACTCCTGCCCTAGAGGGATGAGGAAACCTGCACGTGTTGACACTCCAGCTTCTAAACATCCATTAACAGTACAGGAACTCTATATTCTTTTGTGTTCAGTCATATGCATTGCAGTCCTATAAATCCCACAGAGAACAACATGGGATATCACAAAGAAAGTGTGCTTCAGACTGTTGCCACCTCAGCGTCTCTCTCTGGGCCTAGTTGCCCTGAGACTACAGAACTGAAAGGAAGTGCAATCTGGCTCCATCCATCAGCCAGTGGATCAAGGGATGATGTGTTGTGTGCATTTTTACAGTAAGAAAGGCCCACATGTCCAGACCAGCTGATACTGTTGAGGTTATATAACTGTGAGAACTGGTTTTTGAATTTGCTTGCTTTTATCTTCCCTCCCCATTCCTTTTCCCTTTTGTATCATATCTATTTGATGGTAAGTCTGGAGGCAGGTGCAATCTTTATCTTGCCATCTCTGCACAGCATTTAGAAAGTTTTAAGTGCATTATAAGTGAATAGTAATAATAAGATTACTCTAGCTATGTCCTCGTTCTTACACTAGTCTTGATCACCTAGTGAAGAAACAGTCCTAGGGTGGGATATTAAACAGACAAAATTTGCAAACCTATTCAAACAGCCTTGGAAATAGATGTTCCCACAAAGAGGATTCTTGCCCAGAAAATACGTATGCAAAGAGCCTATTTCCCTTTTCTATCTAATTGCAGTGGAATGGCCTTTTGTATACAGTGATAAGGGGAAATAATGAATGAAAACCTTGAGAGATACAATAACTTGGGGGGGACTTCCATAGCAGTTTAAAAAACCAGCAACACATCACTCTCATATAATGGCCTTGAAATGCTTATAAATCATAAACAGGTTAAATGTTTTAAATAGACAGTAGAAAAGCAACATAGTAGGATTTAAAGAATTCTATGTACCATAACGGTTGGAATAATCCCTTTTTCTCTCTGCACTTTTCTTTCTCTTCTATTTTCTCAAGCTATATTAGCATACAAAATGGCACTGCCACACTCTATCTACTGCCCACCTTCAACAGTTTGTCACCTTTGGCCATAAAGAACTCCAGTTTCTAGCATTAAAGGAAACACTACTGCAAAACACATGCCAAGAGTCAGTATAAGAAAAGCTATAAGACTGGACCAGACCAAAGGTCCATCTAACTGGACGCTCGTTGCATGATGGAGATAGTCATGTACTGTTGTTTCTCTCCCCCATGGCCATACACCCCAAACTGTGACTGAACGTGGAGCAGCCCTTTGCCAGCATGGTGCCCTCCAGACGTTTTGGACTACTATTACCATTAGCTCCAGATAGCTACATGGAGGCACCAGGTTGGTGAAGACTTATACAAAAGACCCATTGTTGACTATCATGTCTCACAACCATGACAGGCCTATTGTCCCTGAATTTGCTAATCCTTTTTTAAAGGCATCTATTGTATTGGCCCTCACAATACTGAACATACTAATAATCAATTCTAATGCTTTCTAAGGAGTGGGAATAGTGTTGCTTGATTATTCTTCCTACACAATTCATAGTTGTGTTCAGTTATAACTCTCCCACAGTTACAAAGCCCCAACAACTTATTGTCTACTCGTATGTTTATCTTCTATTTTCATACCACCCTTCATTGATGAGGCTCAAGGTTGGTGTATATCAGTAAAAATCATATAAAAACAATACAATGAAATACAACTCATATGTAATAAAAATAACTGCACAACTCTAAGACACAGCAGGAAAGGCTGCATTACCATTTCTCACTTCCATACAAATCCAACTGTGGGATATCAACTAACAATTCTTCACCCTAACCTTTCTTCAAAAGCCTGCTGGAAGAGATGTACCTTAACCTATTTCCTAAAATAATACAATTAAGAGTGCATGTGTACCTCAGTGGGGATGGAATTCTACAGGCATGGGGCCACCACTGAAAAGGTCCATCTCATTAGATATACATAAGGGTATTATATATGCCATTGTCTGTTTCTTGCTTCCTCCCCTGCCTCCTTGTTGTGGTATATTGAGCAGATGTTTTCAGTGGAGATCTCATCTGTATATATTGTGAAGGTAAGATATATCTATTTTTACCCCAACATGCCTCACTTTCTGAATATTGAATATATTGATAGAATATATTGAATATAGTCTACATTTCTATAGCCTTGTCAACCAGTTCAAAGAAATTCTTTTCACTTTCTGTATGTCGACTTGGGTTCTTACCATGCTGTATAACTGGTTGACGTATTCTAACTTTGCTACCTGAGTGTTCACCTGTGACTCCAGGTTGGTTATGAATAAGTTCAAAAGCACCAGTTTTACTACAGATTCTTTTCAAGATCACACTGTATTCCATTGCCTTCTTTCACCTGTAGATAATTTAATAGCAATGAAAAGTTTTTGTTTATGAATAGAAGATAAAAAGAATTGTTTTTGTGTGTGCATACTGCTGACAAGCACTCTTACTACAAGTCTATATTTACATATAGCTAACCACAAAAAATTTCCACATTGAGACAATTTACTTGTTATGGTAAATTACTTGCAATAAAGCCTTTGATATACATTCCCATCCACCACTTTTGGAATACAGAATACAGAATACAGAAACTTGGCAAACTAAAGAAAAGCCATTTCCCTGATGACACTTTATTGGTTAGGAATACAACAAAACACTGCAGTCTTGCAAATACATTTTCAGCAAATTGCTGCCTACCTCTACCTTCATTGGTTTACTCCATACTTCTCCTATGGCTTTCTCAGCTCTCCAGCATATGCCCTCTCAATCAGGAAAAGGCAGCACTGAGTTATGGTACCACCAGACCCTTCTCTCTTTCCTGCTATTAAGAGAGAAATGGAGAACTGGGGCAGGCAACAGCCATAGCACTTCTCTTCTGCAGGTAAAAGAAGGCAAGGAGAGAACTGGGCGTGCATGCAATGGCTATGGTGCTTCATTGTGACACTCCTGGGTTATAATGTCTGCTCTTTCTGCACACTTCCTGTGACCAGTGTCTGGAGGAGCTCTGATTAGCAGGTGACATCACACATAGTCAAACAAGAATACAACAGTGGATAGACCTTTATATTTCCCCACAATGCAATAGAAGCTGACTCATTATTCAACAGTCTTCACAAACAGCAGTATATATGCTGAGGCTGAACCAGAACAAAATCTGATGTCAGGTTCAGAATAATGGGTGCACATGCACTAAGGAAATGGCCTCATGAGCGCATGTATTTCTGCTTACTTCATGGATCTTCTCCCTTCTCTTCCCCCGTTTTGGAAATTTCCCCCACCCCCCAGAGCCAATGTGGAGGAGAGCTCCATTGTACTAACAGGACTCACTGTTCTGGCTTCTGCTAGCTTAAGTTTATTAAGTCATGCTCGGTCTTTAAATACTGTATTTAACATTGCAGAAACAACCTGTCATTGCCCTTCTGCTTCTTCTCTATTTCTTTCCCTCACCCCCTTTCCATCCCAATGTCCTCTACTAATTCTAGACTTTTCTTAGTATATGTAGCCAAGCTTAGAATGACATACCACAATGGTACTAGTCTCCTTATCAGATATGCAAATCAGCATCATAATTTGGCCATTTAAATTTCCCCCTTCCCATGTAAACCAGCTGATTAGTTGAAGTGTGCCAAGCTGTGCTATGCTATTTCTTCCAGTACACTTTGCCCCTTGATTACTCCAGAACAGTGGCAAATTTCATGGCTGGAACACTGTGATGGAGTACATACTCAGATCCGTCAGGGATATAAATTTGCAGAAGTCTCTGTACCTTCCCCCTTGCATATACTGGGGCTGGTGCTATAAATACATGAGAGTGAAAGTTAATGGGGCACTGGACCTGTCAAAGTTCTATTGTGATAGGTTTGCTAGGCACTGTGAGAACAAAATTGCTTGCCTTTATGCTGATCTTGATGCCAGTGTCTGGGGAGGTGTTCTTATAAAATTATGTAGGATCAGTTCCAGTTATAAAGGTCTGAGGATGTGGGCAAGGGGCTTGTGGCTCTCCATCCCACAACTTGACACATGCTCATCTTTGCTTCTTGTGTAAATTGGGAGTGTGGGTGGGGCAGACTGGGCGGATCCAGGGAGAGTGTGACCATGTTGCTCCTGCTGGATCTATCAATGCCTTTTGTTACTGTTGATCATGGTATCTTCGTGGACTATAATGTGAGCTGGAGGTTGGAGACACAGTTCTCTAAGTGGTTCTGCTCCTACTGGTCTTAGAAAATAGCACTGGGAGAAATATGTGTCCACACCCTGGCAGTTGCAAGGTGCTGCAAGACACTGTTTTATTCCCAATGCTAATTAACATCCATTTGAAGCTGTTGGAGCATCATCAGGAGATCTGAGGCACAGTGTCAACAGTATGCTGATGACACCCACCTCTATTTCTCCATTAAACATGACTCAGGAGAGGCCGTGTACAAGCTAAACCAGTGCCTGGACTTATTGGTGATGGCCAATAAATTGAAGCTAAGTGGACCTGCAGAAAGTACACACTCTCCCACTATAATTGCCTTACCATTCAAGAGTATTTTCATTATTCCCAACATAGGCCAAGTGAAACTCATACTTGTTGCACGTGGCAAGCATGTAATTGGATCTGCATGAGTGGTCTTGCTAGCCAACATGGTGCCTGCCAAAAGTTGTTGAACTACAACTCCCATCATTTCTGGCTATTGGTTGTGCTTGCTGGGGCTGATGGTATGTTAGTTCCATAACGTCTGGAAGGCACTGTGTTCGCTAGCCTTGTAGCAGACCATTATCTGATGTGAGTGTGTAGACTTGGCTTGGGGGTGGGGTCATACCTTACTGTAAATTGCTTCATGATGGGCCACTGCTTTATCATATAAAATTGTCCATATAATTGTATCCAGTTGTCCAGACATTTATATTATATTATATTATATTATATTATATTATATTATATTATATTATTAATGCACTATTTCCCAAATGCTTTATAACTCGGCTAATTAATATTTGCTGCCACATGCCAAAATTCTCCCCTCTCCAAGAAGACCTTCCTGTCTTCTTTCACAAAATTTGCCTTCAGTGACGTTTTCTCCTTAGCCTTTCATCAACCTGCCTGTTAATTCCAAGGCTCAGTTGTCAATTTTGCCATTTGGCCTGGAATAAGGCACGGCTTTTTATAGTTCATTTGGTTCTGTGACCTCCTGGTCTCTGCTTTCAAGAGGCTGCTGCAAAAAGCAAGCAGAAATAGCCTGTGGTTCTTACCCAAGCCACCCTGACGACCCCACTGGTTGTTCCACCTGCCAGTTCCATAAGCCTATACCAGAACCTTTCCTGGCTTTCATTTCTGATTAATTTATGTCTACTCTGGTGATTGTATATTGATCACCCTTGTTGAGGTGCTAAACCTGTGTCTGGCTTGTACTACTTAGGCTACAGGTGATGGCTTTAATGGTTTAATGTTCTTCCATTGAAAAAGTCCCTGTATACAGCAAACAATGTGCCAATGAGTAAACCTAGAGGTGATTTCTACCTGACATGCTAGATTTTTATAGGCAAGGTTTTATATGGCAGAAAGCATCCAATTATGTTGAACCTCCACCTGCAGTCTGAGGTGGTACTTTTACAAGCGTGCTACCTTAGTGAGTTGGACAACTCTCTTCTTTGTTCTGTGTCTGAGCTTACTTTGCCTTCTTCCTGTATATATATTATGGCCCAGAACTGATCATCCAGAAGTGGGGAACCTTTATCCCTCCATACGTTGCTGGACTACAACTGCCTTCATCCCTGACCACTGGACATGATGGGTGGAGCTGATGGGAGATGGGAGTCCAACAGCATCTCCTCTAAATCTAATAAATACAGCTAACAATCTAAACTGTGTGATAAAGTTTAATTTTGCAAATACTGCATTCAACAGTATTCATATACTACATAGTTTTAATGACTGGTGGGAGTGGCAGAGAACAGCTAGAAGGGGAGTTTGAATGTGTCTCTGGCTCCTTTTGAAATATACTGGATATAAAAGCTGGAAGTTATATTTCTCATCACAAAACAAAGAGTATAATGTTACTCCCTGGCTCTGCCTATTATGTAAAATATAGAAATGATGTAACCAAACATCCCTTTTAATCCACATCTTTCTGAAGTGAAAGTATTGTATTTACGGTAAGTAATCATGTACCACACAGCCTTCGGAACAGTTACCCTTTTCCTAGGGAGCTAATAAGGTAATAAGCATCAACAACAAAGCCTCTGCCCACTGCATCATGATATCCTAACAGCTTGTTAGGTCAGCTTGGTATCACTGAGGAGAATATTTTCTTCATTGGCCAAATTATTCCCACTGGATAATTTTCTTGCACAATATGCTATTTGCCTAGAACATGATATGTCACCCATTCTTGTCTTCATATTACTCTTTTGTGTTGTCAAGGTTTGGGTTCAGACTTAGTCATGCTTAGGGAGGACCCACTGAAATCAACAGAACTTATGTCAGTTATGACTAACTTGAGTCCCATTTATTTCAGTGGGTGTAACTCTAAACATGACTATGTCTACATCTAACCCAATGTTTTGTACGTTCAACCGATTCTCAACTTTCTCCATCCAACCTAACTTCAATCCAGCTGTTATCCTACACCCAAACATTGAACTTCTGGACAACCTGTTTGCATTCTCCAACTCCTTCCCCCGCCCCCAACTCCAGCCAAAATGCTCACAGTCTGGTTTCTTATGGGTGTGCTGTTATACAGAAGCTTGTAAAATAATTTGAAATATATTGTACAATATTTTATTCCATACTAATTTTTTATTTTTTGCATTAAAAAATGTTAATCTATAATTAGGAGAATGATATTTAAGTGGCTACCTTATGGGACTACCACATCTAATATTATGGGTCAACTAGCAGAGGTTTATTTCCATGTAAGTGTGATAGCACTGGAGCCTTAGGCTGCAATCCTGACCCCACTTACCTAATAATAAGTCCCACTGAACTCGCTAGGACTTACTTCTGAGTAGACATACTTAGGTTTGAGGCCATAGTCATTAATTTTATTTATTAACGGACACCTTCCAAGTTTGCTATGACCAAATATATGAAGCTGATTAAAACAATTTGGAAACAGTGTGACAGACATGGTGTGGCTTGATTTTCTAAGAGGAAAACTGGAAATATTTTGGTTAGTAAAAAGTCAACCGTAAATTTGTCACTAAGTAGCCAAGGTTGGTACAAATATTGCACTAAAGCACATAATAAATAAATCTGAGAACTGAAGTCAAATCACTTACATTTTGTTAGCACAATTTTATTCTCTGGTGCACCTAACTCACTGCAATGTGAACTAAAATAGAAGCAGATCTAGTAATTATTCCAAAAAGAATATTGTATTTGTATGGATGCCATGCATTTATAATAAACAAAAGTGCTATTGAATCATTTTCTCATCCTCAAAGTATAACAGCAACAAAAATATTCTGGCTTTTCAAACCTCCATGTCTCTTACATTTGGCTAATAATCACTGCCCTTAAAAGAGATTAGTCTTTAGTGGGCAAATACTGCCCTATCCCATAGTATATACCTGGTAAGTGAAACAAATATATACCCTGATGCACTGTTAAGATATCATCTTTACTATTCACTAACAAAACAACCTTCAAAGAGTAATCAGAATACAATTCCTCTCAGTTACAAACAAATCTAATAAACTGAGCATATATAGCTATATATTCAGACATTTATCTTTTACCCACCTGCACTCAAACTCTTGAAGCAAAGTATTTAATTTAAAGGGGGAACCTCACCCCAAATAAAGAAAGCTGTCTTTCCCCAGCTTTAAACAGCACTCTGGAATACTGCAGCCAGTATTTAGGAAGACTCTGGCACTAGACAAAGCAGTCAGACTTACTGATTTTCTCCTCATCTCTCCCAAAAGGATAGCAGCAGAGTTGACCCATGGCATCTACAGCTTTATTTTCGTCCTTGCCCTTGCAGTGTGTACACCCCAAACTGCAAAGTGGAGAGCAATCTGGAGTCTAAAGGAAAACTGTTCATTCTACTCCAAGGAAGAGAGAAAAGCACACACAGAGGCGAGGAAAAGGGAAAGCAAGTGAGCTGTGTGCTGTGATGTACGAACAAGGCTCCACCTCCTTGTCCTTGTGTATAATGCTTTAGCACAGATAGTTGAAGAGAGGGGGAAACTCACTTTTTAATCTGGACTGATTAACAGAGACAAGATTCTCCATACACACACCTCATACATTTTACAGGGCTTCCTTGCACAGGGATTTTAAAGAAATAAGACACTGTGCTTTGCCACTATCAAGAAAATATGTATTACAATAGCTAGTTGTTGTTGGGTTTTTTTTTAAAAAAAATCAGTTTTTATTAATCTTAGAGTTCATAAAGTGCTAGAGCTAGTGTTGCCTTAACAACTTTTTTATTTTTCTGGGTGTCCTCTGCTTTTAAAAGCTGCATGACTGGCAGAAATGTAGCAGGTGCAGCTTCTTCTATCACTAAATCAGCAAAAAGTCACATCTGTTAAATTCTTGTCTGTTTAATGACATTTGAAGAAATAGGAACTCTACCAGGAAAAGGTGGTAACTCTACTTGGCTTTTCTATCTATTCTAGTTACCTATTCTACTTGGGAATTATAACTCTCTTTCACTTCCCCTTGCCCTGCCATATTTAAGCTCTCAGAGAATGTAAAGTCCCATTAGACTCCAACTAACACTAAATTTAAATGATGCCTCATTATAATTCTGTAATTAATGACAAAAAAATTAATGTAAAGTAAGAAAATGCTTATTAGAGCATGTCCTCCAACATGTCCTGCAATTGTTCCATAAGCAGAAAGGTAAAGGACCCCTGGATGGTTAAGTGCAGTCAAAGGTGACTATGGGGTTGTGGCGCTCATCTCGTTTTCAGGCTGAGGGAGTAGGCATTTGTCCACAGACAGCTTTCCAGATTATGTGGCCAGCTGATCAAAACCAGTTCTGGCACAATGGGACACTTTGATGAGTGCCAAAGTACATGGAAGTGCTGTTTACCTTCCCACCACAATGCTACCTATTTATCTACTTGCACTGGTATGCTTTCGAACTGCTAGGTTGGCAGAAGCTAGGAGAGCAATGGGAGCTCACCCCATTGTGTGGATTCGAACTGCCGACCTTCTGATTGGCAAGCCCAAGAGGCTCAATGGTTTAGACCAGGGGTAAGCAACCTAAGGCCCGTGGGCCAGATATGGCCCAATCACATTCTAAATCCAGCCCATGGAAAGTCCGGGAATCAGCGTGTTTTTACATGAGTAGAATGTGTGCTTCTATTTAAAATGCATCTCTGGGTTATTTGTGGGGGATAGGAATTTGTTCATTTCCCCTCAAAAAATATAGTGTGGCCCCCCACATGGTCTGAGGGACAGTGGACCAGCCCACAGCTGGAAAAGGTTGCTGACCCCTAGTTTAGACTACACTGCCACCCACTCCCCTAGCAGAAACAGTGACAGGAACTGGACTGAAGAGCAAAGAGTTGAGAGGATGTCCATGAGATAGATCACTTTACTGCGAGAACCGTGAAGTTGTTTTTTCTCCAGTGTGTTTCACAGTGCTTCTACCACCCCACCCCACCATTCATCTTAACAAGGTTTAATTTGTTTTCGTTTGTGTACATACCAGGGGGCATTGACATGCAGGCATGCCCATGCAAAGGCGTTCACACTTTGGCTGGAGACAAAGAAAACTGCAAACTAGGAGATTCCACAACCTCACCATCTTGTTCCTTTGTTTCACCACTCTTATATCTTTACCTAACACTTCAGTGCCCCTATGTGATAGCCCATAAAAACATGTAAGACCTGGCAGAGATCACATGACACAGATTTATGAATCAGGGTGGCCTAAACACATGGCTCTCTTTGATCTTCAATTTTGGATAAAACCTCATTGATCTTAGGATGACAACAATCTTTGTTGTCGTTTTTACAATATCATTAACAATTAGCAAGTTGCTTCAGTATCACCAACATACAAAAGCAGAGGGGTTTTATTTTTAAAAAATATTTAATTGTACCCATGTGTTATAACAATCTGAAAAGAACACAGTGTCCTAACAATGTTGAGGGCTGTCCCATTATCATTTTGCTGCCAAAGCAGGGACAGGAGAAGTCAGATGGTGCCTCCGTGGAAATACTGGCATTTTCTTTTTAAAAATAGAATACTAGGAAGACAGCAACCTCCTAAACCATTCTGATATGACAGAATGGATTGTAAAACTGTATCAGGCATGGTAACAGATTCATCTACATTTTGTAATAAAGCATGTCTTATCTAAGCAGAAATTGTCAGCCTGTCTAATCACGAGTTTGGGGAAAACACATGACCCATATTCTAAAGTACAAATGAATTAAACATGACTGCTTAACACACATCTACAGGGCATAAGTAAAAACCAGCCATTAAAGCAAGGGAGAATATTTCTGACAGTAACGAGTTTCAGTCATCCTTTTCGGGGCATCCAAGAACTGCACGTGCACCAATTAATATACAAAGCAAGCCGGAAAGGGGGGAGAAGTGCAGTAAAAGCCAGTGCCAATGTCAATGAATCTGATCTCTGTGAATCTGTGTCAAAAGCAATCCAGCTGATTTCAAAGGGAGAGTTAAGAATGTGCTTAAAGTTTTCACACAGAATTTAATTAAACTTCAAGATGCATAACTTCAATTGGATTGTCCCCATGAGAGTTAATGAAGTGGAGCAGGCAAACATATGAGCTGAACTTGCCCAGTGTGAATCATATCTCTGTCATGAACTTACTAAATGGCTGTCTGGCAAGCTACTATTTCTCAGACTCAGTGTCCCTCCCACTCCCAATATGCAACACAGAGATAATTATGCTGACCTACCTTACAGGGTTGTTGAAAGGATTACTAAGAACATACATATGAAACAGTACAAGCAAACTAAAGTGCTGTTCCAAAGTTAAATAATGGTTCATGCTAGCCACGTTACTTCTGAGATTATTATTAATGCAATTAATGGTGTCATTTTGATCTTCTGGTCTAAGAAGTAGTTCTTTTAGGATGTGAATAAATGACCCACCCTAGGGAGAAATACAGACTTCAACTCTTGATATTGCGAGTCGGCTCATTAAAATATTTTCCAGAACCTACAAACTGATGCCATCTTTTTAAATTTAAGTAACAAATTAACAGGTAGTAAAACTACCCACTGAATCCATTCAATTAACATTCAACGGGTTAAGCATATTTTTCTTTTGTTATTAAAAGAAGATCAGGTATATTGGCCTTTAGATTTTTAGGCACCGGAATGGAATTTTTCATGCTAGTCGGGATTTATTTCTAAAAGCCTTTCTAGGCTGCATTCTTATAATCAAGGGGCCTTATTCTATAACTCCTTAAATCTTTACATGCCTTCTATTTAGAGTTCGGTATTGAATCTACCATCTCATATCTCATTTCAGTTCCTAAATAGAAAAAAATAGTGCATTTCCCAAAACAGTCATTGGTTTTGGCTGTTCACTATGATACATTTCATAATATAGTGATGCAAGAGGATACTTGCAAAATTCAATCCTTACACACATACAGTGCTACCTCAGGTTACAAACTTAATTTGTTCCGGAGGTCCGTTCTTAACCCGAACCCATTCTTAACCTGAGGTGCACTTTCACTAATGGGGCCTCCTGCTGCTGCTGCGCCGCCGGCGTGCAATTTCCATTCTCATCCTGGGGCAAAGTTCTCAACCTGAGGTACTACTTCCAGGTTAGCGGAGTTTGTAACCTGAATGTTTGTAACCCGAGGTACCACTGTATATTGGCTGGATTAACAGAGCTGATTTTTTAAGAACCAAAAAGCAGAAGAATTGCAGAACCATTTCTCTCCCAAGAATGTATTCCTACAATGAACAAAACCCCATTTCACAATATTTCTCAGGAGAATACACTACAATTCTCAAACTATTTCAGCTACATGTAACAGGTTTCAGAGTTCAGCCATATTTTGATGTGTAAATACAGACCCCAAAGCACCAGACTTAACAGCTTTATGGCACTTCCTAGCTCTCAGTTTTTATTTTCAAACAAAAAATGTGCAGGCTGAAATTCCCTGACTAATATGCCTATCTTTATCAGATGCATGCCTGCTTATCACATATAAAAACACAAAACCTGAAAAACATATTTAAAATTGGGCCGGAATGCTTTCAGAACCCAACACTGAAATACTGAGAGCAATTTCTCATAGGCAGAATGGTGTGCCCAAGCTGTTAAAAGAAAATCTTTTATAAGTACATTAGTTAAATCAAACCAGCTTCAAAGACAGCTTTATCTTAGTGCTTGGAAACCAGACAGTTCCACAGTCACACACTATTTTGAATCTATTTCAGGTTTTAACCTATATATCTCAGCATATTTTAACAGCTTGGCACAGTTACTATTTCTTTGTTCCGAGAAGTAAGCTTTTAATACCTCCATCATTCAGTGCTTCTCATTCTCAATTTAAAATAAAACCACAGGGAAAAGGGAACATCTCAGGAGGAAATTGCACTGGAAATTATTCCCGTGTCTTCATAGTGATTTATTACACTGTATAGCTTGTACTTGTCTCCATTATGTATTAGTCAGTATGTCAATAACAAATTAATACAAGATTTCAAAATGGTTTCATTATTATTAAGTATCCCATCTGAAACATTGTAATAGTAAATTAGCCAGGCACACATAATGCTTAAGTCAACACACAGTAACAATTGATCTGAAAGGTTATAGAAATGCCTGAAAGGCATTTCTAAAGAAAAAGTTGTTAGAAGGTCATAGCAAGCAGTCAATTACATTTGTTTATTTCAATTTCGAGCCTGTTCTTCATGAAATTAATGATATCAAGGTAAGTTGCAGTACAAAATATGACCAAAAATCATATATACAGTATTCCAAATGAAGTCACAACATAGAGTTGTGTAACAGCATTCTGAAAGAATGCAAGACATACAAAATATACAATTAACTCAACCTGCAATATTTTGATTAATAATAGTTATAGAAATATAGGAAGCTACCTTATACTGAGTCAGAACATGGGCTCATCTAGCTCAGTTCCATCTATGTTGATTGGCAATGGCTGTCCAGGGTTTCATACTGAGGTTTTCCCCCAGCCCTACTTGGAGATGCCGGGGATGGAACCTGGAACCTTTTGCATACAAAGCAGCTGCTCTAACCACTCAGCTAGAGCCTTTCCAGAAAGAGATGCTATTATGAAGCACTTAGTATTGTGTCTTCTCAAATCCATACTGTGATATCACAGTTCACATAATAAATAGAATATAAAGAACCTTTGCCCTCAAGCTTAACAGCAGCTGGTAAAGCTGCACAACTGCTAGAATTATTTACAGAGGGGAAACATTCAGTTTCTCAGAAGCAAGGCCAAATTCTGCTCGCTTGAACCTTAACAGCAGCCATGGCTTAGCCACACATTCACCCATTTTGAAAAATAGGAAAGCACTGTTTTGCTAACATGGCAACACTCCTGTCATTTCAGCAGCATTTTGTTCTTCCAGTCCTGTTAAATAGGTTGACAAGGTTTTTTTCTTTTTTCTTATTAATCTTACGTAGTGCAACTGAAGAAAATAGTCACATACTTTAGGGATAAATTTCATGTTAGGTACAAGTGCATGTGGTTTAATAACACAGTGCCTCCCCCCCCCTTTTTAAAGCCACTTACTGAGTAGTACTAGAGAAGTAACAGGAAGGGTGATTAACCCTTTACCTTAATGCTTCTTTACATTCTCCCTCAGAGAGTTTCAAATATGTAAAAACACATGAGTGAGGAAGTCATAGGTATGCAAAAACTTAAGCATGCATGAAGGTACAGCTCCAGCATTTCACAGAGTGAGGCAAGCACCTCGCATGGTGGATGCTGAGCGGGAGCAGCAGCCACCTTCAGCTATAATCCACCCATTCTTCTCTGTTGCCACATGTTCTCTCCTGTCCTCCTAATCTGGCCTGAAGCTTCACTTGTGATAAGGATCCTATCCTGTCACCAGTGTTGAAGGAAGTTTTAACTACAGTCCAGTCAGTTTTGGTATGTGGGAGGTGCCACCTTGTCTGCCTCAGGCAGCAAAATGTCTTGGGCTGGCCCTGCATGTATGTGCCTACACAGTCGAGCTAAGAGGAAGGCACGCTTGGCAAATCCACACCGTGATCAACTCCCGCCCAGGAACCAATGTCCCCACAGTGGAAGGACGTGTGGGTCCAGAATTGGCCTCCACAGTCACTTATGGATTCATTGTCAAAACAGTGTTTATGGAAGACAATCTTACTCGGCTATGAGTGATCGCCAAAGAAGAAGAAAATGACGACGACACAGTTGCACACACCTGCTGCTTCCCAATCACTTCCGCTTGAAAAGGCTTTTCAAGAAACAGGTTACAATTGCACATATATGCATATAATATGCAGATATGATGACTGGAATTATGAAGCCTGGTGAGAAGCATGGTTTGATAGGAGCATGACAAGTAGTGTTATTTTTCACAAAGCTCCAGTCAGAATCATGTCACCTCTGAGACCCACAGGCTCAAATCTCAGCATCTCTAGCCAAAGGGTATCAGTGAACAAGCTTAAAAAAAGATGAGAGGTCTCTAAGAGCCACTTTCAGACTAGCGTGGATAGAGAAGTGATCTCCTCATTATAAGCAGTTTCATGCGTTCACTTAAATGTTGCCATTATTTTTAAATTTTATTTTGAATATATTAAAATGATATTCACTGCATGAAAGTCTTACACTTTATTCTGCTCTTGAATGCTTATACCTTTGCAAGGGATGTAGGGATGTAAGGTGGGGGGAATTCAAAGTCCAGAATATGCTAGGCTTGCCAAGTTTGGCCCAGGCCTAGAGAAGCATGATAATATGCTGCAGCTGCTGTTTCAGTATCTGACCAACCATTTCCCCCCAACCCGTACTTCTGCCTGCTGTGGCAAGCACATCTCTTGCTGCACTTCACAGAAAATACATTTATTCTGCATACCTTCTAACTGCCCAGAGCTCTTACATACAGCTATATGCATAGTCACTGGGTCTGAATTTGGCAACCATTAACCATGCAGCATGGACTCTAAGCATTACATTATTTTATGATGAATTTGGTAATTTGCAATGGGTTTATATTACATATAACACACATATCAGATAGGTAAGTTTTTATTCATGGCTGAACTTACTCTGATTCTGTTATATTGTTTTGGTTTCCGAATGTTATTGTATTTTATGGCTAGTTTTAGTTGTTGTAAGCTGCCCGGAATTGTGTATAGACATCAAAAGTGTGAGATGTAAGTTTTCATAGAAATGGTGTGTGTGTTCTCTTCTACATGGGAATATTAATTACCTGCAAAATCCAGAAACAATAACGCTAATGCTTGTTGTTGTTTAGTCATTTAGTCGTGTCCGACTCTTCATGACCCCATGGACCAGAGCACGCCAGGCACTCCTGTCTTCCACTGCCTCCTGCAGTTTGGTCAAAAACGCTAATGCTATTCTATCATAATTACTAACAGAAAAGCTCAGTATGCTCTCATAGTGAGTAGGAGAAATGGAGGTTTTTAAAAAAGTCTCAATTGTCTTCATGTCAAAATTTTAATATTCTAATATTTGAAGTTTTGGTAACATTTGCAAAGAAATTCCAGTATTTGACATTAACTGACATTTGGTAGCTGATGGCATTTAATAGTTGATGTGCAAGTTATTAAATATTTGACAGTCGATACGTAGGGCTCCATAGTAGGCACATGCATTTTGCATTTAGTAATTTTTGTTAAAACAATATGTTAGATCCAGAGATCTCCTTCATGAATGGAAAGGTCTCCTCTGTTCATGGGCTGGACTCTGATCCAGTTGAGGCTCTTGTCCTGCTACCTGTAAGTTACTCTGGACAGTAACTTAGGGGCTGAGGAGGCTGCTAGTTTATGGCAATTCTCCCCTGCAGTGTCCCAGGGGCCCTCACAACGTCCCAAGCAAGTTTTCAGGAGACATACAGGGCTGCAGAGGAACTATAGCATCCTATTAGCAGGGGTCTACCCAATACAAGTCTGGATCCAACCTATTTTTAAGAAATTTATTATTAAAAAGATGGTAAAACCAGGGAAGCAAACTGGAATTTTGTTCCCATTTTCTACCACACACAGTATCTTAACAAGAGAAGCTAGACATTCCTCATACTGAATAATGAGGATGATGAATTATTTTATTTTTAGAAATATTTTCTGGAATCTTGCATGTTGCTTCTCAACTGAAACAAAGACAAGTTTACAGAGCCAATGGAAAAATCTCTAACCTGTGGGTATAGGGTGGTATATGAATTAAATAAATAAAAATAGTAATAATAATAATTGGGACAGTGTGTAGTGGAATTTCAAATCTTGTGCTCAGTTGGAGATGCTCAATTATAATGTTTTTTTTACAACCACACCCCTCCCAAAAAATTCTCATCCTCAATATATATACTAAGCTTTAAAGACAAAGGCAGTTTGGATTTAGTAGCAGCAAAAGGAACTTTTCCTGCTGTTCTATATTGTTGCCTAGATGCTGTGGCATTAAACCTAAAACGTTTTAATAGCAATGCTCACATTATTTCTGAAGCACTGACCTGTTCAACAGTGTATCTTATTTTAGAATACCTCAGAGGGCTGCAATGGCCATCAGAGCAGAATCTCTGCGCAATCATGCAGCATTCTCTGTAATCTCTGGAGACTTTGGATAGCCATCAGATGTTGAAGAAAGAAAAGGGCCATTCTGGCATTTTAACAGAAAAGAAAATGGTTTTTTCCTATACTTATTCTTATTTATCTTATATTGCCATTATCCAGGCAAGACAGTGATAATCTGGGGGGTTTTAAGAAAGCTTATTTGAGATAAAAGTGTGTGATTTGCTTGGATGGTGTTGCATTCCCCTTAAAAAAGCACGTGCTGGTTATTACCTGGGCCTTCTCATATGATCCTTTCTGGCACTCAGGTACCGTATTTTTCCATGTATAAGACTAGGTTTTCCCCCCTAAAAAATAATGTCCAAAGTTTGGGGGACCATCTTCCCCCATTTTCTTAAATTGGAGTCCCCCAAAATAGGGGTCGTCTTATACATGGGGGTGTCTTATAGACCGAAAAATATGATAATTAATGTAGGCCATGATTTGAGCCCCAAAACCAGCAGAAGCATAGCTGTAAAGTGGAAGGTTTTCTTTGTCATGATGCCCAGCAGCTGAACTCGACCTTAGGATATTTATTCAGCCTCCTCACAGTTGGCGTTCAGATGTCAGGTAAAAACTATATTGTTCTGGTATTGTACTGCACATTTCATTTTGCCTTTTGATTTTCTAAAATCTCTGTAAGCTGCCTTGGAAGCCATTTGGCTACAAAAGGCAAGGCTGAAATAATTTAATTAATAAATATGGAAGGCACTGGAAATGTTTGTATATAGTGGACTATAAAACACTTTGATGATTATTATTTTTTTACAATCAAGCAGTATATACATTCTATGAAATAAAAATAAGTGAGAGCTAAACACCGGAGTAGGTGGCTCAGGTCATATGAACAGTCTCCCCATGTATTTTTCTGAGGGGTTCTGACTCTCCAAAGCAGATGTGGGGGAAGCACAGCGGGGAGTGGGAAGACCACCACTGTGGTAGCAGGAGTCTGTGTGCTGGCTTCCAGCAACACACTAGGTGACTTGAATTTGGCCATTTGTATACTTAAGCCTGCCTATTTTCATTATGCTAACAATTTCTTCATTGAGTCCAGTTCCTAGCATGGCATTGTTGAAAAGGTGCAATGCAGTCTACGGCTCATAAAACATTTCCATGGTAGCTGTAATAAGAAATCATGTGCCCACACCACTAGGTTCCTAGGACAGGGGCACCTTCTTCAGCCCAAGAAGAACATTCCCTTGTAGACAGCCTGTGATAGTGGTGGGGAATGTGGCAGTGATGGGCAGAGTCAGAGGCACAAGTGTGCAGGGCAAGTGAGATGACTATTATTTTTGCACAGGCCTCCTTCCAACCACATAAAAGTCAGAGGTTTTTACCCAAACATCTCTCCTGCTAGGCAAGCAGGGGGCATTAGCACCGTTCAAGGACCAATTAGAGCAAGGCAAAAGCACTCACGGAACAGGTGCTGCAGGGCAATCGAGAGGTGTGTAGCCTAGGGCAAATTCTAAGGGTCAGTGAACCCTAAAGGGATGCATCGAACCTCAGGGCCTGCAGTTCCCCACTGAGGTTCCCTACCCCTACCCTTGTTGTTGTTGTTTAGTCGTGTCTGACTCTTCGTAACCCCATGGACCAGAGTACGCCAGCCACTCCTGTCTTCCACTGCCTCCCGCAGTTTGGTCAAACTCATGCTGGTAGCTTCGAGAACGCTGTCCAACCATCTCGTCCTCTGTCGTCCCCTTCTCCGTGTGTGCTCCATCTTTCCCAACATCAGGGTCTTTTCCAGAGAGTCTTCTCTTCTCATGAGGTGGAGCCTCAGGTCCGGATCTGTCCTTCCAGTGAGCACTCAGGGCTGATTTTCTTCAGAATGGAGAGGTTGGATCTTCTTGCAGTCCATGGGACTCTCAAGAGTCTCCTCCAGCACCAGAATTCAAAAGCATCAATTCTTCGGCGATCTGCCTTCTTTATGGTCCAGCTCTCACTTCCATACATCACTACTGCAAAAACCACAGCTTTAACTATACAGATCTTTGTCGGCAAGGTGATGTCTCTTTTTAAGATGCTGTCTACCCCTACCCTAGCACCTATGATAATTCAAAAAGGATTAAATGTGTGCAAATTGTGAAAGACAGGAGTTCAATGTTTTGTTTTTGATGCCCAAATATCTGTCTTAACAGTAAGGGTGCCTGCATTGTCCACTGAAAACTATGTAGCATTACATAGGCTGTTTGTAAATTACCAGCTTTAAAGTAGTTCTTTTTCTCAATTTGGATTGAAGCTGGTTTGGGAGAAAACTAATCAAAACACAGTACTTTATAAGAAATGATGGGATAGAGAAAGGATTGTGGTTAATGCTGTGTGCTCATCATTTCCCAAACCAGCACACTGGATGTAAATACGAGTGTGTATACATAGAGCCTGATAGTTTGAAAGAAGAGAAAATGAAGGTGCTGATCATGTTTGTCTCCTCACATTCTTTAACAGCTGATTTACACATAAATGTGCATCACTTGATGCCTCACATCAACACACATGCTGACTTGCATCTTAGCATGTACGCTGCATGTTCAGAATGCATTGTGTTTGAAGTGATACAAGGTGCCTTAAAAGCTTTGTGATATTTTGGACAACACAACTCGGGAAAGTATTTGCTGGGAAAGTGGTTTAGAACTATGAAAAATAAAATAAATGAAATTTATTTGCTTTCACTTGTTACTGCAAAAAATGAATAAATGAATATAGTTATATGCAAGTCTTTTTTTCCAGCCACAACTTACAAGAACTCAGTTCTGGCACCTCTCAGCTGGGCACCATTGCCATTCTACGAGAATGAGGGAGGTGTTCATGGTGAGGTACAACACCTCTTTTTCTAGAAAACAGCACTGGTTGTATGAATTTACCCACAGTACAGTTTATAATGGGAAATACACAAGAATCAGCACAGGGCTGGAAGCTTGACCTCAGTGGTAATAGTGCAATACTGCAAACACTGACAGACTGATAGCTGTGAAACAGGAGTAAGAGGATGAAAAGGGGAGAGAGTTCTTGCTTCCCTATAACAGCATACATATGCAAAACATAAGTAACTTATCGCATACTGAGGAAGACAGGAGACAGCTGATAGTTGCATCAAGCACCTGTTCCAAAACACTATCTATCTTTCTATGTATGTACTAATAGCCATCATTAAGAAGGGGAGTTAAAACAAACCTGTTTAGAGCTATAAGTAGTAACTGAGCCCTTTACAGATGTTTTATTTTTGCACCGTATCTTCCTGAGGTATCAAAATAATGAAGCTTCTAATTAGGGAGTGCGAAACAAATATTGCTGTCACGTCTTTTCAGATCTTTTTCTTTCATATTCAATTCACTATAAATATACTAGAGTGGCACTTTTTGGTTTAAAAATAAAAGCGCTCATGAGCAATACCTATGATTTTTTAACAAAGAAACGGAGGACCAATTTGGAAAGCCATTGTGTGCAGTCCTGTGAAAAATACAGGACAGCTTAATGAGAATTTAGTCAGAAGTTACAATGGTAAGAATGTCCTGGCTCACTTTGAAACCTTAGGCCTTTTCTTTGCCGCTCTGGATCCTTCAGTTTCTCACACATTTATTTATCAGCTGCTGAATGTGAAAAAATGATCTGACCTTAAAATGTTTTCCTTGAAACATGTGGAAGTCTTAACACTTCCCCTATCTGCCCACTCTGATCTCACGCCACTCGGCTGACTTCATTTCCAGCATAGCCTTTTCCCCATCAGTCTCATCAGGACTGATATCGCTGGCAGTGAAGAACAAAAGGTATAAATGAAATCATGAAAGATTTAAAGCACCATCTCTTTCTACTGAAGAAACTACTTTCAACTGTATTTCACATAAACCACTGAAAGACAGTGACATTGCCTGGTTTACACATGCAGAATGAGGTGGTAGAATTTGAGGTGCTAAGGGTGGACAGTACCTACCTGAGATTGCAGAGAGTCGCATCACATTTTTTAATACTCCTCCACAAAAAAACTTATGGGGAGGCATCCTGCTAATGCTAGGGTGAAAGATTCTAGGTCACCTCTTTTCCTGCTCTGCTAGTTTCTACTTGCATTGAGTTTTCCTCGCTTTCTTTTTAACAGAGAGAGAACTTAAAATTTGATTCGCATCCTGCAATCTGAAGTAGCACAGTGAATTTTTCTACATCAGGTCTTGACAACTTAATTCCTGTCTCATTGTACTGCAAGATAAAATAGGCCATCACTGTCTATGGAGCAACATGACCAAGGCTCTGCCCTGCTGCCCGAGAACTGTATTCTTAGAAATAATAAGGCAGCTTTCTTTCCTATAGTGGGGGAACTTGAATAGAATAAGAATAGAATAAAGCATGAGCAATTGTTCTGACAGTAAACTCACAATGCGCAAATGCAGCATAGATGACACAGGAATAGACACACATACATGCTGCAGGAAACAGGAACTTACTAAATAAGGAGTGATGCAGGAATAAACTAATTAAAGGCCCATAGAAGCCCCATTACCTTTTGCTTGTTCAAACAAACATGAAAACTGAGGATGCGAATGCATTTCAAAATTGGCATTAAGCACGATAAAAAAAATAAAAAATAGAAGGCCACGTGGAAAAACTGATTGCAATTGTTTAGCCATGTTATATTTGACAGTTATTTTTACTCAGAGCCCAAAATATAAATTGCAAGAATAAACATTAGTAATAATCTCTGCTGCATGCTCCAAAGCAGAATAAAAGCCAAAATCAAATGACACAGTGGTGAGAAGTGAACCTGAACAACATACTGAACTTGCTTTGAACTGTTTCATTAGCAAAAAAATATTACGGTATCTTTCTAGTATATATAAACTCACTTCCAAGAGCACCTTTCCCTTGCTAATAAAATGCCTCTTTATGCCATAATACCTTAAGAAAATGTTATAGACTATCAACATAAAATTCAATAAAGGATATTGATTTTACTCAGGCTAAAAATGTAATGTATTGGATTGCATCCAATAATGCCCTTCTGCAAACAGAACAAATGTTTCCATGTACAGAAGATCTCACTGAGGCTCTGCTAACAGAAGATGGGGATAAGAGAGCTTTGCCACTTCATCCTTTCCCCTGTAGTTCCATACGCCACCTTCCAACTGCTGTGGATAATCTAGGTTTATGGGGTTACAGAGGGCTGCAGGTAGAAGAAGAAATCAACAGGAATCATTTCTCCTTGCCTTCCATTAGTGAAGGCTTCTAACTGGAGTCAACATGCTACTTCTAGCACATCTGTATGTATTTATTTTAATTAAAAAGTATCTACACTACTTTTCGTTTGGAGTAACAGTGAAGCACTTCACAATGCAAAGTTACAAAGTTACAAACCAGCATTATCAGTAAAAATGTCATAAGGACCAAATCATCTGGGGTGTGTCAGGGGCACCCAGGGTAAAGAGTATAGTTCTTTTCACTGTTGAGGAAAGCGCCCCATTGAAATAAGCTGATGGAGAAAGGTCCTGTAGGCTAACCAAAAGGTATTTTTGCCATCACAATACAAGTCTTTGGTTACTGAGTAATATAGAAATGTGGTATGTAGTTACTTAATAATAAAAGCCACTGCTTTTATACATTTCTATAGCAAATGAAAACTTTACTCTGCTTTAGTCCTCTGTATGCTGCAGTAATTATAAGGGTTGTAAGTTGATTAATTATGCTTTAGTCACCTGGCTTTCTACAAATAAAGAAATATATTGATTAAAGCCTTTTTAGGATATTGCAGGAAGAGAATAGTTTCACCTGTGTGAGAAATTAATAATAAACAAATGGCATTCAACTGTTGAAAATAAATTTATTTAATTTGCATCTCACTCCAATATCACCCCAAATCAGTTCCTCCTCTGTCTCCCATTCTGGTGGTCCTCTCTGTCCTTCACTGTTGCTCCCTAGCAGCTGTTTGGTATTCCTACTACTACTACTTCTGTCAAAGCTGTTGCTTTTGCTCTGGGTGCAGAGCTGCTTCTGTTCCCTCTTAATGTGGCACAGTTAGGCGCAGTACTAGCCACTGGCAGCTTTTTCTTTTTCTTTTTGCATTTCCTTTGGCAGTTGTCCTTAAGGAAATGTCCTCACGTCTTTCACACACAGCAACAAGCTTGACCTGCTGTCAATACAGTACGTTAAAAATAAATAGATTTCATTACCTTTAAAAAACAACAACAGTGCTGCTTTGTAAGCGGTAGGAGGCACTTGGAACCAGATCTGGCATTTAAAAAGAAAGGAAGGTCAGATCACGACCCCCTGTCCACCTCCAAAACCCCTTCCCTAAGTGCCAGTTTCATGAATTTTACTGGATGAACAGGGAAAAGGGGCACAATCCCAAGCAGCTGGCTGTCTGGTATGGAAGAGGACACTAGGCCACCCTAAAGAAAGGCCATCTCTGCTAAAATCCAAATGGCTTTTAAAAATGAAACTTATTAGTATCGTGGAAGATCCAGACTTAAATGAATTATTGACGCTGAACACTGTTTGCTTCAGCTGGCTCTGGTTCTCATTGTTAGAAAGCTAGAGTAGTTTCACATGGAAAGGAAAAATATAAGCTGACTTCCCATTCGTAAGTCATTTTTAAGTGTGCTGTTTTTCCATGTACACACAATGGCGTGGGATATAGGAACCTCCTGCATGCAACTTTCCCTCAGTCACAGCCTCTCCTATTAATCCAGGAGGGGGAAAGCAATTTTAATGTTAATGTAAAGCTTTAATTTTTTTTAATCCATCAATCAAGTTGCTTGAAGTTTACAGCCCTGGCAATTATAAATTTAAACAGTGCCTATTATTTCCCGTTTAATCTGACTTTTCTAAGAAGATAAATTGAGGAAGAGGCAATATTATGTGAACAAGTTTCAAAGCCTTGACCGGAAACATTATTTAAGCTGCATTCTTGGCACTGCGTTTGTGTTAAGAAATCTTGAAGAACTAAGCAAAAGGTCCACGCATATGCTACACTCCTTTGGTCATGAAAGAAGTAGGAGGATGAGTGAACATAACAAAAAGCCATTTCACTTACAGCTAACTCAGAAAAGCATAAGAAATATATTGCACTTACCTACTATGATAGAGGACTCACAGTGATAGTAGCCATTAGGCTGCTTCTTTTTCAACATTGAGCAAAGATCTAGACGCTTCATGGATTCATCTCCAAAATGATGGTTTTTGAAATTCTCAAATAAGGTTGCGTCAATTCTTTTCACTCCCTTAAAACAGTAAAGAAAAAATACATGATCTAACAAGGAGGCAGAAGAGTAATACAGCACCATCAATGTGCACAGCACTTTATAGACTAACTAGATTTTCATAATATTTTCCTATTGGTTCTACTGACCAAAGTTTCAACATGCTGAAATTCTGAAATAAAACTTGATAGTCTTGCTGGCTAATAATCCAGCTGATGAGTCCATTGCAGCTGCAGAAACTTAAGTACTATATTTAAATGCCATACCTAAAGCAGTTGCCCACTCTCCTAGCGTCTTTTTGTCTGTCAGTAGTAGAGATCTGTGAATGAAAACCTGTTACCAGCTATAGATCACTTCTGTTGGGTCAGGATGAACATCAATACAGAGAAATCCTATACTCAGTTGATTGGTACAATACATTTTGTCTGGTATAACCAGTAAATGGTATCAGCACAACATTAATTAAATCAGAGATTAGCATTATTGGGCACCTGTCGAGGTAAACAGCTGGCTCCTGATTATTTAATGAGTATTATTCCATTAAAATACTGGCATACCATAGGCATATAAATTTGGCTTGGTTATTTAAAATAAGCAATTTTAAAGACAAGTAATAGAAAGATGCTATGGTCAGCTGTTTCAAATTTAATTCTACGTATTGCATGGTTCCTTTATCATATCTGTTTGAATTATTCAGTGCATTATAGAATTGCCTTCTTGGAAAAGTACAGCTGTCCTCCTCATTGGTAGTCTTTAGGTATCAGCTAAATATATTGTTCATCTGTGTTTTGGGGAGATAAATGTTCCAGCAGTTGAAATATGTTGCTGCAGTTTTAATTTGGGTTCTGTTGAATGAAATGAGTTTTTTTAATTGCCTTTAACGTAATAATTTTTTAATTGACTGTTTTTATTAATGCTGTACACTGCCCTGGGCTCCAGACTGGAAGGAAAAGAAATACAGAAATAGTAGTAGTAGTTGTAATAGTAATAATAATTCTGCATTTCTTTTTATTCAAGTACTTTTGAAGAAGCTTTCTGAGCTTAAAAACAAAGCAAGTGTGTCAGAATATATTTGGACAGAATATTTGCTCACTGTTCAAAATATTACTTTGCTTTTCCTAATTCTTGAAATGTCACTGACATCTAGTGGTAAATGATGTTAACTCCACATGAGTCTTGATAACCCCTAATGCAACACTGACTCTTATAACTCAAGTATAATTTGCAGAAGTTAGTTAAATATCTGCAGGATCAATACAATACAATGATTTAAAAAACCTTGCTGATTTAAAGCTATGTCATACTGGCTCAAGCTCTTCAAAGCCAGAAAACTGAAAAATAATGCTAATGCCTTATCAGACAGGCCCTGTGATCCATATTGATGTTGTGTAATGTCACAAATTATGCTTCCTCAAAATGTGTGTTCATGTGTGGTTGTGAGACATGTGCGTGCAGTTGAGGGTGTGCAGTTGTGAGGTGATGCCTACAACAGTTTCTTAGAGCCAGTGTGGTGTAGTGGTTAAGAGCGGTAGTCTCGTAATCTGGGGAACCGGGTTTGAGTCTCCGCTCCTCCACATGCAGCTGCTGGGTGACCTTGGGCCAGTCACACTTCTCTGAAGTCTCTCAGCCCCACTCACCTCACAGAGTGTTTGTTGTGGGGGAGGAAGGGAAAGGAGAATGTTAGCCGCTTTGAGACTCCTTCGGGTAGTGATAAAGCGGGATATCAAATCCAAACTCTTCTTCTCTTCTTAGTTTTCCAAATGTGCCCACAGGCCCCCAAAGCCTAGCAACTTCTGCACCGCATTGTCATAAACTGTAATTAAATTAAATTACTAGCAGACTCCCTCCGCAAAAGCTGTGATAATCTCTACGTTTATTTTATTTCATTTATTACATTTATATTCCACTTTCTCTCCATGGAGCTCAAGGTGGCCTACACAGTTCTGCTGCTTCCCATTTATCTTTACAGCAACCCTGTGAGGTAGGCGAGGCCGAGTTTGAGTGGCTGGCCCATGGTCACCCAGCGAGCTTCATGGCTGAGTGGGGATTTCGAACATCAGTATTTAAATTACAAACACACCACGTATTATTTTGCCAGTAGTTACTACCATGGGTTTTAATGGGGCAGAAAAGTCTTTTGACATTTGAACTTTTGACATTCATAACTTCACCAAAGCCATGAAGACATGTCTTCCTTAACAAGCTTGAATACATGAGTAGTTCACCACACAACTGTAAAGAAATATGCCTGTATAAATACTGGAGCAAAAACTGTCACTTTGAGGTATATACTCCCAAGTATTAATCTTCAGCATTTTTGAGACAATTTTTATTGGGTTTGCAAGGTGACACATTCATAAACCTCACATATGTCATGTTTCGAACTATAAGCTCAACGGGTATCATTTTTAGAAGCTATAGAATTTTTATCTATTTAAACAATGTTTATGCCACTTAACTACAATTACCTTTAAGAAGATAATTTTGAGGCTTTTGGTGGAACCTGAACTAAAGGGGCACTGCCGTAATACAATATCCTGACAGGACAAATATCCTGTTACACAGTCTATGGTATATTGAGGAAAAACATACCAGAATTACTCCATAACTGGCAAGGGACATTTCGTTTTATATGCAGTAGTATTTTATGAGGGAAAGCGTTAAAGTATCTAACCGCCCCCCCCCCCCAGCAGGCTGGAATGGTCCAGCAGTGGTTATATTATGAGGGAGCTCTGGTTTCCCTCCACTTCTTTTTTTAAGCTCTTATTCAGACATCTTTGTCTGCTTGAGGGGACATAAGGTTTGTCTGCAGTAAAGGGATATAAACCAGCTTCATAGTATCCTGTAGCCTTGTCTAATTATAATCTCTAGCCAATGTTACAATAAGAGAGCAACAGAAACATAATTCACAAAGCATTTTTAATTAGTTTTCAAACCAGGGTTGATGTTTTCAACCTTATAATAATAATAATTTATTATTTAAATCCCACCCATCTGGCTGGGCTTCCCAACAGAATATTAAAAACACGATAAAGCACCAAACATTAAAAACTTCCCTAAACAGGGCTGCCTCCAGATGTCTTCTAAAAGTCAGGTAGTTGTTTATTTCCTTGACATCTGATGGGAGGGCATTCCACAGGGCAGACGCCACAACCGAGAAGGCCCTCTGCCTGGTTCCCATGATCGTTATAAGGCTTGCCAAACCTTTGATGGGTTTTGTGGCTTTTCAAACACTACGTACAACCGTAATCTGGTAAAGCAGACAACTATTTCCAAACACACGCACAAATTCATAATGAGTTTTATAGAAACTAGTACACCAAATTTGAGAATAAGACCCCAAATGGATCACATTGATTCACTCAACGGTTGGATACTGATCTCTTATCTAACCACTATATCATATATGCTGAAACACTGACCTCAAGAGGCCTCACATGCATATGATTAACTATGTTTTTGTATTTAAATATTCTTCAAGCTCTCTACTTGTTCTGTGTAGAAGGAAAACTACCTTGTTCACATTTTTCATGTTATTTTGCTTGCAAAAGCCATGTTGTAAAATATTACTTTCATGCTAAAGAATGAGGAACCTCCTCTTAATTATACTTTCTAGTGGTTAGTCTCATATCAAAGTCCAGCTCACTCTCCTGTACATTCAAAACCACTTCTTGAACAGTTTATTAGCTACCTTTCATATTTCTATAAAGGTCCAAAAGCATCTGATTCTACCTATTCTGTATAATCTATCTGTTTTCTCTAGACTCTCCAAACAGTGACTGTTCACAATTAGCAACTTAAGAAGAATTCAGGTAAGATTATTACAGTATAGCTGACTCTAAACTTAAATGAGGCTTACATTCTGGGGATAGTGCCTAAAGCCAAAATGGTGTATGGTCAAAACACACTGGGTGCAGTGGTGACTGGGATTGCAAAAGTTTGTTTTTTTCCCCTGGTGTCCACCCCATTTTATTTTATTTTTTTATTCCCCACCCCCAAGCATGTAAAGCTGAATGTGCACAAGTTAAATGAGTATAAGTTGTGAGTTACCTGCATCGTCTTCACAAAATACTAACTTAATCAATCAATCAATCAATCAATCAATCAATCAATCATAGAATCCTTCTGGTGCCTTTTGTGTCTAATAATCTTGTGATTTTTTTTCAAATGTAGCTGTAAGAGTTATTTTTGTTGTTAGACAACTGTTGTAACAGTTATTTTTGTTGTTGTTTGTTTTGTTTCTATAGCATATGTGGCAAAGAAAGAAAGGTAGGAAAGGGTGATGTTCCATTTCCCTCTTTCCTCGTTGCAGACTCACTCATTCACTTCCATCAACACATATACAATACCTCTCTTCATTCATTCATACCATTCTCTCTTTCATTTACAACTTTGAAGCATACCACATTGCACACGTGAGGAAATGCTCAAACACAGAAGTACCACCTGGTCTTTCTATCATACATATATATGCAAGCAGATACTTTACCTTACTACACATAGAGAATAATGTTGAAAAAACATTATAGTGTGATTGGGGGACCTATTTCTGCAATTTTAATTTAAGGTGCTACTTTGTGAAACTGGCTATTAACAGAACTTGTTATTAGGGAAGGGTTCTGCAATGGAAGAAACAATGTGAAATTGTTTAAGGAAAGTGACACTTTGCTTGTCCTCAACCAGGTCATGAGTGTGGTATTGCAGTAAATGTGCATCTCAGAACTAGACACCTGCCTTAACACTGCAAACTAGATACTCCTTGCCTACCAGAAGTGAGGTCTTGGGTGATCTGCCCACTTTTTTTCTGCAACTGATTAGGAGACATATATAGTGAGAGGGGAATGCACAGAGTAAGATAAAATATAACAAGGCCATGTAAGAAATAAGAACAGTGATATCATAGGTTTGGAGAAATAGCCAAATGGGAGGGGTAGCTTTGTGAGGAAAAGTGGGGGAGTTAAAGAATGAAACACTAAAAAGAATGTTTTGTTTACCCAGCCACATATCTTCTAGAATTCTGTTAAAAATGAGTGCTGCTGCTTCTTTTGCCACCAACTGCCAACCCCAACCATTGCCTACCATTGATCAAGAAGATGAACAAGAACAGCATGAGATCTGCATGTGTGTATTGTGGTATGGAGGAGAGCTGGGTATTGCCTACTATGACACTGGAGACTGCTCTATCTACTTTATGGCTGACACACCAGACAATGAAGACCTTAAGCTGCTCCAGAAAGTGGTTGATGAAGTACTTCCCAAATACATATTAAGTAGTGCTAAGCAAGATTATAGCATAGCCAAATTCCTGACCAATTTAGGTAATACTATGGGAGAACATCAGGAAGGAGGAAAGCCAGAGGTTGTCCTGTATCCAAATATGGATTTTGGTTTAGAAGTAAGCAAGCAAAGGATCCTATCGAGGCAATTCCCTTTTGTCCCCTCTGACATGACAGCAACTGAGAAAATCCTCTATTTGTCGTCTATTATTCCTTTTGAGAGCCCACTCGTGGTAAGAGTGCTAGGAGGATTGCTGAAGTTTCTTGACAGGAGGAGGGTTGGAGTTGAACTGGAAGATAGTAGTGTCAATGTTCCTATCCTTGCCTTTAAAAAGTTTGTACTGACAGATATTGTACACGTAGATCAAGATGCTTACTCTGTGCTGCAGATATTTAAAAGTGAAGTGCATCCTTCTGTGTATAAACAAGCCAGTGGGAAAAAAGAAGGACTCAGCTTATATGGGATTCTGAACCACTGTAGATGCAAGTGGGGAGAGAAGCTGATGAGACTGTGGCTCATGAGACCCACGCGCAATTTGACAGAACTGAACAAACGTCTTGATGTTATCCAATTTTTCCTGTTAGCTCGGAATCATGAAATAGTTCTGACCCTACAGGAATGCCTCAAAAATATTAAAAATGTACCCCTGATTCTTAGGCGCATGGCTGTTTCTAACACTAAGGTAAGTGACTGGCAAGCACTGTACAAAACTGTTTACAGTGCTGTATGCCTCAGAGATACATGTCGCTCTCTGCCCAATACCATTGAGCTCTTCCAGACTATTTCACAAGTCTTCACTGAAGATCTACACTATATTGCCAGCCTAATCAGCAAAGTGGTAGATTTTGAAGGCAGTATCTCAGCAAACCACTTCACTGTCAGACCAAATGTAGATCCCACCATTGATGAAAAGAAACGAAAGCTGATGGGGCTTTCAGCCTTCCTTACAGAGGTGGCCCGAAAAGAACTGGAGGACCTGGATAATAGAATTCCATCCTGTACCGTTATTTATATTCCCTTAATAGGATTCTTACTCTCCATTCCACGGCTGCCCACAATGGTGGAAATGAGTGACTTTGAGATTGAGGGACTAGATTTCATGTTCTTGTCGGAAGAAAAGCTTCACTACCGCAGTGCCAGGACAAAGGAACTGGATAGTTTGCTTGGTGATCTTCATTGTGAAATAAGGGATCAAGAAATACTGATCATGGACCAGCTACAGACTAAGATTTTGGAAAAGTCTGCAGTACTTAGTGATGTGATTGAATACACAGCACACTTAGATGTGTTGCTCTCTTTAGCAGTGATGGCTCGTGAGAACGGATATATCCGTCCATGCTTCTCTCACTCCCACACGATCCGTATTAAGGATGGAAGGCATCCACTGATGGAGTTATGTGCAAAGACCTTTTTTCCCAACTCAGCGGAGAGCACTGAAACGCATGGCCGGATTAAGATCCTCACCGGACCCAATTCATCTGGAAAGAGTGTATATTTAAAGCAGATAGGCATTATTACATTTATGGCCCTAATTGGAAGCTACGTTCCTGCTGCTGAAGCTGAGATAGGGGCAGTGGATGGAATCTACACCAGGATCCATAGCAGAGAGTCAGTATCTCTAGGACTGTCCACTTTCATGATTGATCTTAACCAAGTAGCCAAGGCAGTAAACAATGCCACTGAAAGGTCTTTGGTGCTCATTGATGAATTTGGCAAAGGCACAAACACAGTAGATGGCCTCTCTCTTCTGGCTGCTGTGCTAAGGTACTGGATTAGACAAGCAACCCAATGCCCACACATTTTTGTTGCCACTAATTTCCACAGCCTGATGCAGCTGAATCTCCTGCCTGACAGTCCTCTTCTGCAGTATCTGACTATGGACACCCACCAAGATGGAGATGAACTTGTGTTTTTCTACCGGATCAAAGAAGGCATGTCCACTGTCAGCCATGCAGCTAATATTGCAGATTTGGCTGGCATGCCACCTAAATTGATTGCCCGAGGAGTAGAAGTGTCAGAGTTGCTCCGCAATGGGAAACCCATCCAACACACTGACCATTCTTCAAAGGAGAAACAGTTGCAAAGTTGCAAATCTCTGATAGATAAATTCCTCTCCCTGGATCTCGATAATCCTCAGCTGGATTTAAAGGAGTTTATGAGTGAAGAGGTGCTGCCCTCTTCAGCAACCATATTGCACCCTATTAAAAAGGCATAACATGTACTGAATTGCTTGTGCTTAGTTGATTATGACAAACAAATGAAATGGGAGTCCTTGCTCAAGTTAATTCATCGATAGATGTCAAAGAAGCCTGCACAACTTGTGATCCACCAAAATGAATGCAGCCATGCATACCAGGTGCTTGACACACTACCACAATGTAGTGGCAGAAATGCCTTGGGAAAGGCAGAAGGAAAAGGATGCTTGAAAGTGCTCATGTCCTAGGAGAGAAAACTGCTAGGGATCTTTAGACAACTCTCTGGCCTTCACTGCATTACTTAGGTAATGAAGAAATTCTATAGTAACAATAAGCGATATTTGGAAAGATTATTTGAAAGAGAAGCATACATCTTCAGGTGCATAATACTAATAAATATAAGAAAAATAAATTACTTTAAATAATTGAATTGTTTATTAGGTAAAATTAAATAAGCCTATTAAAATATTATATTTGTGTTCTAAGTTCTATTCATTGTTATTGTTCAGTTTTACATAAACTTTCTCTTTACTGTTTAAACAAATTATTGTTGAATAATATAAAAAAAGAATAAATATGAACTTAAGTATGCCTTAAGTATGTTTATTATACTCTAAAAAAAACCTAAAACAGGCTACACAACCAATGTTGAATTATTATAAAGGAAAGAAATTTGGCAGATTATTATCTATAGCCTCAGAACACATTCAGGAGAAATTGGCTAATATAAATCATGATAATACTTTAAATGTTTATACACTACACTGAGGAGATATAATTTAATTGTTGCAATTCAGTGTGGACATTTGCATGAGAGTTTTACTAGCATAGTAGAAGAAATAACCATTCCAGGAGGAATCAGTTTAATTAGAAACAGATTTAAAATAAAACTTCTCTAAAGTGGCTTTGACCAAAACTAAGAGCTGTATCTTATCAGAGTAACCATTAAGCTGTAACCCTCATTGAGTGTGTTTAAAAATTCCAGTTTGGTTTCCAACATGCCTCATCCTTACTTTGATCCTCTGGTTGGTGAATAAGTGGTCACAGATTTTCATTTCACATTAAGAGTTCTTGTTGCTGGATATTAGTAAATGCTACCACATGCAGAAAATCTTTCTCCAGCTTTACTGACAGGAGTGTCTAACTTTTAAATCACCCAAAACACTGTCACATTATCTTGCCCCCATCAATATTCAGGGAGTTTGCCACACAGCCAACCCTCTGGAACAGATTTGGGGAGGGCATAGAGGGAGAATTCTTGCACTAATGGAACAAATGCCTTGGATACTGCCCAAAATAATATATACAGTGGTAGCTCAGTTTACGAACTTAATCCGTTCTGGAAGTCCATTCTTACACCAAAACCATTCTTAAACCGAGGTGCACTTTCCCTAATGAGGCCTCCTGCTACTGGTGCCCTTCCACTGTTTGGATTCCATTCTTAGACCAAAGTAAAGTTCTCAAACTGGGACACTATTTCCGGTTTTGCGGAGTTTGTAAACCAAATCGTTCTTAAACCGGACTGTTCTTAAACCAAAGTACCACTGTATTTTTAAGAATCACTACTTAACTTCTGGGTTACTGTGTTTGGAAATTTGAACCTCCTTTACAGTACAATTTCTTAAAAGTCATAGCATTCCCCCACCATTTGTATAGATATTGTGATGTACAAAGTGACTGCACCTGTTTTCGTAGTTTTGGCGATTTTGACAGCTTCATGAAGGTCAAGTGAGGCTTAAAAGCTTTATCATCTCCTGTGACGATGCCCTTTTCTTTAAATATCTTCCTCACAATATCTAGGTAGGCACAAATGGAGAAACTTTTAAAATTCCAAACATTGTGCAGACTATAAAGTTTGATAAAATTATGAATGATAAAACAAGACAGAAACGAGAACAAATTTTCAGACAGAGTCTAATTTAAACTTACAAGCAAACCACACAATTACGCACTTGAAACTAGATACACATTTTTAAAATTGCATTTTTTTTTTTAAATGGAAAGAGCCAATCTGCTATGCTCATTAGTGCAACAAACCCACCTTCCTAACATAGCTTTGTATCAGGTAAAAAGCCCTCAAGGTGATGCTTACATGTGTTGTTTTACATCTGTCACAATTCATTTCTGCCCAAATTTGTACCACCTAAGACTAAAGTTTGCCAGGTCAACGCTGTTCTAGGCATAGCAATGTTGACTCACACTGATGTACCAGTGGAACATAACAGAACTATGTAACTGATAGCCAGTAAAACAACATACACTGTGGCATTTAGACTAGCAGGATCAGTTGCGATGAGGTGTTGGTTTTATTGTGTTGAGTATTTTTTTTACCATATTTACTCAAGTCTAATGCACCATCAAATCTAATGCGTACCTCAATTTTCAGAACCTTGAAACCAAAGAAGTATTAGCTGGTGAATGTAAATGTGGCATTGCATCTAATGTGCACCTTAATTTTCGCAACATAATTTAGCCAAAAACAGTGAGCATTAAATTTGAGTACATACGGGGTTGCTGTTTCTTGTTATTTTGTACTGATCTAGTGTCTTAGGCTGGTTGTATTATTATTTTGGCGTGAAGGGGTGTGTTGGTTGCTTGTTATAACTATAATATAGTTTAAAAAGAAAAACTCAACAAAGGGCTTCTATCAGCCTGCCATAATCACCACTGGGTGGTGTTGTTGTTGGGTTGTTTTTTAAAAAATAAAATTAAAAAAAAAGCTCCAAGGGTATCAGATCAATACTGGACACTTATTTTAATACCTATGAATTATTGGTATTTCCCATCAACACCTGTTGACAGACATGCACTTCTCTGTTCGAATTAATTGCTTGAAAATATTGTAAATCCATACAAACCTTCCATGCAAAGAAAGCAGTGACATTCAAAGATGTTAAGAAAGCTGGATTCAGTTCTAAGCACTGCCAGTAACATGCATTTTGGCTTTCAACAAATTCATTAAAAAATTGTCCAGTAGCACCTTAGAGACCAACTAAGTTTGTTCTGGGTATAAGCAAACTTAATTGGTCTCTACTGGACAAGGTGCTACTGGACAATTTTTTAATTTTTTAATTTATTTCGACTGCGTCAGACCAACACAGCTACCTACCTGAATCTAGAATCATGGAAGGCACCACAATGAACTGCATGAAATGGAAGTCCATCAACCTCACAAAGAAACTTGCACAGGTACAGACTGATATCTCCTTTTTGACTAAATGCAACAACCTGGACATTATACCTAAGGGTCTTAGAATTAAGAACCCTCTACAATCCACCTATTCTACTGACTATGTAAAGAAACTATGCCACATTCTCTCCAAGAAGCTGCTCAAACATCTGATCAGCGTTCTGTACTCTAAACAGAAGCAAATAAAGGAGGAATGCTCTGTATTGGACAAGGTATCTGAAGAAGTGTGCATGGCACACGAAAGCTTATACCCGGAACAAACTTAGTTGGTCTCTAAGGGTGCTACTGGACAATTATTATTTTTTATTTCAACAAATTCATGTATGTGTATTCTTATGGATACTTTTTACTGCATTGCAGGGGGTTGAAAGATGACCCTAGAGGTCCCTTCCAACTCTACAATTTGTATACACATATAAAATCAATACATGTAGTACAACATGTGCTAACTCATACTGATTTCTTTCTTGTTGATCTCTTTGCACGAGAGCTCCTATACAAATGTTAAGCGAAACATGCAGTGATTGGTATTATCAGTATAATACTGATTCTGACCATGTATATAGTTCGGAGTCTGCACAGGAATTATTGATAAGTGCACCTACTGAAGTCTGGGGCCAACATCTGGGTAAAGCTTCTGGAGTCTATCGCCATATATGGGAGCTTTCCACCTTATTAACATCTAGTCTGATGTTAATACGCCACTTTCTACCATGTGAAGCTAATTATTACCAAATGAAAAAGGGTTGTGAGAGATCAAAAAATATTTGTGTTACTGTGCTTTGTCTTGAGCTTCCTGATTTTAATTTTTTTAAAAGCAAAGAAGTCAGAAAAATAAATCTGGCTGTTATGGCCTTCTGGTACCATGTAGATCCCTAAAAGGATTAAGAGGTGTGTGTTGTCAAACAAAAAGTCCTTAGAGGAACAGCTGCTGATTATTGTCCCACAAACATAGGAAAGGGTGGAGCTGGGGCACTAAACAAAAGCTTGCTCAAAGAGGAGGAGAAATCTAAAAATGGCTGTTATCAGAAGGTGGATTGCTGCACCAGTCTGTAAAAGTCTTTAAAATGACTGATTAGCAACCCTAAAAAAGCAGTTTGGTTGTCATTGGAAATAAACCTACTTTGAATTAGCATAAATATCTCTACATGTAAGAGTTAAAAGAACTGAAGCTCTGTTTTCCCAAATCAGCAGGGTCAATGCTTATTCTACTTTAGTGAAGAACTGTGAAAAAAATTGAAAAAAATCATTGCACAGACTGAATTCTGCCAATCACATATTTTTTTTAAAAAAGGCAATATGGGAAGAGTGGAGTTTTCAGATTGTGTTCTTATGTTGTTTGACAAAAAACCCCAGAAAACTTAAAGGTTTCCAGAAATACATTTCCAACCGTTTGAGTTTATCCTGAGGAAGGGGTGAAGAGTTGAGTCTTTTCTAGGTCCAAAAGGACTGACTGGCACCTTGTGCAAAGTGGCAATATTTCCTTACATGCCCTCCCCACCTCCACTCCTAAATAATCTACAATGTACAGGCTTCAGTGGCAGATACACAGAGGTTCTTCAAAAGATTAAACCCATGCATAAGAACCTGAAAATAACTCAGGCAATGATCAATTTCAGAAGGACGTTTATTTTGTAAGCCTCTTCATATGAAGAAAATAAAGGTAATCATACTTATTTCAAAAATATACATAAAGATGCAATTGATTCCCTTCATTTAAGTCTTTTCATCCTAGGGGAATAATAACAATGACAAAGCTCACATAATTGTTTTCTATTAAAGAGTTTTCATATTAAAGATAATGGGCTACATGCATGCTTCATTAACCTTTACAGAGGCACTACTCGGATAAATTTAGTTTGTGATATTAAAAACTCATTTCAGAATAATGTTTGTGGTATCTCAAGATTGCAGCATATCAAACTTATGTTAAAAAGAAATCAGTATTTATATTAATGTTGCTACTTGAAAAATGTCAATGGAATGTGCCGTTTAGTTGTGTTTATCAGCAGCTGTATTTACAGCAAAAGTAAGTCATTTAGGAATCTCCAGGATGATTAAGAAGAATATTGTTTTGTGCCAATGGTACAATATTACATCTCTATTACTATGTTTGGCCTTGCTTCTGGGTGTAGATTGCTTACAGCATTAAAAGAAGAAAAAGACCATGGGAGATGTGAGTTTTCGCGCTGAAGATGAGAAACATACAGAAGGCAGATTCACCAAGTGACTAAACTGCTCTAGAGGAAAGGAGTGCAGAGGTGGGCACACCCGACTGGCATTATCCACTTAAGAAATCTATACAACCAGTGCTGCTTTCCTAGTCCCCACTTACCTGTTAGTAAACACCATTGAATTTAACAGGACTTACTTTCCAAGTGGACACTGTGAGTATTGCATCCTGAGCAAAACCAGGTTAGCTAACCTGTGACTCTGCAGATGGACCATCATTCCTGACTACTGGGCATGTTGGCAGGGGGTGATGGAAACTGGACACCAACAATAACTGCAGGACCACAGGTTAGCTGCCACCCCCACCCCGGTACACGCAAGAAAAAAAAGATTAAAATATGTATTTGTTTCCAACTGCCACAGCAAATGTTGAAATTACATGCCCTTAACTTCAATATTCAAATCTTTTCTATAGAGTTTTGCAGGAGCTACTGCATGTGGAGAGGGTTTTTATCCCTTTCCTCCCCTGCCACAAGTCCATACTTTGAGGACGACTTTGTTGGATTCAACTCAAAGAGATAGAGGGTATATGTGACTGGTATGGGTATGAGAGAAGTGAACACCAAATAAGATGTTGACCAGGATGGTAGCTCTCTAGACAACCCGTGTAGCCTAGGGGCAGTAAGACAGAGCCATAAGTCTGGTTCAGATCCTGCCACTACTTTGAGCTCACTAGGTGACCTCAGGCAAGCCACTTTCAATCCCACTCATAAAATAGGGACCTCCAACCTTAGAGGCAGCTTCCTATGTTCCATTTCTCCCTTATCAGAATGATACTTTAATGTTTTTTCCCCCAAAGAGCCTCTAAAATTAACTTTTCCAGTTGCAATGAATTACTGACAGCAGGAACTGTTTTCAGGGAAAGAAACAGATTTAAAGTTTTAGAAAGCTGTATAGAAACGCCGTATATAATTTTAGGATTGCCTTTTGTCCGGATTTTCCTGGACATGTCCGGTTTTCAGGGGTAAAAATCTCTGACAGGGTTTTGTTTTTTTAGAATATGCAAAAATGTCTGGGGGGTCGCTTTTCTTTCCTGCCAGCAGTGGGGGTCAGCTCACACCAGCCGTGCCCCTCCTTAGTGCCCTTCGATGTTTATCTCTTTCTCTTTCTCTCCCTTCCATTCCCTCTCTCTTTCTCAGCGCAGGGCTGCCTCATGCCATCCACGTCCCTCCCCAGTGCCCCCCGATGTTGCTCTCTTCCTTCCATCTCCTCTCTCCTTCTCAGTGCATCAGCTCCCGTAACCCCTCCCCAGGTGCCAGCAACCCTAAAGGAGGGGGTGAGCTGCGGAGATGAGCGGCGGGGGGGGTGCCCCAATGGTGGTGGTGTCCGGGTTTTGGTCTGTGGAATACTGAAATCCTAGCAAAATCAGGGATGGCCAAATTCTGTATGTTAGGGAGCCTCTATGTTTTCTAAACTCTCACCCAAGAGGTTGAAATAATCCAGTCCCCTCAGATGGTCTGTTGTAAAGCTGGTGCTACCTAGCAGCACTAAGGGCACCTCTGGTATGGAATATAGGTGCTCAAGCAGGAGGGGGTCAACAGTGGAGGGAAGCAGGCTGGGGAATGTATGTGCTTTATGAAAGATATACTCAGTAGGCAAGCTGGAAACTGCAACTCCAGAATAAGCACTTAGCAATAAAATGTTGTTTATATGGAGCATCCATGAAGAGTCATTGCTTATTTTTCATCCATGTGAAACTAAATAAACAGGGACAGTGGTGGTGAGAGATAAAGATACAGCATTTCAGGAACCCACATCCAATCCACCTACCGCCATCCTTGTTTTAAATTACAGTAACTTGAATCTCTTACTTACTAAATTTCTTGTTCACTTCCCTTTCCAACTAAAAACTCTGATTTAAAAAAAAAAACACTTAAAGAAATCAACAAGTAATTTGCACAAAATATGCAAAAGATCTAGCAAACACCTCTCTGCTTCAATAACCCATCAACAGAAACAATAACTCAGAAGTTTAAATTATAAACATCTTGGTAAATGTTTTAAGCGGTCTCTAAAAAGAAATTTAAGTGCAATCTTTGGGGAGCCTTCCCCTGAAAGGAAATATTGAACTGGGACACTACTGCTGAGAAGGCCCTACTCCTTGCTTTGACAGATCCTTTTTTATTTATTTCATTGGTAGATGGTACCCAAAGTATAACCTCCCCAGTAGCTCTTATCTTAAGAACCAGAGATTTGTATATACATTAGAAAATACTTTTGTTTGCATTTCAAGCAAAAATGCAGTCCCAAGAGTTGAATAATGGCATAGACAGATCAATAACGAATGAGTCAGAGCTTCATTTGGTATTGATTTTGTATGGAGGCCACATGCTGAGAGGCAAACAGCCATTTCAAATGGCTTGAAAAACATATAATCAATGTTAGAAATTACTGGGGATGTCCATTTCCTTGTGGAAAGTTTACTCAGGAAATGCGTCAGTAATTACTCTCCAATAATTTCAAAACGAAGAAATTAGGCATGTTTCTCAAAACAGAACCCAGTCAGAATTTCAGAAATTAGAATTGTGATGCATCATTGAAGGTCAGAGCATTAACAAGTGTACATATTAGAACCTGAATACGTGCCCTATTGCATTACTAATGGGTGAAACAAAATGAAACAAATTCAAGTCTGTAATGGAGTCTAAGATAAGGAATAAGGCATAAGAAATAACTGTCTTACCGCAATGTAGTCCGACAATAGCGTCCCTAGTCCTGCACTTACAGATGATTCATGAGATACTTTCTCACCCTCACCACTCCACATGTGCCTTGACCTGTGGATTTGCCAGTTAAATAGCTTTTCTAGGCAACCCTCTGTTTTTTCCTTCCAGTGCCTCTCTGCTTATCAACTTTCAAAGTCAATGTGCTCTACCTTGATAAGCTATCTTGGGCCTATTTCACAACCATTTCACCCCAGGGTGGCTCTAGTTTTGAGTTGGCCCATGCTGATTCCCAGATGCACTGCCACAGGCTGAGCTGGTCATGTGCATACCATACAACCAGCTCAGACTCCAGCAACTAGATTGAAAACCAATGTCCACAAGCTGAACAGCAAAGCAAATCAGCTCTCAGCTACTCCATTTCAGCATGGCTCTTTCCCCAACTTGTTCTTCCAAGAACAATAAATCACCCCCTATGGTTGATTCAGTGGCAAAACTGAGCTTCTCTACTCTCCTACAACTCTGCTCTTTTCTCTTGTCACCATTCTTCTAAAAGCCAGCCCTCAACACAGATATATTTGCTAACATTTTATTCTGTGTTTTCATTTTCCTGGTATGAAATAGGGTCCAGAGTGGTTTACTAGATGGGTATAGGATACTATATTTGTTTACCAGGCACTCAAAACCCGGCAAGTCCCAGACCTCTCTGGGCTCTGAGACAGCATACAACTCAAGCGTCCATATACTATCCACAAAGCCACTGTATCTAATGGAGAATCAGGAATTATGAGCTTCCAATACCTGAGTGGAAATGGTTGTAACTACTCTGAACAGCTGCAAACAGCAACAACAGATGTTGCACAGTCACCCCACTGTGCTATCGCAGGAATGTCTGGGACCTGCCAGGACTCAGCCTGAGCAAGCTTTGGAAAGGGGGAAGTGTAGGGGCCCTGCAGCTGTTGGTGGATTATACTGTAAATAAATTGTTCAATAACAATTTACAGTAGAGAAGACACAATGAATTCAATATGATGCATTTACACAGTTTTATGTAATGATACTTTTAAAAAAACAACCAAATTAAAATTTTACTATCCAGCATCCCAAGTTAAAATATAAACCAAAATGATGAAGTAATTTAACAGAATCAAATTATATATATCTTCTGATTGGGATAATTGATTCTTATTCACTTAAATCTCCCTATAACCTTATTTTCTTGCCAAAAATATATTAGCAGTATAATTTTACCACGAAGCTTCTTTTAATTTAGGTTTAATTATTAATGTACTAGATATATACTTCTTCTGGTTTCTGTTCTACCAAACCTGCATAAGCATTTTACTTTTTTATATGTTCCACTACAGTCATGAATATATTTAAATATTCCATCTGTTGTGTTATACTCACTGAAGTATAAATGACCAAAATGGCATACAATAATGTATATTTAATGTAGAAGACTCTCAGGTCGCTCTGTTTCTGTCCTGTTTTATTAATATGGGATACCAACCTGAAGAAATTAAGTTCCACTTGCTTTTAAAGAAATAAAATACCAGCAGCTTCAATTTGAGGAATTGCAACTGATTAAGAAAATAGATATAATTTCTGAGCGCTGATATTATACCCATTTCTTATATGTTTACGGTAAATACAGTGCCATTAGTGAAACATGCACATCAAAATAGTGAAACCAATATTCATAGAAATAAGATGCCAAATTCTTGCTTCAATGGCACTTTTGACCCATGCAGAGGAGCGAAAATAATTTGGATCAGGAAAATTGTGTGGGTTCCTGACATAAGTCTTCTCCCTTTGTAAATTGAAACAAACCAGGATCAAACCATAGTGTGATATCCTGGTGTGCTAGCTATAGTTTATTCTTAAGAGGAAGTGGAAGCTTTCAGTCATCCCTCACACATGAAGCAGAAGGAAGAGGGAATGTATACTCATGCTTGGAACAAGCCATGGTTTGTTGTCACATCTCAGGTGGGCCAAAGTGCTCCACTAGATGGGTTCTTCATCTGGTCTAGTGTAGGCAGTTCTTTCCATAGTGGACTGTTCCAAGATACAACGTATGTGACAAAGTAAAGCAATATAAATTAATCTACTCTCCACATGAAACACTCATAAAGGTAATTCCCATGTTCAGCGGCTTGTTGCATATTGTCCTCATGAAAAGGAAATTATTTTTCCTATGACAAAGGAGAGAAAACAGTAAAACTGATCTGTTTTCTATTATCTTTCTTCACCCTCTGGAGCTGCTTTTAAAAGTGTGCTGCTCTGTTCATGAAATATAGGCTCCCTCCTGTGGCCAGAACACCAGTTCTCTGTCTCTGAACAGTTGGACTCTCAAGCAAAGTCTGAATTTTACAGGATAACCATTCTGTGTTCTGCTGTTGTTTCTCAGTACTGAAGTTGCTTGCCACTGACTATTTTTCTTTTTTTTAGTACAATTCATTGTTCTGTTCCAGTTAATGACCTATGGAGCTATCTGCTTTCAGGAAATCAGCACTTCTCCTAGCGCTGAGAAATAAAGTGGTCATAATGGTACAAAGAATGTTATATCTTTCAGATGAGCTCATTTAGGAAACAATACAAACAAAATAAAAAGAATGCCAGATGATCTAATCTGACACTCTTGGTCTTGCCAGCATACAACTGATCTGTGGAAAACCATCAGGACAGATGACTAACAACAGCAAAAAAAGAGGCTTACTTCATCTGACCACTTCCAAATTACAATTTTGATACCATTGCAACTTGTTGCTTCTAGTAGATAACAACATGTTACTAAAACAGCTCAACTGATCTGCACTGTGTAATAATTAATCAGTTTGCATAAATACCGAGGCCCTGCCTGGTCTGCGACTGAGCTTTTAACTCTGTGTGAAATGGTTTAGAGACTTGCTGCCAAGAATTATGTACAGGCTCTCTGGAAAACCCAGATGTTGTTGATGCCATGTACAATCCCTGTATGAGATTAGTATCTAATTAGATTCAGAAGGTCTGGTTGCTGGCTGGTCTTAAAAATCTCTAATTTCCTGTTCTTGCTTCTGTCATAAGCTATATTGTTATTCTACCAGAGAACGGTGTGGCACTAGTAAAAAATGCAAACCCACTTCTCATCTTACATGGTAGAAAGAATAAACTTTAAAAAGTTTCATTCGCATATCCCTACAATGGAACTAGACAACATGGATCCTGTGCGGTTGCCTCTAAAAGAAGTAGATGTACATCTATTCCTCCCATTCCCCGATAATATCTCATAACAGAAAACATGTGATATGATGTCATTGTGTTGAGAACTTCCACACCCCTTACAAATAACAGCTAGGGATGTACAAGCATACCTCAATCCACTCCAATACTACATTCTGATTTAACTTGTATATCTCGGCCAACGCAGATATTTACAAATCTGTTACCTTCCTTGTGTGTGTTGTTTTTTTTTTCCATAACTAATGAATTTCCAGAGGGGTAGCCTCCAGCAGCAAAAACAACAAAGAGCCTTGTGGTACCTTGAAGACTAAGTTAATTAAATGGCTAATGGCCCATCACAAAGCTATCAATGGTTGCAAGCCTAATCAAGTCTACTCATAAGTAAGTCAATTGAATTCATTGGGGTTTACTTCATAGTTCAGAATAAACTTGTCATCCAATCTCATTTCGCTTACTGCAGCACTGGTGAGGGTTAGTTTAGTTACAAGTCAAGAAAACCCTGGTGGAAGGGGTTTTACTTTAAAACATAGGTTTGGGGTGGTCAAACTGGGAAGTCAAATCAAGATGGTTCTTCCCGCTTGACAAACAGGTTAGCACCTTAATGGAGGAGTGCAAGTAAGACCCATAGGCAACGAGATCACTTTTTCATGTTAGAAGAAGGAGAATGAATGATGCACCCCACTGGTTTTTATAATTTACAATAGGAAGCAAATGAAAGCTAAAATCCTAACCCTACTTACCTGGGAGTAAGTCTCATGAAATTCAATTGTATTTACTTCTGAGACAACATGTATAGGCCTGCAGTCCTAGTCTCCTTTGGCAACAACCTGAATACATAAATGACTTTCTCACACCTTGACAGCACCTTTCTCAGCCAAAGCAAATACTTTGTGTCATTTATTCCACATATGTTCTCTTTCAAAATAAATGAAGCAGGTAATGGCTCATCAATAAGCTGTCTCATCACAGGGTTCCAAACATCTACTGAGCTACATTATAAGTGTTAGGAAATGCCAAAGAAAGCAGCATGTCAAAAAATATGATATTAATTATATATAATCTATGAACTTAAAAAACCCCCACCCTGCTGTGAACAAATGCAGACCACATTCACTTCCAAGGAATTCCAGTCCTGAGCACTACACGAACACAGACAAAGGGCATTTCTAATCTGTGTCCACTTAGAGTGGAATTTTTGGACATCCCTCGCAGCAGCCAATGAACTCAAGTGGAAACCATGCCACAAATTTTCTTTTACTAGATTTACAGGAGGAGGGAATGCTGAGATGATACTTTTGTTGGCAGACACACGTTCCCTATAAGATATATACTTCCAGCCATAGCTCAACAGTGAATCATGAATAACAATTCTGGCATTCCAGAACCTACTGCATGCAACATGTAATTCATCTTCATCTGTTGGTTTTCAACCTGTCTTGAGTTAGATCACACCATCAACAGCACAACCATTCCTCAACAAATGAAGCAGAAAAAGATAGTGATGGAGAGAGATGAAGCAAGAACAAGGAAGATGGATGTCGCCGGTGGGGGGAGATTTAGAGACAGAAGAGGAAATAAAAGGAGGAGAAAATTGGCTTAACTGCCCAAGGAAGTGAAGACATTGATTTCATTGTGCCACTGAATAAATAAAAAATTATATAATCCTGAAAATTAGCAAAACAGTGCACTGACTAAGATAGCCTACTCCAATTTAGCACCCTTCATATGTTTTCAACTATATCTCTGGTCAGCCCAAGTCACCATGCAATTCCAAACATCTGGAAGGTGCTAGGTTGAGGAATGGTGGTCTAATGGAAGCATCTATCCATATTCAGTGCACTGAATCTCCCAAGAACCTTGGAGAATGTAGGTCCTTTTCATAGTATCATGCTCACTCACAAAACTTTACTTGAAAAGAAGAGTAATGCGGTAAACAAGAGGTGCCCTTACACATTATACAATGACTAAAACACACAAAAAGCTGCCAAGCAGTAGGTTTTAGGGCATGTGTGATGCTAGTTTTGTGTAATGCTAGTTTTCATCTAAAAAAATGAAAAATAAGTTCATTGAAAAAATTGTTATTCTTTAACAGTGCTTAATAAATCAAAACAAATATAGAAAGAAATGTGAGGGATTATATTGACTGTCCTTCTAAAATAATTTAGTCTTTGTTGTAAAGCTAAGTCATATTGTCCAGTTTTAAGGTCAAACATTTGCTTTACTTAGTCACAAATTCCAATGCTGCCTGCACGCCTCTGTCTGCATAATGAACCAACTTGTCCCATGTGAGAGTTTGGGTATGTTATGTATTTACCATTACCACAAGATGTGGATGTGGTCACAAGATGCTATACCAAAGCTTTAAAAGGGAATTAGACAAATTCATGGACATAAATCCAACAATATCTACTAGCTATGCAACATCTAGGTTCACTATGTCTCCAAGTATTTATTGCTGGGAAGCAACAATGGGAGAAGACTGGCTGACCACTGTAAAAGGCAGGATATTGAACTACGCGGGCCATTAGTCTAATCCAACAAGTGTCTTCTTATCCATCTTTATACTGATTTAGTACAGTGTATATGAAAGGAGGTGGAAAGATGACAGAGGTTCAATGAATTTTTACAATAAATAAATATCTGTCAAAAGCGAAGACCCATGGTGCACATTATTAAATTGCAAAGGAAGATCAATGGATGCAGAAGTTTTGAACATAAATGCTCTTCCTTAAGTAAGTAATATTTCTGTTCAGCATACAATGTGAAATATGAACCTATCCTAAACCTACAGAGGTATTTTGTTGTTACCTTTGTTTTTATTCTGCTGCATTGGTCAACTCTTTTTCTGGTTATTTTTAAAAAATGATTAAATGGGCCTTGTAAAATGAATTGCCTACAGGAGAAAACATTAGCAATCACATTGTTTCCATTTCAGAAAAGTACCCCACTCCGCAAAAAAAAAGTAGTAGCATGCCAAAGTAATTCTTGTTGTTGTTGTTTAGTTGTTTAGTTGTGTCCGACTCTTCGTGACCCCATGGACCAGAGCACGCCAGGCACCTCTGTCTTCCACTGCCTCCCGCAGTTTGGTCAAACTCACGTTAGTAGCTTCGAGAACACTGTCCAAACATCTCGTCCTCTGTCGTTCCCTTCTCCTTTGCCAACATCAGGGTCTTTTCCAGGGAGTCTTCTCTTCTCATGAGGTGGCCAAAGTATTGGAGCCTCAGCTTCAGGATCTGTCCTTCCAGTGAGCACTCAGGGCTGATTTCCTTAAGAATGGATAGGTTTGATCTTCTTACAGTCCATGGGACTCTCAAGAGTATCCTCCAGCACCAGAATTCAAAAGCATCAATTCTTCGGCGATCAGCCTTCTTTATGGTCCAGCTCTCACTTCCATACATGACTACTGGGAAAACCATAGCTTTAACTATACAGACCTTTGTCAGCAAGGTGATGTCTCTGATCTTTAATCCACTGACTGCAAATGAGAATACAGCCTGGAAAACAGGAAGTCCACCCACCTACTCTCTTTTTCCTGAAGTTAATTCCCCCTCGGTTCCCTTGTCACCATGGATTGCAAATCTGCTTCAAATAATGGGGAAAAATAGGCTTCAAAAAGCAATCATACTTAGTGTTACCCATGGTCACTGTCAGTAAACATGTAACCATGAACCACTGTTAATATTAAGCAAGAGAACTAGGCCAGAAATTGACTCCACATGAAAGAAACACAAATTGAAGCTAGATCTTGATTCATAAGTGCACCAGTCTTGTGTTTTCTAGAATATCCCACTGTGAGTTGATATGAATGCTGATTGAGGATACAGTGGCAAAAGCAAAATGCATAAGCCTTGATAGAGTGGTCACTTACTCGTGGCCAAAATAGTTGACATGCATCACCAAAAAATTGGCATATGCATAGTTACAAATAACTACTGTAATTTAAACAGAAATACAGGGCCAAAGGCATAGGCTCCCCAAACAAAAAGAATGGAGCTGAGACAACACAGAAATATTTGCTGTAAGTTTCAACTGTGCTGTGAAAAAATACAGGTTTTAGACTAATTATTCGTAAAGAGCAGGGTTAAAGAGAAAGCTTGTGCATGCTATATAAGGCTATGTAGAAGATAACCAAGATGGCAGTGGCCTTTGCAACTTTGATGAATGCCTTAATATGAGTCACGCAATGTTCAGGCATGGTATGACTTCACATTCCTCAGAACACAAAAGATCATTCATTGCCTCTAATAATGTCTTAAAAGAAACCTTTTCCAAGAAACGGTTGGAATTTGGGATACAGTCTAAAAGGACAATGACAAACTCCAGGCATTTCTTCAGCACTGAGATCTTTTTGTTAAATTTCTTTCAATAAAAACGCATTAACAGATTGTCTGGTCTCTGTTTTCCTATGCAACATTCACTTTTGTTCCCTTTTCCCTCCCTTTAGAGTAGCTCTGGAATCTGAAATCTTAGCTACATTTATGAATAAATAAATAAAATGACTCCATTGCTTCCGCTACAGTGGAAGAAAATAGGATCAGACTCAGCACTCTGGTTCCTGCGGTTAAATACAAGGCTCAGGACAAGCATGGGAGAACCCCCCAAAAGCTGCATTCTCAGATAAGACTTAACATTGAGTTGTGGAAAACTTCAGGCTCAACATTGCCCATCTCCTCCAGTGTGACAAGAAGTTCAAAAACTTTTCCTTCTGTTTTAAGCTAATCACAGCTTGTTGTAATGTCCAAACCCACAGCAGTCGAGTATCTTAAATATTATGATAGACCTATAGTAATGCTAATTCTTGGTTAGAGGAAACAAACCAACCAACCAACCAACCACAAACTAGAGTTTATAAAGCTGACTTGTTTTCATTCCATAATTAAAATTAAGCATAATTAAGTTTTTGGAGATAGATGTTAAAACTATGGCTAATCTAAAATGGAAGCCAAACCTCGATAATGTAATTCCTGACCAATTACTGAATGCAAATAACCAAAAGAAGTCAGGGTTCGGATAAACATAGTATATTTCTTTCACATAAAACTTGCCTTACACCAATATTTCACATGGATTTAAACTTACTTTGAAAATGCATTCATACTTTCACTGACTGATCTCTGGAGTAACTGCACATGTTTAAAAGAATTCTAACTTGAATGCCATGTGCCAAAATCATTGCTGATAATAAAGCTGGGAAGGGTTCTCTTAATTAAGGATAAATTTAAGTCAATCATCCAACCTTTCTGCTTTGTTCAAAAAATACAGTATGTTTTGGTCAAAGTTGCTTTGATTACAGAAAATAAATTTTCAACCAATATTATACTGTAGATGTGTGAAAGAAAAGGTTCAAATGTCTATAGCTTTATTTGCATCAGAGTTTCTAATCTTAATTAAGTTGTGGCAGTATATCTTATCAATCCTGTGCTGCTATGCAGCTAGAATTAGTCTGTCCAATGGTCATGTTCAACATAAATGTTCAAGAGGGGGAAATAGATCTTAAGACTCTTTTTTTTATTAGCATATTATATATCTGTGATATGCCCCTTCAAAGCCACTTCGGTGATATCTATCAGCAGGTTATAATGAACTTTTCCCCCCTGGATTCTAAGGCAATCCATAGCAATTACTAGCACATCTGTTAATTAGTCTAGCATTTTCATTCTAAGTGGAATTACAATGTAAAGTGTGATGTTAAAGCTCGCTAGAATTTGCACTTAGTAGCTAGTAGAACAGCGAGCAATTATATATCATTATAATGAATAAATATCCAATTAATCTCATCCTACTAGATGTTAATGTTTAATGGAAATCTGGCATTTATGTGTTCTGTAATAGAAGACTGCTAAGTAAAATCTGTCAAAATGTTTCCAAGTATGAATTATCTGAAGTTTTGAACTTAATCAGATTTCCAGATATAAACTCCTACCTATCATCTCAACTCCACTGCTGAAACAGGGGCTGTAGGGACAAGACACCTCATGCTGGCAATGGGAGGATCTAACTGGTGGGAAAAACTACACCTCAAAGTGTGACTCCCAAACACCCTCAATCCCTAGGGAAAGGATCATTCATAGCTTGCATTCATAAAATCCCTGGCTCCATTTAGGATCGGGAAAGATTCCTGCTGTGAAACCCTGGAGAACTGCTGGCAGTCAGTATAGACAAATATATAGACCAATGGTACCTTCCCACGTTCTTAATCCTTTCCTGCCTAAGCACTCCAGTGACCATAGAATGCCTTCCATTGCCCTGAGTGTGAAAAATGCAGCAGGTAAACAACTCTCAACTATCAAGTAGTAGCAAAATTAAAGGAGGGCCTTGAGGCACCTTCAAGACAAAGGCCCAGCAGGAGTCAACTACCTGGTTCCATTAGTGCAGTGATGGCCAAACTTGGCCCTCCAGCTGTTTTGGGACTACAATTCCCATCATCCCTGACCACTGGGTCCTGTTAGCTAGGGGTGATGGAAGTTGTAGTCCCAAAACAGCTGGAGGGCCAAGTTTGGCCATCACTGAATTAGTGGAAACCACTGCAAGGACTCCTCCTCCAAATCTCCTCTGGAAGGTTGGGAGAATCCCTAGAACAGTGTGGAGAGGTGGGAGAACAAAGGGGAGATGAGCAAAAATGCTTGCACTGATGAAACAATCTCCTACGCGGAACTCTGCCCACACAAATTTCATTATGGCATAAGCTTTTTATGGACAAAATTCAATTCCATCAGATACAAGTAGGAGCACGGTCTCCTTCAAACAAAACACATATAAGTACTTATTTACCCTGTGCTTATTGGAAATACAAACATGTTTATTGGTGAACACCAAGCATACCAATCTATACCCTGACCCAATTTTTCCTTGTGGGAGTCAGACAATGACCCAAGTGTGGTCACTGTTTCATGCGCCAGTCATACCACACTCTCTCAGGTGCATGTCAGGCTCCTTCCAATCTTTTCTCATGCAGCAAGAAATCAAACCTGAGCCCCCCTTCTATGGTAAACCTGTATTACTCCACTGAGCTCCACTAAGCTCACCTGAGTACTACGTACAGCTAGGACCTTCATGGAGGGCGGAGAGAGAAGGAAGGAGTTGTGTGATTGGTCAGTTTTTGGGAGATTGTCTCTGACAAAGGAAACACTGTGGGTTCTTCCTGGAAGTATTCTTATGCATTGTGTGGGAGGGAATGTGAGATGGGTTTGTGACATCATAGCACCCCTGCCATCATTACTCATGCACTGGTACCTTCAATTCATACTTTAAGCAAAACTATGGTTTCCTGCTACAAGAACTCTCAGGTTCACACATTCCCTCTCCTCCTTCACACCTTTAAGGAAGAGACTGAAAATGTCCAATTTCAAATTTAAACTATTTACTGCTCCAAAGATTTTCAAACTTAAGTTAGGGTTGCTTAAACTATGATTTGTGAGAACAAGCTTGGACCAAAGCGCAGGCTCACTGCAACTCACAGGAGGAACCCACCATTTCCCATTGCATCTGAGCTGGGTCTGAGTGTGTCATCAGTCTTGTGATAGGTGGATGGAGACAAAGTGGTTAGGAGTGCTGCGGGGCTGGTGGCACACCTATGTTATCACTCTTATTTCTGGTACTATTGTTTTGTTTTCTTTTGAGCTGAAGAGCAGTGCATAGAATCACAAATAGAATCAGTTTGCGCAAGCGCCGGTGCAGCAGATGTTGGTGTGGTGTGATGACAGGATTGGCCTGCCCAAATGCAGTCTTAAGCATTTCATGGAATGCTGTGAAATTTACTTTGCAATAAACATGTTAGGATCAGGCTGTCGCAGCTATGCAAAGTTTTCAAAGTTACAGGTAGGTAGCCGTGTTGGTCTGCCATAGTCGAAACAAAATAAAAAAGTTCCTTCCAGTAGCACCTTAGAGACCAACTAAGTTTGTTATTGGTATGAGCTTTCATGTGCATGCACACTTCTTCAGATAGTTTTCAAAGTTAGCTGCTCCTAAATAAAAGTGAGTATGAGGACCAATCTACATTAGCAGGGTGTCAAGAGATGCTTTTTGAGCACTATGTGACACTGCTAAAAAGAGTTACCTGCTATCTTTAAAAGAGTGGTTGCATGTTCACTGTCAGTCAACTTCACAAATCCAACTTGATGTCTAAAGTGATCAGTTCCATGAAAAGACAGATCCAATGGCTTTCCTTGCAGTAGTTCTTCAATTAAATCTTTACTTGCCATGAAAGCACCAACCGCACTATCAAGAGGAAAAATTGATATAGGAACTGATGTTATTCATCTCCTTCAGTAATACCAACTCTTCTGCTTAGTATTCTTAATGGTTGCATTTTACACCCTCCATTTTTAAAGTACGACAAGAGTGAATTAAAACATTTTGCATATACAGCTATATAAAATACCAGCTCTCAATCTGATGTGGACTCAGAAAATGTGTCTAAATGGTATCAAAAATCATCTAAAGGAAAGATCTTTATTTCTTACACGAATATTGAGGCACATGGTTGTTTAGTGTCACGAGCATACGCAAATGTATGGCTCATCTAAGACTTCACTGAACCTTTATTCCCAATAAAGATAGAACTCACAGGTGGAAAATACTTTCATTTCAATATATCTTTGCTATCTGTAAAGGGAATCTTTGTATGAGTCAATTTTTTTTATTCCTTTGGAGCTGCACTGTACTTTTGTCCTTCCAGGCCATGACGCTTTGTGGTTTAGATTTTTGATTCTTTGTTTTCTTCTTTTTGCTATGTTTGTATTTCTTAACAAAAATCAATAAAATATTTAAAAGGCTGTGGTCAGCAGGGCTCTCCTTATTAATTTGACTGGACAGTTATTTCTCTGTTGTTATTATTGGGACAATGACTTAATAGTCACTAGGTGGCAGTAACTACCTGGTGAGCAGACATCCTCAAGAACAGAGAACGCCTACTCAATAAATATTGTGAGTTGAAGATGTATTATACCACCTTCATTTTGACTTCCATCAGCCCCCAACTTACCTGCTCTGTCCTACAGTCCTGAAAGGAAATACTTACCTGTTTTGACCCCTTTGCCTGAAGTGAAAGATATTGCAGGCTGAGCAATACTTTCTTTTATGGCTAGCACCAAGGCTGCAATCACAGCTCCAACAAAATTAAGGCAGGCAGACATCCTAACAGCTACCTCCTTGAAATTTTTCCAGCTTTCAATGGGTATTTTTTCACATTATCTTGTATGCCAAAGAGCTCTTAGCCATGAAACCACAGTGCATTGAAGAGACCTCTGGGGCACATTCTCGGCACAGACTTGGACCACATGGGGCACTGAGCAGGCCCTTTTGGGCCTCAACATCATCCCATATGAAATAAGCATGCAGCTGCACCTCATAAACATATTTAGTCATTTCCTGTGGGAGCAAACTACAAGGGAAGGTTCCTGTTGCAATGGAAATCGTAAGCGAGCTGCCTTTCAAGGAAGCTCATTTGTCACTGCTATTCTTTCTGAGGAGCCCCAGATATGCTTCTGAGGAACTCCAGGGTTCCTTGATAAACACTGCTTTAAAGGATGGCTTCAGTTCATTACGGGTCCACATAATCCCTTCTTGGCTGTGGCATCATGTGGAGAAACATCAAGAGCAACTGGTCTGCATGCTTATGACAACAGTTTCTGCTGTTATGGCAGCACATTTTTCCAGTCGCCACGCAAACAGGAGCTGGCTACATCTCTGAATGGCGGAATCTGAACTGGTGTCTCTCACACAATCATGTAAGGAGCAGTTGTGAAGAGCAGCTGGCCACTTTGCACAGGTGAACTCAATATGATACACGGAGAGAAAAAGAGCAAGAGGAAACTTGTGCACAGCTCTGTGCAAGTCGGAGCATAGGAAATTCCGGAACTCATTCCTGAATTGCACACCAGATTTACAACCCCCCCCCCCCAAAAAAATATGAAAATGAAAGCCACATAGTGCATTTGTGACACTGACTTATACTGGTTTTGATGTGTCAAAAGCACACTATGAACAAGTTACTTGCAGGTGACTGACTAGAATATGCTGTCAATTAAGACATCCCTTTCTTTTCACCTTACAATATGGACACCCCCTTCCCTCCCCCCTCCTTTTCACTCCTGCTACTGTCGCTCAGCTTGCCTTTTGCATCAGAAATACCCTTTGATAGCTGTTCTGAAAATGAAGGCTTACTAAGCTACTATCCTCAGTAGACTCTCTGTGTGATGGGCTCCGTATCTGGTCAATAGCCAGTTCATAAATTACAGTGCAGCAAAGAAAGCAGAAGCACGGGAGGCTCTCACTTCTGCTAAAACATACAACCTCGCCCTTGATGAGAGCTCTGCGCCTCAGGGATCAGCTGGATCTCACATTACAGCAGAATCCTCTCAAACTGGTGACACAGACTGTGCTGGATTCAAATTTGTTTTGTAATACCTATCACTTCTCCATTTGGGGTCATGGCCTAGGGTGTTTCCACAAAGTAATGTTCTGTGCAAAATAACAGAAATCTCTGGAAGGGAAGGTATGAGGGCCGATTCACTTCAAAAGCCCACAGGAAGAAGAAAGGCACAAAACTGCTGGAAGATGAGGACGGGTAATGATGTGTTGCTGTTGCATTCACTTTCATTCTGGCATTGTGCCACTGAAAAAACCTGCTTATTTGTCAGCTTTCTATTCTGCGTGAAGCTAGCTGGGAGCTTAATAATTTTAAATGTAGTATGCGAGCTCAACATTTTCAGTCTCCTTTCATTCTGGCCTTTCTTCCCTACGAATTGCTTTGTTAAAGGCAGAGTCAAAACCAGGTCAATGTACTCAAGCAAGTATTACCAGTGAGTTCAATGCTAAGCTTCGCAAATAAAAAAGGCTGTGACCTAAAATTCCTATTATGATTAAAGCAGCAATGCATAAATACAATTATTAGAGCAGTAACTGCTGAGGATTACTCAACAACCCCAGGCCACAAGGACACCCTGTTTGCTACAATGAGTATCCCCTCAGATAAGGACATCCCTGCAGAAGATGAAACATCAATAGGCTGGGTATGCAAAGTGTTTGTTCTGGGTGAATCAATTATGAAGAAAATAACTAGTGGGGTGAGGGACTGGAGGAATGCACGGTAACTTGTCTGCTGGGTGCAAAGATAGGTTATTTAAATATCTTGAGCAATCTACTATCAGAGAGTACTGGGAAGATATGAGAGTCATGAGAGTAACAGCTATGTAGAGGAATGTAAGGGAGAGATTGTGAATGTTAAGGTAAGCTGCTAAGAAGTCCAGGACCTTCCTGCCAGCCTCCTCTGAAATTCTGGATATGTGACTATGGGAACTGCAGAGAAGAGGCTTTGACAGATGAAGAATGGAGGGCTCTTTTTGCTTGAGCGTAGAAAGCAATACCAGAAGAATGTAGCCTACGTAAACCAAAGCACCACCGCAGAGAAAGCCCTTAAAATCAAATCAAAATAAACTGAACAGTGAAGAGAAACACACAGTTCAGACCAGAACATGCTTCAGGAATAATAAGAGTAGATGCAAAGGAATTTGTGTGCTGACTGTGGCGACAAAGACACCCAAAGGAGGCATTCCAGTGACAGCCACACAACCCTGGGTTTTATTTACACTGGAAGCCGTTGCAGATGCTAAGCTAACACATGGACTGGAGATGGGGTACATTTCCACAAGCTGCACACAGCAGCAGCAACATATGCAAGTATCAATCACATAGATTGCCTGCTTTGTGTGGGTACCTCCCAGTCTAATAAGGCCACTGCTGGGGTCATAGTAAGTATCCAGGCAATGAGTGAGCAATGTGATTGGTGCTTGCACACTTTTACACTGCAATGCAAAGTCTTGGCTGTGTGGCCTTTGATTGCTTTCCTGGTGGCTAATGTGAAGCAGAAGTAGCAAGAATCAGGACACATCCTTGTAAATTGAGGGGGAACTGACATGTGTGTGTAATTGGTCCAGCGGATTAACAGAAAAGCAGAATAAAAGCCTAAATAACTGAACAAATCAAGAAACAAATAAGCTGTTTTCTGGCTTCTAAGCTGCTCAAGCCTGCTGTGTTTTAAAGGGTTTCTCCACAAGCCTAAATGTTTACTATTTTTAATTAATGAAAGATGAAACTTTTTTCCTGTCAACTGAAGGTTTCTCAAGTGGTATTTGCATATATCACTTGTGTTGTCAAATATACAGGCCATCAAGTTGACACAACTTCTACCAATCAGAAATAATGAGTGCGGAAATGTAAACTGCATTACTGTATAGGTTTTGGAACTGGACAAAGATGTTGCACTACAGAGAGAGAGAGAGAGGCCTGAGAATGTGGCAAAGCAGTTCTTCAGAAGCAGTGCACATTTCGAGAGACGTTATGAAACAAAACATGACATTTAATGACTAGAGACTACACTTGTCAGAAAGGAGGAAAATCATTCCCTTCTTCAATTTTTAATTTAAAGCTGTGCAGAGAGCTAATTCTGCTGCAGTCCTCAAAGCCCTTACTTGATCACACACTGACAGAGCTCTATAGCCACTCACTCGAGACTTTGAGGATCACACCCAAATTTATTGGAAGCAAAACAAATGGAAGAGTTTTAGCTTTTAGCATAGTGCTGTTGAAAGGATTGGTTGTGGACTCATTATATCTCTTTGTCCATTTCTCTTTTGTGATTCACTTTCATTAAATTACCCAGCTATTAGCTACAGCACTGAGAAGTCTGAGCAACTTAAGCCCATGCCAAACTTTGCTGAAAGCAAATTTGTCAAAAACAAAGAGCCAAAGGCAGAGGTGTACAAAAGGTTCACAAAGCAAATTTGTTAGTTCACTCATGACATGTGCATGCTCCACTGAGTGCAAGGGGGATTACTCCCAAGTAAGTTTGCATAAGATTGCAATCTTACTCCATTACTGGAGACCATATTAGCTGACTCAACTACACTAGTTGCTATACACCTCATTATTACAAGGATCACTATTAAAGAGGCCATTATAGACTAGAATACGGCCTCACAGCACATAATGCAACCACCTCCTGACATTAAGCAGGTTTGAGTCTGGTGAGTACTTGGATGGGAGACCTCCTGGATACTAAACTGAGGCCCATGGTAGAAGTAAGTCAGGATATTAATGTACTAATATAAGAATTGCGTGTGTGTGTGTGTGTGTGCGCACACGCACGCGTGTACGAGCGAGCGAGAGATTAGCCAGTGACAGGTGTTGGAATTTATCATTTCATGGTGTTTTGACTCAATAGCTTTATATTTTCTCTTCCTTCATACACATGTATTCCTGACAGCAGAGGATAATCCTGCATGCATCTGATATGTGGGCTCTGGTCTACAAAACCTTTTGCTATGATATATTTATTAGCGTGTAGCAGCTAAGCTACATCCATGTTTTTAACTACAGTGGTACCTCGGGTTAAGAACTTAATTCGTTCTGGAGGTCTGTTCTTAACCTGAAACTGTTCTTAACCTGAAGCACCACTTTAGCTAATGGGGCCTCCCGCTGCCGCCGTGCTGCTGCTGCGCAATTTCTGTTCTCATCCTAAAGCAAAGTTCTTAACCCGAGGTACTATTTCTGGATTAGCAGAGTCTGTAACCTGAAGCGTCTATAACCTGAAGCATCTGTAACCCGAGGTACCACTGTATTTATTAAGCGGCATGGTCAGAGGGGGCCAAGCATCACTGAGACTGCAGCATGTTGAGAAGAAGATGTAAACTGGACAAAAATTCCATCCTTCTTCACTTCATCAGGGCTATGACCTTTAGGCTATGTGATTAAAGTAATCTATAGTTTGGCCTTCAATTATCTTTGATCAAACATAAAATTCTCTAAATGCTTTAGCCTTTCATTTTAAAGAAGGTGCTCCAATCTCTTATCATTCTACATTTTCCAGCTATACTTTTTTGAGATGAGGCTACGAGAACTGCACACAGGGCTCCAAATTACTAACAAAGGTATGGGCTAGCAGGAATCTTTGGGGGGAGATCAGCAGTCTCCAGTTTGCATAGCTAATTATCCGTAGTTTGCATATAATTTTGTCCCCTTATTACCTATGTGATGTGAGCACTTTTATACGGATAAAGTTTCCTCTGTACCACAGAAGGCATAACACTACTAATATAAATTATTAACCCCAGCCATATGTCATTAATGTCATAATTATAGTTAAAATGAAACCAGAATGTTTCTGTTACCCTTTTTTGGGTTACCACACTTTTAAGTAGATTTTAAGACAGCATGTTATTTCAGAGTAAAATGCTTACTTGTCAACTGCTTCTTCACTGGCCAAATGTAGAACAGAGAGGGTGATATGCAAAGAACCACAATGAACCATTGCTTTAGAAAGCCTGCTATCCTTTTGTATTATTTTATCCTGGAGCAGCTGAATAGTGTCTGTGATCTGAGGGAGAACAGAAACACATACAAAAACAATATTACTTTTCTTTCTATTAGTGCAATCAGCAGCAAACACAAAGAAAACGCTTTGCTCTGCATAAGGGATAGTGCGAGGACACAAACAAAGCTCAAGCACAATATCTGTTTTACTTGAACTGGACTCCTGCAAGAGACTTTCCCAGTTTGTGGCGCTTCTTGCCTTAAGACAACCCACCATGATAGGAAAGAAATCAGACAGGAGACACAAAACAATATACATTTATTAGGACATGATTTATAAAGCCAAATCCACCCTCTGTTCTATGTATTCTGAGGAAAGCACAAATACATAGGAAAAACATCAAGGTTATAGAAAACCTTGGTCTGATCTGAATGCAGGACGAAAGAGCAAGTTATAGCCCATACTCCCTTTCAGAGTAGATGGGCTCCGCTTCGCTCAAAGCAGACGGGATACATGTTACAATGCAGCCTTAGGGGTGCCTCTTAACACATTAGCACTTTTCATACAAAATGACTCAAGTGATCTAATACAGATGTTGGTTGGGGCTTGATCGTGCACAATGCTGCAAGCCAGCAAAGTTTTATATTATTTTCTACAGAGAGTTGTTAGTTTTCACACTTCAGGGCATCAGTTCTGTCAAACCAAATTACCAGCATCTTCAGCATTTCACTTCTTTAATCAGTTGATCGCTTAAAATGTCAAAGGGACAGAGTTTCCTGGGAAAGCTGCCTTGAAATATTGATGGCTGACTTCTGGTTGATAATGTTATGCATACAGGGGATTTTTACTGTGTTCATTACCGTAGGGTTATGATTGCCCTCAAAGGATTTGTCTACACACTGTTATGTCCCGCCCCACCCCACCCTCCAGTATGAGATTGGTTCTCTGGCTACAGAATTAAATACAGATCTTATTTCTCTCAATAATAGCTTTATGACTGATTCCCCCAGCTTTTCTTACTATGCAGAGTGAGAATTAAAGTACATGTGAAAAGCACAGAATAATGCCACAACAGTGCACTGAGCAAGGGGGAACCTGGCGAACCTCTTCAGCAAGTCCCAGGCTGCTTCTCTTGCCTTCCTTCCCCTTACTAGGCTAGAGATCCAACCTCAGAAGTGACCGATGCCCCTGGCTGTCACCCATCATTAGAAACAGGGGGCAAAAGCTTCTCTGCTCAGTTAATCCACAAGCTTCCCCCTTCATGCCAGGCTGTTCCTGGAATTCTAGCTCTCATCCATGAAGCACCCCAAAGAGAGTGGAGCAACTTCGGAGGCTCGGGGGACATGAAGCCACAGACCACATGTATCGGAGAGACCATAAATGGCTTTTCAGAATGACACAGAATCACATATTTTACAAGCGACAAATTTCAAGTGCTAAATAGCCATTTGGGAACTCTGTAAATACATGTTGCAGCCCAATACATGCCTACTCACTGAGTTTAATAGCACATAAGTGGGGTTAAAATGAGTCCCAAAGAACTACCAATTGTTCTGTTAGTGATTGCTTAAGACAACAGATGGATTTCAATTAGGGAACCAGTCTGATGTGATTTATTAGGCTGTTGTTGTTGTTGTTGTTGTTGTTGTTGTTCTTGTTGCTATTAATTTCTTGTACCCTGCCTATGGGACTGGGTTGCCCCAGGCACTCTGGGTGGCTTCCAGCAAAGTATAAAGCAACACACCAAAAACATCAAACATCAAAGGTTCCTGAAACAGGGCTGCCTTCACATGCCTGCGAAAAGTCCTATGATTGTTTAGCTCTTTGACATCTGGGCAGAACTACCAAGAAGGCCCTCTGCCTGGTTCCCTGTAACTTCACTTCTTGTAGTGAGGGAACTGCCAGAAGGCCTTCAGAGCTGGATCTCAGTGTCCAAGCTGGACTATGTGGGTGGAGATGCTCCTTCAGGTACACAGGACCAAGGCCGTTTAGGGATTTAAAGGTCAGCACCAACATGTCCACTTAATATATATATGAATTAATATATGATACATCACTTTACTATAAAAACATAATTCAGGGGATTCATATAAGATAAAAACAACTAAAAATCACCCACATTGAAATTTTGATTCCAATCAAGAATCATAGAATTGTAGAGTTGGAAAGGACCCTGCGCATGCAAAACTATATTCTAAAACACCTCAGGAAATGGGAAAGATCATTTGACATTACAAATTACAATTCCTAATATTGGCAACTGACAAGGACGATAACCTTGCACCATTTTAATGTTTTGTTTTGTTTAGTTAGTTACATATTCTTGTTTGCAGCAATGTACTTGGCTGACACAATCTTGCTGAAGAAAATGAATCTAGCTGCTTTGTAAGATGAAGTTGGATAATGAGGTTTGCCTTGTAAAGGCTATTAAGTTATTTAGCTTTATTTTTCCATCCAGTAACAGCCATATGAGAAAATGTTTGCCTTCAAATTACACCAAATCATTTTTGCTATGCACAGAAGCAAAGCAAAAAACATTTGCTACAGCATACATTCAACCGCAGTATTACCGGAAATTAAATCAAGTAAATATTAAATGTTGTTTAGATGAGAAATTTCCTGAACTAAACTAAGGAAATCAAAGATTTGTTTTCATCCAGCAGACATTACAGTCCAATTAAAAGAAGTAATCAAATGGACCTAAAAATAAATTTATATCTGAAACCAGTGCATGGCAGTTATTAAAAACAACAGATAGCTATTCTTAGAATAAACTAATCAAAATGGAACCAAAAGCATCCTCCTCCTCATTGTGGAAGGTGAAGGGAGTAGCATATGAGCCCGAAACTTACATAAGAAAAACCCTGCTGGATCAGGCCAAAGACCCATGTAGTCCAACATCTTGTTCTCCAGCAGACAGCTGTGTGTATGTGGGAGCCAGGAAAAAGGACCTCAGTGCAGCAGTACACCACTCACTTGTCGTTTCCAGAAACTGGTACTCAAAGGCATACTGCCTCCAACCGTGGGAGCAGAGCACAGTCAAAGGGCTAGGTAGCCATTGCTGCAGTTTATCATGTCTGAACTGAACTTGAGGAAGCACATTCCTGACACTGTCAGCAGGCTGGCAGAAACAGCTTCCAACATGGCGTGGGAGAGCTCTTCTTTTGAAAAAGGAAGGGAACGCCATTCTGTCTCCAAATTCATATTCTCGTGTATACATGAGCTTCTAGCACGCAAAGGAATGTCCATACCCAGAGTCTATGTGTACACACTTCTTAGGAGGCCACATACTGGGCCATCTCAATAAGGGACTGCGTGCCAATGGTGGGTTGGGCCAAAACCAAATTATGTATAGGGGCAGAGCTGGCAGTGGGGCAGAGCACACACCACACACCAGAGACTGCAGAGAAGGCAACCATACATGGAATATACATGCATGCATTTATTAGCACCCTTGTAACATACATATAACCTTCCTCACCATGTTATCCACCCCTGCTTCTGAGCTGATTAGCTGAACAGCAAGGAAGAGGCGGCTTCAGAGACCTGCTGCTTTTCCTGCTGCTCAGCAATTTCACATTCAACTGGGCAGTGGCAGCTGCTGGGCAGAGTAGGGCAACATTGCTTACTTGGGCTTCCCAATGTGGAAGTCACTGATGGTAACTGAGAGGTAAAAGGGGGCGAGGAGCTTAGGGTAGTACAAGCACAGTGGCAGAACCAATCCAAAGCTCCTGATGCTACATCTGCAGGTTCAAACTTCCATTCCCCCCGATTTCTCCCACTAAACGACTGTTCAGTAGTGAAAAGGAGGCAGCTCCTTTGGGAATCAAGCACCTTGAGGAGCAACTCCCAAGAGAGCCAGTTTCCTTCATTCCTCACCTTTCTTGTTGGGAAAACAAGGGAAGATTTCTGGAACCACCAGTTCAAAGCAGAAAACCCTTCTGCTTCAAGGCACAGAATCAATGTTTGGGTTTAAGTCTAAGCTCTGGTTTCATTATTCACAAGTGATTTTGTCCCCTATGAGATCAGAATAATAAAAAGTATTGCTACCTTTGGATTTGTGATTGGAACTGAGATGAAGTAATTTGGTTTATCTTGGTTTTTCTTTTTCTTCTTTATTAGATTGTCTTCCTCACTCTCCCTCCCAGTAGTTCTCTTTCTCGTCTTTTTAACATATGGTTTAGCTGCGCTTTTATCTGGGTAGGAAAGGAGGGTGGAGAGGTGTTACGATACTGTGCACACATGAGTAGAACAATACATAAATTCTCGAAATTAGTACGCAAAGAGTCAATACCTCAAGAACCACCTCTCCCCGTACAAACTGACCCGGACTCTGTGTTCATGTTCTGAGGCAATCTTTGTGTACCTTCCCCACATGACGTCCGGAAGGTGGCAACACGAGAATGGACCTTTTCTGCAGTGGCTCCCCGTTTGTGCAGTCTTTCCCCAGGGAGGTTCGCCTGGTGCCTTCATCATATATCTTTAGGTGCCAGGTGAAAACCTTCCTCTTCAACCAGGCCTTTGGCCGATTAATATTCTAGCCTTTTGAATATGTTGGGGGGGGGGGCCTGTTATTGTTTGGTTGTTTTTGTTTTAACTGTTTGTTGGTGGCTTTTGCCTTGTATTTTATCATGTGAACCACCCCGAGATCTTATAATGGGCAGTATATAAGTCTAGTAAATAAAATAAATAGTAATAAATAAATTCAGGTATCATACTTTTTGAAATATAACATGTACGACAGAGACCTCCCACAAATTGTTGTTGTATAAAGGGTTCCCTGCCTAGGATTCCAGCCATACCGTTCCATTCCACACATCCCACACCAGTTTTCCATTTACTCTTCAACAGTCAATCTAAGCCCACTGCGCCTGCTCAGTCCTCACTGGGCTGCGGGGTTCTTTCTTTTTAAATATTTCTTGAACTTCAGCAAGCCTCAGGTTTCCTCTCATTCTACTGACACCTCCCTCTTATGCATAGTTGTTGCCCTTTGGGTGGCTTTAAAGAAAATAATAATACTGCACTTATATCCCACTTTTCCTTAAAGAAGCTTGTGGGTTCTTCCGCTTCCCCTTTTATCTTCCATTCCCCTATGAGGTAGGTTAGGCTGATAGACAACCATTGGCCCAAGGTCACAGCTTCACAGCTGAGTTGAGGATTGGAACCCCTATCTAACACCTCAAGAACTGAACTGGAATTCTAACATAGGGTGACAGAAATAAGGGCCTGACATTTTAAGAGGATTTTAGTTCATATACATTTTTTCCTAAAATTAATTAATCGATTACCCCTTTACTGGGCATCTGCTTTCCTGTCAATGGCTACATATACCCTTGTGGTAATCTGTCAGAGGCTGGCATGCATGACATCACAGAAAAATGTGTCCTGGATTACCTAACCTGTAACAAAAACTGCCCTGCTTCCATTTCCACTATGACTACCTCAGGATAAAAGTCTCAATCCTATGCACATCTACTTAGCTATAAATGTTGCAAATAAATAGTAATAATAAAACTAATAAATTTTTATTTATACCCTGCCCTCCCTGGCCAGGGCTTGGTTCAGGGCAGCTAACACTGAATATGAATTACAATAAAAGGTAATAGAAAAAAGAAAAGAAGAAAAAAAAGTTTATTAAAATACGTCTTAAAATATAGCTTAAAATGCAGCCTCATTTTAGTAGTAGCCCATAAATCAAGACCATAAAGGGAGGAAACATCAGATATTCACCCTGCCAGCTATCCATGCTGGTCCTACATGGCCCAGCAAAAAAGCCAAGGGAAAATTTATATACCATATCCCATATAAGGGGTCAGAGTGAGTCCAAGCGGAAGGCCAGGCGGAATAGCTCCATCTTGCAGGCCCTGCAGAAAGATGTCAAATCCCGCAGGGCCCTGGTCTCCTGTGACAGAGCGTTCCACCAAGTCGGGGTCAGGGCTGAAAAGGCCCTGGCTCTAGTTGAGACCAATCTAACCTCCATGAGGCATGGGACCTCCAAAGTGTTGTTATTTATGGACCTTAAGGTCCTCCGCGGGGCATACCAGGAGAGGCGATCCCATAAGCATAAACAGATATGCTCTCAAAGGCTTCTATGTTTTCTCCAAAACCGACATAATTTAATGTTGCTTCTGAACCAGTACATTCCAGTATTTTCTATGCTGCACTCACTGTCTTTTTACAACTCTGATTTATTTATGAAATTTCTAAACTGCCTTTCATCCAAGGATCACAGGGTGATTTACAATATAAAAATACGCAACACAGGAATAAACAAAAACATTACTCCCCACGCATATATTTGTGGTGATGGTTATTGTTTCTTAACTGACGATGAAATAACGGCGCCACCCTGTCCAGGCCAGATTTGCAAAACACAACTGAGGTTATCTTCCTGCTACTGTAAGATTTAATTGGCCCTGTTCTGGTACCTCCTGCCACAATCAGCCCTTTAATTAGCTGTTTCAAATCTGCAGTTCAAACAATCTCAGCATTTGCTCATTACCTTTTTATTGTATTTTTCATTATCACAATTGCACATTTTCCTGCATTTTCTTAAAGGGCAAGCACTAGGAAGCAGAGAATTTGTAGTTCATAGAATATTTTGTGATTCACTCGGGATCTGAGTGCATTTTTGTGGTTAGAGGATGCAAACATTTGGGACTTTGGGGAGAGGTGGCGCCAACATTCAAGGACTACAATAGATGCATTTGTAATTGCTAAGGTCAGAGTACAAAATACGAAGAAATTTGGCCCAAGTGGAACATGCTTGTTTACTTCCAAGATGGAAATTTGAGCTAAAGCTACTTCACAGCTCTGGATTAGTATTTATACTTACTGCTAAATTCATCTTCAATATCTGCTTTGGCAAATGGCATTTCCATCATCACGCAACATACAGAATCATCAAGACGGCAGGATTCCTCTTTTCGTTTTTTTCTTTGCTTTTTCTTCCGCTCCACAATTTGCCTTCCATCTGGAATACATTTGAAACAATGAGTTGGGTTTTAGATTTCAAGGCTGATGAAATCATCGCCAATAAAGCTCAGTTCCAGGCTCACAGCTCACTGCAAGGCAGCTTTTCAAGTAGAATACCAGAGGCTCTCACAAAGCAATTGCTTGTTCCTCCAAACTGCAAGTTTAGGTTTCATTGTTAGCTTTCGATGTTTTATGAACAATCCCAAAATACATCTGTGTGTCTTGACTCCCTTTTTGAAAGCCACAAGTAATGCTGACTTGCTTTACAAGGATCTATGCAGTTGAGAATGATTAAACTTCCAATCCTCTACACCAGAGTAAGTTTTCCCTACTACTGCATCTGTGTATGCCTATCTTCTAAACAGCTTATGGGTTCTTATAAACAGTGTGTGGATTCTTCAGCTATATACATAATCAGATTCCTTATTTTTTTATTTATTTATAAAAAATATTCATATACCTCATTAAAAATATCAAAGCTGTTTAAAATTATATACCTATATATTATAAAAACACATAAAAAATAAAATCAAGAGACCACCAACTAACTAGCATGAAAATATGTATTCTTAATTGCCTGCACAAGCCTGGAAGAATAGAAAAGTTTTTAGCAGAAGGCACATCTTTTGCATATTCTACACGGCTGGGCTGATGACACTAAAGGTTCTATTTTGTGTTGATGTCAAATGAGCCCTGCCAACTTAGGTGACAACTGTTGTCACATAAAAATAATTATACACCTTTTGTTAATGAAAAGGTACAACTTACTGTGTCTTTTTAAAATAAAAACAATTAACTGTAACTCTAAACTGATAGTAGCAATCTAAGGAGAGATCATCATAACTGAATTAGTGATGTAATGCTTCTTCCATTATGCAGGTATAATTGTAGTATGACATAACACAGTTATCGTCGTGTAGTGGAAGAAGTGATACATCAGAAATTCAACATATCTCATTACTACAGAGCCCTCCTTTTTCAGATCTTCACTATCAGGTAGTCCAAATCTAACCCAATGGGGGAATTTGGCAACAGACACACCTGTTCTGTTCTTGTGGCAAAGAAATCACTGGCTTGATAGATGAAGTGAAGTGTAAAAAACACAAGCACATGATCCAGATTATTAGTGCCCTGTATAGCGTCTCTTAGATACCTCATCCCTCATCCGTAGTGCTAGGGGAGATAAGTCACCTGATTAGATACTAATTGGCTTCAGCTTAAAGCAGCGAGGGAAGGCTAACAAGGCAGTTGTTAGCTGATCCTGAAGGCTGTACAGGAAGTAGCTGCTGGCTGATTAAAAAAGAAATGTGGCATTTAGGTGAATTGCATCTACAGCTTCCTGTTGTGCGCACACACAGTGACAAACACAGGTTTGCCATCATGTAAATGTGAGAGGTTAAAACCTACCTTCCCGAGATCCTCTCCTCTGTGCCTTAGGGGAAGTGAACCCTCCCAGCCATTTTCTATATAAAAGCCTCACAGGATTTAAGGGAGGGGGGAGAACTGATCTTCTGTTCTGTCTCCTGAATGCAAAATCTGCACAGTATCCTACTCATATAGGAAAAAAGGGATATCATGCAAATCTCTGCACACACAGTGGTTTAGTGTGAATGGTCATTCTGTCATCTCAGAATTCCTATCTACCTCCAGTGTTAGGCATGAAGGGTATCTATCTGAATTTCCAACTATAGAAAAGTCTCAGGCACAGCTTATCACCCTCAGACGTTCATGAAAAATAAACGTGTTGTCATTGTTTGCATATAAGCTTCACACATTACATCTTTTAGGTACATGCCTTGGAGGTTTTAAGTGTACGCCAAAATTGTAAACTGTAAGAGTGACAAACAGGTTTGCAAATGCATCATAATGACATATCAATGGAGAAGCTATGCCTGGCCATAGCTTCCTGTTGTGTGCACCTTCCCTGACAAACCCAAGTTTGCCATCCTATAATCAGGAGCAAAAGGCAATTCTGGCAATTGACTGTTGTATGGCTGATTTCATCGTCAACTGTATCCAAAAATAAAATACACCCTTTACCCTGATGGGAAGGAAGAGAAAAGCTAAAGTGCCATTTTTGCCCCCCCAAAATTATATATTTCGACTTTAAACTATCAGCATCCAAAGAACCAGGCAAGTGTCGAACATCACTGTTTGTAGTAGTAACAAGTGAAGCAGGGATTACCTCAAGGGAAATTATCCAGAGGATGAGATAAACAAGTGAGTCATAGTGTTGGGCTTGCTGCAGGTTGACAAATTGGATGTGTAATTCTCTGCAGTTCAGAAACAGTAACTTCAGTACATAATTTATGGTTGTCTGTTATTATTATTTGCTGATGTGTAATTTGAACTGAACTTGTAGAACAGATACTAAAAGATCCATGGTGGCTCTGGAACATTAAGAGCAACGCTGCAATACAAAGCATGCCTAATTAGAAGTTACGCTGAACACAGTGGACTTCTTTCTGGGTAAATATGCCTTGAATTGGGCTGCATCTCTAACTGCTTCCCAAACATATACATTTTGTTCATCTTTCTTAAATTAAATATATGTTTTGAACTGGGGCTCTGTGGAGACCATAGGCTGTATTGATAATACCACTGAATTATAACAAGCCGGATAAGTGCTGAATTATGAGCACATGTGGGATGGACAGTAGGTATGCGGTTTTATAGGATCCCAGTCATAAACTATTCTCCTTACAGACTCCACACTGAAGCAAGATTCATCCTTAATTATATTTATTGCCGGTACAGAACAGAGTGATGTGTTGCTCTTTCCCAGGAGGCTTGGCTAATCTTGCGTAATTTAGGCTCTGCAAAACTAGGAAGGCTGTATCTGGGGGTTCCCTTTCAAGCAATAGTAGTTTGCTTCAGCCATTTCTTCAGCAATATTTCTTTTTGGTGCTGTTTGCACTGCCAGTGCCGTGGGGTGTAAACTACTCCTGCTCATTTAAAGCTACTCCAGTAAAGCACTTCTACACCTACCAACATGAAGTGCTTCCCTGCTTGAATAAACAACTGCTGTTTGAGATGATAGATGTAAATGCACTCCATTTTGGGAGCCTGCATTTCTCAATCGAATTATATTAAAAGGTACCAAGGCATCCTGCAAGTTGTGAATTGCTGGCAGCTATAAAAGCAGGCCAAATGCAAATCATGTTGCCTTCATGGCTCTAACTGCAACACAAAGGACAGAAAAATCCCTCCATCACCCCAATAATTCATGGCCTAGAGTTTCTCTGAGAAAGTAGATTCCACAAGCAGAAAAAAACTAGGAAGAAAAGGCAGTGATTTCATAGTTTGTGGTAATGTGGTATAGCAGATAAAGTGTTGCAGTTAAAACTATGACACTCCCTGGTTAGCGCTGGGCAAGTCATTTCCAGACAAATTTCTCACAGGGTTGTTGTAAGGATATTAGGAGAGAGCAAAAATAATTTCATGCCAACCATAAGCTTATAGAAAGGAGAATGAGCTACACAAGTGTAGCAAAAGTATGTGTAAACATAAATCATCATTAATTAGGTGAACATTTAAAAGAGCATTTGGAATGGTAAACAAAACCCAGTAGCCTGCAGTGTCATTTGTTCTTTCTTCTATGCTAATTGTGCATAACAAATTGGTTTTTATACTCCTCTTTCCCCCAGCTGTTATGTCAAAGAACACTGAACCATACACAGTATACTACAAGGGCAGGGTGTTAATGCTCCTTGTGGCATTTCCACTTACCCTATCTGTCCCTTCACTGCCATTTGATACTCCTATCTCAATTCCCACTCCTGGGAGAAGCTTATAGTTTTCAGAGCATAGTCAGCCACATTGCCAAAGCTAAACAAGTCTGGGTCTGGAAGTCCTATACAAGCCACTTTGAGTTCTGGAGGGTGAGGTGTGGCAGAATAATAAGTAATAAATCCCTACTAGCCCATCTAATGTAGCTGTGTCACATCCAAATTCTGCACTGCGCCTAGCAGATCACGGATACCAAACAAGCATTTGCTACTAGTAGCACTCATTTCTATTCCCAGAATACACACAGCTTAATCACTGCAAGGTTAAACATCATCAGTAAAACTATCTAGCTAGCTAGCTATAGGGACGCGAGTGGCGCTGTGGTCTAAACCACAGAGCCTAGGGCTTGCCAATCAGAAGGTTGGTGGTTCAAATCCCCGCGGCGGGGTGAGCTCCCATTGCTCGGTCCCTGCTCCTGCCAACCTAGCAGTTCGAAAGCACGTCAAAGTGCAAGTAGATGAATAGGTACCGCTCCGGCGGGAAGGTAAATGGTGTTTCCATGTGCTGCTCTGGTTCACCAGAAGCAGCTTAGTCATGCTGGCCACATGACCCGGAAAGCTGTCTGTGGACAAACGCCGGCTCCCTTGGCCAGTAAAGCGAGATGAGCGCCGCAACCTGAGTCGTCTACGACTGGACCTAATGGTCAGGGGTCCCTTTACCTTTTATCTATAGCAAGGTTGCACAATGGGCCCTTCTCCTCCTGAATGAGAATACCTTGTTTATCCCCAGCAATAATTCTAATCTACAGTTCTGACGGTGACTCTAAAGATCTGAGGCTATTGTGGCTGAGAAAATAAGACGTGTACGCCAAATGGTTTGTGCTTAAGGGAAAAACTTCAGGCGTACCTTTGTACACGTGTCTGTGCTGAGGGCTAGAATGTGTGTCGAAAGCTACCCCAAGCGCAGGAAATATTTCAAAGCAGCTTTGTGTCGGAAGGGGGACAGCAACACCAAAAAAACAGAGCCTTTCCCATTATTAGGGGAGCCTTCATTATACACGTCAGGCAAAAACGTTCCATTTTAAGCCAGGCCTTTGGTTGCTTGATTGATATCCTATGCCCTTTTAAAAAGTGGTTCTTTTTTGAAGGGGGGCGAGAGTTGTTATTGGGTGGTTGTTTTCATTTTGATTATATATATTGTGGTTTTACATTTTGATTTTGTTCTGTGAACCGCCCTGAAACCTCCAAGTATAGGGCGGTATATAAATTCAAATAATAATAATAATAATAATAATAATAATGGGCAGTCCCAAATTCAACCCCTGGCATCCCCAGGTGGGGTTGGGAAAGCCTCCTGCCTGAAATCCTGGAGTGCTGCTGCCAGCCAGGGTAGGCAACACTGAGCAATGGTCTCGGCTCGGTATAAGGTAGGCCCCCGTGCCTCTTTCTCCTCCTCCTGCTGCTGCTGCTGCTCACCGGTCTGCTGCAAGAGCTGGCTGCTTGTCGAGAGAGGCTGCCCGTTCTCTCCGGCTTCGCCCGGGGCCTCCGCCTCCAGCCCATGGGATCCCGCCCTGCGGGGGGGCGAACGCTCTCGAGCTGCCATGGCGACCCAGGCACCACGCGGCCCCCGCCTCTCCACAGGAGGCGCCCGCGGGCCGAGGGGGCTCCGAGGACTAAGCGGCGCGGCTGCGCCTGCGACAAGGCGGGCGGAACGGAGAGTTCGCAGCCAGAGGGTCCGCGGTACCATAGCCCGGCTGGCACCTCTGCCTTAGCGGGGAGCGGGCAACTACGGGAAGGCGGAGGGGTCAAGAGCGAAGTTCTGCGGGACGCTCGGAACGCAGGGAGGGAGGGAGAGACGCCCCTCTGCCGTAGCAGGAAACTACGAATCCCAGCATGCAATGCGCCCGCAGAGATTGTGATTAGGCCGGGCGCGGATCCGAATGCTTTCGTTGCGTTTAGTCAGAGTTGCCTCCGTTGTCGCCAAGGGCCACCTGTTTTGTGTCCCCCTTTCCTTCACCATCCCAATCTTTGTAAGAGTATTCTGATGTCTGGGAACAAAACATTTCAGGCAAGACATATGAGTAATGTTACTCATATGTTTTGGGGAAGGCAGGAGAAAGCTATACTCTGGCATTTATCAGAGAAATGCACTGAATTTTGCTCTCACTGAAAGGGGGTTGTAAGCCAGGCCATCTGAGCAGGACGTCACCAGATGATCTGGAAGGGATTTCCCAGTGGAAGAACTTGGCACCGCAAAGGCACACTCAGCTTTGTAATTTCTATCATCATCATTCAGAATTATAGGCCATTTCATGGCATAGAGCTATTGAAGCAGGGTGCAGGGTAAAAACAGAATGAAACATAGGGGAGGAAACCCTCTAAGTATAATAAATCAATTCAACAAACTAAAACAAAACATCCCTATAAACTAAAAAAAAAAAGCCACAAAATGTTTCATCAAATATAAGATGAAACTTCCATAAATGACTGGGTCAGGAAAAGCCTTCCTAAGAAAAAGTGCCTTCAGTAGGTTTGTAAACTTCATCCATACCCTCCAGCATTTCTCTGATAAAAATAGGGACGTCCCATCCCTTAGTGATAATTTTACTAATTATACCCACACATCTTACTGGGTTGTCCCAGTAGGCTTCCAATGTATATAAAACATAATTAAACAATAAACATTTTAAAAAGTGCCCTATACTGGATTGCCTTCAGACGGCTAAGGGGTCAGATAACTCCATACCCTCCAACATTTCTCCAATGAAAATAGGGACATCCTAAGGAAAAGGGGGACATTCCGGGATCATATCAGAAACCGGGACGGCTTTTCTAAATCAAGGGCATCCCTGGAAAATAGGGACACTTGGAGGGTCTGCTTTATCATGCTAGGCAAATGTCTGGTTTAGGCTAGTACAGTCATACCTCTGGTTGAAGTTGCTTCAGGTTGAGGGCTTTCGGGTTGCACTCCGCGGTGACCTGGAAGTAACGGAACACATTACTTCCGGGTTTCGCTGCTTGTGCATGCGCAGTCAAAATGACGTCACGCGCATGCACGGAAGTGGTGAATCGCTACCCGCAGGCGTGCAGACGTGGGTTGCATTCGCTTCAGAATGTGAATGGAACGGATCCCGTTCATATCCAGAGGTACCACTGTAACTGAATCCAGAGAACTGGAGCTGCAACACTAAAAGTCTATTTTCTAATATAGGCTAAGTGCTCCCCCTGGGCTTATGGTATTCTCAGCAGTTCTACATCTGAGGGCTGCGGTTGCTGAGCAGGCATCTAATGGGCAAGGCGGTCCCAAGTTCCTTAGGGCTGTAAATGCTAAATGCAGGGCGTTGGAAATGCGCCCAGCAGCACATTGGAAGCCACTGCATTTTCTTCAGGAAAGGTGTTACATGGTGTCAGTGGGGCACCCAAGCCTACAATCTAGCATTCTGCACCAGCTGCAGCTTCTGGATTAAGCCCAAGGGAAGCCCCTTGTAGGGTTTGTTGTTTGTTGCCATAATTAGGGGATGAGTAAGTCTTGGTGATGAGAGCAGACCTGAGCCCTCCGGACTGTGTAGGAAAATAGACTGGCCACATCTACCCCGCTTGATTCATAGGACATCACAGTTACAAAGAATTATAATAGCATTGGTCTCTTGACAAAATAGTTAAGGAACGTGTATTACTTTTAATATGTGGTTTCTTGTTAAATAATATTTACTACATAATGTTAGGATATCCAACTTGAAACAGCAGTTGTGGGGGGAATAATTTTGCCATCATACTACTAACAAAACTAAAACTAGCCCATAGCTAAATCAGAAGAGAAGGAGTTAATAAGACATTGGAAGGAAGACAAATAAAACCTCATATGGAACCAATTACAGTTTCTATAAAAGATGTTCCCTCTAGAGGAAGAAAGTTAGCTAATGGAAGAGATATCTTTCTGGAAATGCAGCAGCTCAGATCTCAAGCAGCTAGTCATGAACTGGAATAGCTTTTAAACCTTTTTAATTTTTTTACATGCCAAAAAGAAGGAATTGCCAGTTAGACAGGGTTAGCAGGTTCTTAAAGAAAGATAAGTTTTGGACAGAGCTATGTTAAATACCTGTTTCTACCACTGTTTTCAATTTTTGAACTAAGGGGGAAATGAACTGGTTAGATATGGGGTTGGGAATCTTTTTTGCTTTCTCTCCCGCACACAACACAGGCTAACTTTGACAGGTGGGTGAGAGCCCTCCTGTCAATCACCCAATGTCAGGTGATTGATAGGTGAGCACTCTCATCCACCTGCTAAAGTTGACTTGTGGGAAGAAGGGAGGGATCTGCCTTATTTATTTAAAATATTTATAATATTGCTTTTCATCACTATAGATACCAAGGCAGGGTACAAAACACAAAATAAAATAATAAAAACCATTCCAATCATAATCATAAACAACAATACTAAAAACAAACCATCCAGGAAACAAATAAGCAAAAAAAATAGAACAGTTCAAACAATAATCAGCTTGTTCTTGTTTAGTCGTTTAGTCGTGTCCGACTCTTCGTGACCCCATTGACCAGAGCACGCCAGGCACTCCTGTCTTCCACTGCCTCCCACAGTTTGGTCAAACTCGTGTTAGTAGCTTCGAGAACACTGTCCAACCATCTCGTCCTCTGTCATCCTCTTCTCCTTGTACCCCCAATCTTTATCAAAATCAGGGAGTCTTCTATTCTCATGAGGTGGCCGAAGTATTGGAGCCTCAGCTTCAGGATCTGTCCTTCCAATGAGCACTCAGGGCTGATTTCCTTAAGAATGGATCGGTTTGATCTTCTTGCAGTACATGGGACTCTCAAGAGTCTCCTCCAGCACCATAATTCAAAAGCATCAATTCTTTGGCAATCAGCCTTCTTTATGGTCCAGCTCTCACTTCCATACACCATTACTGGGGAAAATGCCTAAACAAATAAGTATTAACTTGGTGCTGAAATTATAACTACATTGGTGCTATTTGTACCCATAAGGCGGGGATATGCAATGTATGGGGCTTTACTATGGATAAAACTTCTGTTATTCAAAATACAGGAATGGGTTTGTGATAGACAGCATAGTGATCTGCCTGCTTCGTGCAGAGGTAACAAATCACTTCTAGGTTTTACTAAAGAGGAGTCACTAATGATGTTGGGAAACGTAGATGTGAGGGGAGTTGCACTGCTTGGATTTAAATGGAAACATAAGTATAGTGATCATAACGGAAACCTGGTAGAGTGAAGAAACCAATGGGATATTGTTATCTCTGGACACAAACTGTAGGAAGGGCAGAAAGGGATATGTTGGCATAGAGTCTGGAAGAGCTGCAGCCCAAGATAGGAAAAGAGGTGGTAAAGGAACACCTAGCTACTTTAAATGAATTCAAATCTCCTGGGCTTGATGAGCTGAACCCAAGCGTACTAAAGGAGCTTGTGAATGTAATCCCAGAGTCTCTGTCTATAATCTTTGAGAATTCTTGGAGAACAGGTGAGGTGTCTGTGGACTGGAGGTGGGCAAATGTTGTCCCCATCTTCAAAAAGGAGGAAAGAGAAAACCCAGGTAACTACTGACCAGCCAGCTTGATGTTGATACTAGGAAAGGTCCTAGTACATATAATTAAACAGTTGGTCTGTGAGCACTTAGAAAAGGATGCTGTGGTTACTAAGACCCAGTATGGGTTTCTCAAAAAAAGTCATGTCAGATTAAGCATGTTTCCTTTTTTCATAAGAGTTACAAGCTTGATGGATCAGGGGAATGCTATGGACTTAAGTGTATCTTGATCTGTGTAAGACTTTTGACAAAGTCCCCATGATATTCTTGCGGAGAAGCTGTTCAACAGTGGAACAGACTCCCACAAAATGTGGGGGGCTCTCCTTCCTTGGAGGTTTTTAAGTAGAGTTTGGATGGCCATCTGTCTTGTATAATTCAGTTGAGATTCCTGAATCGGCAGGGAGTTGGAGTAGATGGACTAGATGACCCTTGGGGTCCCTTCCAACACTATATTTCTATGATTCTATTATTCTATGAGTCAAACAGCCAGGGACTTCAAGTTTTCATGACCTGCTGTTGCTGATCACAAAGGGACTTGTATTAAAGCAGCAGGCATACTTTACATGACAGCACAGGGAAAGTGCTTGAGAGAAAAAACACTAAGACCTGCATGAAACTAAACAAGTGGTTTAGAAAAATGAGCCTGCTTGTCTGAAAGGTCTGTCAATGATACAAAAAATATATAACTTCTGTTAAGTATAAGATAAGAATATGTGTGTGTTTATGCACAATATACAGATCATTTTACAAAATAATTTGCCCTTCTGGAAATTTCTGACAGGAATAAACCTTACAAAATTTTCAGAGGAAAATGTAAGATACTACATTATTCTTCATTACAGGACAAAATCCTACCCCAAGTACACTTTTCTCTGCAGAATTTACACACAAACAGACCTTCAAGCTAATTCTTGTGGTAAATTATCACCTGCAGAGTAATAAACGGTGCTACCAAATTTCAATCAATTACTATTTAAATGGTAAGCGGTGAAACGAACGAGCATCTGGGGCATAAAATATCCAAAAGCAAACTATTGATTTTTGCCACAGAGGTGCTTTTAGGTCCTAGCCAAAGTGTTGTAGTAGAAGAAATGTCCCGTGGGGGTTTTCAAGTAAAAATTGATCCAGGAAAGCAGATGGTGCCCTTCTTGTGGCACCATACACAGATTTGTTCTGGGACAAATTGAAATTTGGCTTTACAGAAAAGTAAAACATCACAGAAATGATGCGTAAGTTTTATATAAGGGTGAAGGTATTCATCTGAGTCTTATATAAAAATCTATACACCACACATGCACACTTCCTTTCCCTTTCTACAATCTGTCTGCATGTTTACCCAAGACACCCTACTGTTGCGGGCAAATTTCACATCCTATAAGACATGGGGACAATGGTTCTATTGTCTTATTTTTCAGGGCGAGGAATCTTATCTTTGTTTGGATATGAGGAGTGGTGATGCATTTAACTCTGCCGCTGCAACATGTGACTTTTCAGATATGTAATCACACCGGAGCTTGAGAATTTCTGTTTGTTCAGTGCAATTGATCATTTACACAGGGCTCCGTGTGCTTAAGATGCAAGACACAAAGTGCACTGCCAGGCTAGGCCTTCCTAACTTTCAAGAAGAATGTCAGCAAAGCATATTAAATTTTATTACACCTCCAGGCTCAATGCACATAACTTCTTATACTTTCTAAATTCAATGTTCTGACACTCTTCCAGGGTGCCACATTGCCTTGCTGTATGAAGCCAGCGCAGAGCAGGAAACCGCTGAAATGGGATGTCTGGTGCTGCATTTTTGTCTCTTCGCCTTGCCAAAGAAAACGGATCTCTAAGTAAAAGGATGCAAGTTTGAGAGGGACGTTATCGGAAGCTGTTCACCAAAGCAGGATGTCATGGAACGCCTCGCTGGGGCTCGAAACTCTCATGCATGTTGAGAGGCAGTGGCATGGAAGAAGAAAAAAACCTTCCTCTGCCAGCAGCATATAAAAATCAGTGGGTTTTTAAAGCCAGAGTGGTGAAAAGTCATTTTGAGGGAAGTGATCCAAAGTCTTGAGTATGTTGAAACTCATCTTCTGGCTGCAATGATATGTTGGGAAAACATGTCAAACAAGTAGTTAAAAGCAATATTAGCAATAAGCAAACAACGTTGCGTCCATTTCCTTTCCAAAGAAAAGACCAGTTTTTGAATTTTTGTGCAGGCTTGAGCACATCCACCCCCTTCATGAAACAAAGCCAGCAACCCAAGTTTAATTGACTTCACTAGGATTTTTATGCAAGTGAGGAATGCAGAATTGGATCCAAATTTTATGCTGTTCCAGATGGAAGAAATGCATATTTACAGACTAGTAAAACCATTGTTTCGAGACTGAAGTGCTAGATTCAAACCCTAATTTCAAAACCAGCTGCCATAACTACTTCTTTTTCTTCCTCCTCTGCTTCTTCTTCTTCTTCTTCTTCTTCTTCTTCTTCTTCTTCTTTGCAGAAAACTCTGCTTTTGGCCTTTCCTCTGTTCTTTTTGCCTTTGCATTTTTATCATCCTTTGTCTGACTTTGTTTTCTTCCTTCTTATCCCCTCTTCTCTTTCCATCCTCCTATCCAAAAGACTGAACTGTGGAGCAGACATTCTACTTGCATCATTCCTGCTGTGTTATTTACACAGCCTGCACACTGCCGGTAACTGAAAACTTATTATCCAAGGATGGATTTCTATATAGCCAAGAGAGCACCATTTTTACACAAGAGGGAGTTATGAGCTGGTTTGAGGGATCCCCAAGTTTTGCATGTGTGCATGTATTCATGGAGGATACGGCTATTACTCAGAATGGCTATGTACTATCTCGAGTGTCAGAGATAATAGAGTATAGCTGAATACCAGTTGCTGAGGAAAGCAAGTGTGGAGAGTAATGTTGCATTCATGGCCTGCTTATTAGTTTCCAACAGGCATCTGGTTTGTCACTGCAAGAAGAACAGTGATGGATGAGATGATCCAACTAGACTTGTTTTATGTTCTTAAAAATAAAACAACCCCGAGGGAAGAGTGAGTACAGGATGCCAATTGGTTGTTGAGCTTTTGTTTTGTTTGTTTGTTTGTTTGGTTGGTTGGTTGGTTGGTTGGTTGTTTTAAGGAAAATCAGGGAGCAGGTAATGGAATGGAGTATCCTGCAAGATGGCATGGATGACTTGCTGGAACCAGGAACAATAGCATTTTACAACTGTACATTTTGTTTCAGGTCCCAGCTGTTTCCCCTAGTTCTCATATCATTCATCAGTGATTTTTTTAAAAAAGGTTCTGCAGTACATGCTGTATGAATTTGTTCTTCCAGGTGCATAATAAATGCTTGAATGAGAGCCTCTTCACATGTGACATTTGTTAGTTTATGGGGAAATTTTTTTTTTGCTCTGTACAGTCTGTACACACTAAATAGTGTAAAAACAGTTTTTGCCTCTCAGTCCCCTATATGTAATGTGGACACCTGCCTTGTGCATAGATCACACAACTGCCTCAATGACTGAGAGCAACTCTTTGTGTAAGTACTATAAGCAGCTTGTCCAGTACTAGTGCTGCTACAGCTCGATATCCAGGTTGCACGCATTAAATCGAGAGAGACACTAATTGCGTTTGATATTCTGGATTTGGTCTTGCAGGGGTTAGCATGTTGGAAACTGTGAGACTTGAAATATCTTGCTTAGTCAAGACCCCATTAGCTGGCTTTAGGAAGGCCATTATCCCCCTGCCAACTGCACCTATAAAATGAGACTACAGGAATGCATTGTGACGACAAATAAGGTAAAGCATATAAACTACTGTGCACGTGGCAGGCGCTATACACCTGGTGGCAATTCAAGAGATGTTCTAAACAGAAAATGGCTTTTGACAGAGCAAGAATGGAAGAGGACTGAGCAACAGTGGAAAGGCACATGGAGCAGATACTGTCCTTTAGTTGCTCCTGGATAATGTGAGTTTCACACTACAGTAGTTACAGTAACCTAGCGCATATATTGATGGCATGGTAGGTGAACATCTCATCCACCCTAACCACTTTGGCAGAAGTTATAGTCTCCCCTGAAGCCAAAACAAAATGTTTTTATTTATTACCTGGCCCTTCCCAAGGGCTCATGATGGGCAATGATACGTGAAATCATGAATCATCTGTTATGATTAAACCATCGGCTAACCTTCCTCCTGAGGTCCTGTTCGTTTATTATGTGCCTGGCCTTAGCATCTTGATCCTTCAGTGGTGGATGCATGGCTGAGTCTTTGTATGGCCTGCACATTGAGAAGGTTTGCAGTGGCACAGAATTTCAGATTGTGCTCTGACAACTAGATCACTACTAGTATGGACAGGGCCAGCTGAGCCCTTGAAAGTACTAGTGCCTTGCTGCCTGGGAATGTCATGATTCAAGAGATTTAGGACTACTCTAGGAAATCCTTGAACCCAGCTGACTCCTGCCCTAGAAGCTTGGAACAGGTTCTCATTTAGATATCTGCACCTGTTGTAACCTTTGGGCTTAATGCCCACGGGAAACCTAGTCAGAAAGAACAAGGAACATGTTGTTGTTCTCTGCTGCCCAAGAATTCTGAAACTGGCGCTGACTGTGTCTAACTGTGCATGAATTCCCAATGTTTTAGTGCCCACTTGTTTTTCAACATTTTATTATTTCTATAAAGCTACTTTCCCAGAGGAACGGCCAAAGAAAGGCCTCTTTCTTGACAGAAGGTAAACAAGGCCTGCAAAATCATTTTGCAGTCTTGCTCCAAATAATCTTTGCACACCTGGTACAATGAAGGCTAGCATCCAGATGCTACTATATGACAGAAGAATTACCCATTCATGGGCTGAGTTGTGTTTGTGCAGATTGTCATAATGTTGTAGCTGCCTTAACCACCTGCTACATCAGGAGACTGAAAGGTATATGAATGTTCCTTGACTTTGGCAAGCATCTCAAGAGCCAGAGCCATGAATAAATTGGGCAAAACAGGACAGAATCGGATTCTGACATCCTTTTTATTACTTGGACCAGTAAAGTCCTGTCTGGTTGATGATAATGATCTGAGCAGTATAGACTGGCCATCAGCACTGTTGCTTCAGTGTTCAGGAAAAAGGTCCTGTATAGTACAGGAATACAGGATAGGCATTGGGAAGTGGGCTATAAAGACATGATGTAATTGTATAAATAGTAGGCACAGGGCTGTATGGAGTGCTAGGATAGGGGTAGTGCCTCTGGTGGGGGACATGCCATGCTCCTTCTGGGGTGGTTTGTCCAACTTTGCTCCCCACTCTGCACTCAGTGGCTCCTAGAAGCTGTCAGCATGCAACAGTGGCTGCACCCTGAGAATGACTTCAACTGGATGGTTAAACCAGGTGAGGGTAGCCTATGGTTCTCAAACCCTCAGAGAGTTAGGGACTTCTCCTGCATGCAAAGACAGGCTCTGGTGGACAGATTGAGTGGATGAGACCAATTGTGGGTCCAACAGGCAAGATGGCAATTTCTGCACATGCCAAAGTGAGGGGAAGATGGGGCTCATCAACCCAGGAAGGTAGCCCATCTAGGAGAAGAAAAACTCTGATCCTAAACCTCTGCTGCCTTGCGGGACATCTTCGGGAGAATAAAACCCTACACAAATTTGGAGTGGAGTCCCTAAGATGGTTGGACAGCACCTTGTACACCTCCTTCCGGCAACTCCTGCAGCCAAGCTGGTGCCAAATGTATTGCTCTGCTTTCCTTTGGACCATATCAGCAAGGCTGAGGAAGAGGGTCTTGTCATCTGGGCAACCCAGGACCTCCATGCACGCTGCCCAGGCTTGTGCCTCCAGGAGGTCACTTGGGTACTGCTAATGCAGTGGTTTGGTTTCACACCTGAAGGCACATTCCGTTATCTCTCAAGACAAATGGATGACAACGACAAAAAGTAGGCACAGAAAGCTAAAGCAAATGCCTTGGAGCACATAAACAACAATCAAATTGTAGGTGGGAGCCATTGTGATGTCCTCTGACATCTTACAGTATACATCTTTCATCCTTTGCATTGCTGAGCCGTGTGATATTTGAGGCTAAATTGGCCAGGGAATAATCCTATGTGTTGGGTGAAATTCACAACTTCAGTAACCAATGCCTATTAAGCAAATGATATTTGAATCAATCCTAGCCACAAGTGCATTTGAATCACTTGGAGGCTATGTACCGTATATTTTAAGTGTTAACCTGCCAAAAGGCCCCCAGAATTCCCCACAGACCTGAGTTTTGATTAGGACCAGAGTTCTCAGACTATGAAGTAGACATTGCTGGAAAGCAGAGGTGAAGAACAAGTGGCCCTCAAGATGTTGTTGGACTACAGTTTCTGTCACCCCTGCCCATTGGCCACACTGGCTGAGATTGACAGGAGTGGGAGCCAAACAGCATCTGGAGAGCCACAGGTTCCCCATCCTAGCGTCAACCCCCCTCCTTCCTACTCTGCCCCTAATAAACTTTTAGTAAAGGGGTTGGGAAACTGCAAAATCTTGTGCTGAGGAACAAGGGGCTTAAGTGAGAGGGGGAAATTCAGTGGCGGCAGTTGGCATAACTGGGAGCATTGGACAAATGCCTGTTATCTGTGGACAACAATTAACAGCAAAAAGTAGCAACATGCCATCGGGCCCCTTACTAACTGAGGCCCATAAAGGCACAAACTGAACCAAGCGTTAACATTTAACAGCATGATACAAAACATGACTAATCCAATATGACACCTCCGCCCTGTGGATTTTCATAGTAAGGAGTTTTAGGCATTGTTTTGAGAGTCCTTACTAAGTCATTTAGTCAGGACGGAAATTGTGACAGAGCAGAACTCCACGGTTCTGTGCCCTTCCCAGTGATATGATGTGACTTCAAGCTGCAGTGGCACAATTCACCATTTTGCATTGCTGTGAGTCATCTCAGAGGCTTCTGAGGGGAAAACCAATGGTCTAGACGCAAGTTTCCTACTCGCAGTGATGAGGAATCTTGGCAGGAGAAACACTACACATCACAGAGCTCTTCTCCTTTCTTTCAAGTTGGTCAAGCTCACTCTGGGCAAAAGGAGCACACTTTTGCTTTCCCTTGTGCAGATATTTGAGTGTAACTCCTGATTGCCTTCCCTGGCACGGCATCCGCACAAGACATATGGAGGAAAGTGGATAGACTTTCACTCTTCTCTGCCAACACAAGCTTGTATTCTGTGGTCTGGAGGCTTTCTGAGGCTCTTTATTCTGGGTCACATTACTAGAGCGGAGAAGCGTATCTTTTGTTCTTGCTTATAAAGGGATATTTTACTCACAAGGATATATACAGCATACCATTTGCAAGTGAATGGATGGAGCAGAATGCAAAGCTGTCATATTTTGCATTTGTGACGCTTCTTTCATTTCGCTTTCATCCGAAAATTGGGGGAAAAAAGGCTTCAAAACAAGGATAGCTCCGTGTTCAGAAATCCACTAGAGACCTGAACTAGCTGCTGTGAGGTCAGACACGGAGCAGCCCTGGTTAAAAGCAGAGTTAACACTTTGGTCTCCTAGCATGCTGAATATGCAGGCTGCCTTTGAATACTGAGATGTATCAAGAGTGATGTATATGGCAATAATAAGCGTTCAAGTCATTAAACTGGAAATGGGGAGAAAGAACATTTGCTTGCAAGCTACATTTCAAAATATTTCACATTGTGAGGTGGCCTGGGCTTCGCTTTCATTTTGTGACTGCACGACAGGGTGCCCTGTCTACCACACAGAGATGTCTATAGCTCACTTGATTTCTTTAATGTTGTTTCTATATCAGTCAGCCAGATGGTGGGGAGCAGTAATGCTCTGCACTAATCACTTAGAAACTCTCTGCAGTAGTGCTTTGAGATTTGGAGATACACACAGCGCGCGCGCGCACACACACACACACACAGCCACACACTGCAAATGCCACTGGAATATATTTCCATATGTACACATTAGCTAAAATTCTCTCCCCTTCCTTCCCAAACTAGACAACTCTTGAAAGGAAGAGGGGATTCCCCTTCTGTTTTGACCAGGAAGAAAGTCTAAATGTGCAAGAGTTCATTACTATGATGCAATTGTTGTCCTGGATTCAATCAAACAAGTTGAACCTGAAGCATGGCACACTGCTCCCAATTCAGGATTCAGCAGCTACTCTGTTCCAGCTTCCACCCATCCACCCTCCGGGTCCTCTATCAGTCTGATTCTGTAACCACTGCGCATGCTGAATGTGTTGTTCAGCAGGTTGCTTTCCCCTTTTAGGTTATGCTTCTGAAACAACAACAACCCCTGCAAACCTCAGCATTCCTGTTATGTACTGAGCTGAATCCTAGAATAATAGGATCCAGAATGC